ATATATATATATATATATATATATATATATACGTAAACCAAGGGAATCGCAGTAAGCAGAGATAAAACCAAGATTATGAATCTGGAATAAGAAGCAACGAAAACAAGAAAGTAGAACATTATATAGGGGAAAGCACCAATATATAATTCAGGCGTAATACACCCACACATATTTCCCTCCCACACATTACGTTTTCCGACGGGAAAAAAAACTCATTCCCACACACTCACACACACGGGTTGTACGGTTGTTTGTCTGTAGGAGAGCTCAATTCCCTCCAATAAACCACACACATACAAATATGCCTCAATAAGACTACGCATATAGCAACCGGGGAAACTTCCCTTAATAAATTATGTGTGTGACTGACTACATTATCATCTCTCTCTCTGTGTCTGTGTGTATCATCCACCCATAGTAAAGAAAGAAAAAAAGATCATGTCATACCCAATAACGGTACAAACTACTAAATATACTAAATACTAGAGAGTTAATTACAATGCTATAGCGAAAGGGGAAAATTAAATTTACTATAGCTGAATTTTTTAAATTTATAGGAAAATCGGGCTAGAAGCCAAAATGCCAAAAAATTAAATTAAAAATGCATTATGAAAAAGGGACCTTATATATAAATAAATATGTTCTTAGTAATGACAGAAGTCAAATATATAAAGAGAAGCAGTTGAGAAAGAAAATATGAATTAATAATGTATGAATCTAATACAGGACACTCAATGTCAAATCCAGATCTTGTAAAACCTTTACCGATGAACACCCGAGATAGGAGAAGATCATCAATTAAAAGTGCATTATCATCATTATTGACAACAAATTCAACAACAACAACAACAGCAACAACAACAACAACTAGTAATAAGATATCACCAAGAAAGAAGAAAATTAATTCACAAAGTCAACGGAATACTCCCAGTAGTAGTAGTAATAGACGACATAGTACTAATTCTATTCAACCATCTTCCATACATCAAAATGTAATCGCAACAAGAAGAAGAAATAATAGCCATCACATGGAGAACAGTAATCCTATAGCCAATACAGTATTTGATAACAAACGCTATATCGACCAATACCTTTTAAGTCGTGGATTTGTAAGTAAAAAAACTATCATCAATAAAAAAAATATCAATAATGGTAAATTCGTTGTAACGGTTGCTACAACGGGGAGCACGATTTTCTTACCAACAGTTTCTCCAACTGATGACGAATATTTAGCTCGGCTGAATGGATTAAGACCAGAAGACAGTGAAGAATTTTTGTTTAACGATGACGAAGATGAAGATGAAGAACAAGAACAAGTACAAGATGAAGAAAATCCCGTGCAAGAGGTTAGAAACAATAACGATGCTAGAAATGATTCGGAACAAAGGGGACAAACTGCAGTTGGCACCAATACATCAACCGCCAATGGCAACGAGCAAGAACAAGAAGGCAGAACTGCATCACGAAGCTCGGCGGCTACAGGCGTCCAATCAATGGACACAGAGAACAGCAGTCGAATACCTTTCAGCACAGCAATTATCATCTCTACCGACACCTCTGTATCGTTCGAATCGTTTATTATAGAATTAGCCGCTAAAGTCAAAGTCTTTTGGAATAATGGTGTGCCACCGACCAAATCGTTCAATGAAGAATTTTATAATGCGGGCTCATTATTTTGGTCGTTGAATAGTAAAAACTTTATTTTATTTGTTCCAAAAGAGGTGTCGGCGGCTAATCAAATTGTGGAAAATAATTTAAATAATATTGATAGACGTTTGTTTCGTAATACTTCATCATCAACAAGGAATTATTTAGATAAAAATAAAACAAAAGAACAATTCTTACAATTATTATCAAATGATAAAAAATCACAAAATAATAATTTAAAACCTGGAACTTATATCTTTATTTTACCTGTAATGTTTGCTAACCATATCCCTGAATCAATGTATTTCCCATCGGCTAGAGTAAATTATAAAATTAAGTTTGGTACAAAACTATTTTTATCAACAGGTAGTAATAACAAGAATTCTTCTTCTTCTTCTTCTTCTTCTTCACAAATTTCTTTAAATTCAACAAATTCTTCAATTAGAGGTACAGAAGCTGAACAAATTTATCAAAAAAAACCATCCTTAAATAATAAATCTTTATTCAGTATGATGAAACATGGATTACAAAAATTACCACATCAAAACCAAAAAAATATATCCCCGGGCGATTCTTCTATTGATAAAAATAATAATTCATCGTGTAATGGTTTAAATCTTTATGCCGAATATCCTTTAAGAGTAGTCAGAACACCACCTCCTGTGTCAATTTCAACAGCTAATAAACCAATTTATATTAATCGTGTTTGGACAGATTCTTTATCATATGAAATATCATTTCAACAAAAATATGTTTCTTTAGGTAGTGATTGTAAGTTAAGATTAAAATTAGCTCCATTAACCAAAAATATTAGTATCAAGAGAGTTAGAGTTAGTATCAATGAAAAGATTACATTTGTTTCAAAAAATTATGAATTTGAATATGATCAAATTGATTTAGTGGCAAAGGATCCTTATAACCCGTATTATCTTGATTTTCAATCAAAGAGAAGAAAAGAAAGAAATTTACCTTTATTAGAAATTAGAACAAAGGATAAAGGTTCAAGAGCATTAAGAGAAGAAATTATTGAAAATAGTTGTCAGGATAATTTATTATCATATTCGTCATTTCCTGAAGAAAACAATGTTAATAATAATAATAACAAGAAAAATAAAAAGACTGAGCCTATTGGAATTACTGAAGAAATTTGCATTGATACAATGTTACATTTCCCAAAATTTGAAGATTTAGATAAACATAAAGCTAAAATTATTGCACCATATGGAATTGATATTTTTAATACTGAATTAAATCCTGAAATTTCATCATCACCAACTTCATTAAATGGAATAATATCTACAGATAATAATGGTAATAATTCTGAATCTCATAAGACTACAAGTAGTAGCGTTATGGGCTTTTTAGCAAACCATAATCCAATTACTAGTAGTAGCAATAATAAAAATTCAAAATTGAGACAAAATAGTAATGGTAATCCTTCACTTGCGAAAAAATATAATATAACAAAGATTAAAACAACATCAGGAACAGAAGTTGAAACTCATACTAGATTAAATAAACCAAAGAGAGGACTTTATTTAGATAGCTTACATTTTAGTAACATTCATGCAAGACATAAATTAGAAATTATGTTAAGAATAAGTAAGCCTGATCCAATGGATAATTCAAAATTAAGACATTATGAAGTTTTAATCGATACACCAATTGTTATCGTATCAGAATTATGCAATTCAGGAAATATGGAATTACCAACTTATCATATGGCTACAACAACAACAAACAATTCCACTGCTACAACTATGAATAACTTTGTTGGTATCGATACTCATAATAATCACGATGCCCCTCCATCTTTTGAAGAAGCAATTTCTGTACCAGGTTCTCCACTTGGTTCACCAATGGGTTCACCAATGGGTTCACCAATTACATCACCTCTGACATCTCCAATGGTTTCCCCAATTGGTTCTCCTGAAGTAATTCCAAGTTGTGATTCAGATTTATATTCAATTCAACAAATTAATTTATCTAGAGGTACAACAATTAGAAGACCACCATCTATTGGATCTGAAAATAATATTAATATTAATAATAATAATAAAAACGCCAATAATACCACTACTACACAACCTTCTAATACAAATGAAAGATATAGTAACATTGATAGATTACTTACGTCACCATCTCATTCGGGATCAAATTCTTCAGAGACAATGGAAACTGGTTCAATCTCTGGTTCATCATCTACTAAAGGTTCTAATGCATTGTTTAAAAAAAATTATACTATTAACACTTCGAGTACCATAGAACCTACTGAACCACCACACTATGATGATATCGTTAAAGAATAATCATCATCATATCCTTTTTGGATACACAGACACACACACATATATATATTTAATTTCAAAGTTAAAATTATTTTCAACCCTCTCTACCTTTTTGAGGGTACAATACATGAGTTTTTATAGAGTTCTTATCATTTTCTTTTTTTTTATAATACATATACATGTATAAATATATATTATCATATATGTAATGCACCTCTAGCGGTACTTAATCCAAAACTACTTAACATTCTTAAACTTGATGCACCCATTGGGAAATATGAAATAGCATAATACAATACAGCAATCAATTCTAATATAGCACTAATCATAGTCAGAATTGTAATTTTTTTAATCGTTGCAAAATATAATGTCATTAAACATGTACCAAAAAAGAATGCAGAAAATGCAATTCTATCCTTTGACGTTAAATGCTTAATATATGCCATTGGTCCCATTAATACACCAAATGCAAATACAAATAATAAAGATCCCATAGTCCATAATAATGCGAATTTTCTTGGCTTAATAGCCAAAACAGGAAATAAGAAAATGCATAATGTGAAACATCCAAGTGATCCAAGAATGAAACAAAAGAATAAAACTAATCTTTCAACACGAGATAGGTTAAACCAGGCGGGTTCTTCTTCTTGTTCTAAATCTTGCCTCGTTAATGGTAATCGTTGATAGATATCGGATGCTGTGTTATTTAAAGATTCTGTCCATGATGAAAAGAATCCACCACTACCACCGTTGTCGGTTGTATTGGCATTGCCTGATCGGGAATTGTTCCAACGATTTAAAGAACTTCTTAATTGATCGATTTGTGAATCACCAGACATCCTCTTAATACTATCTTTCCTTGTGCCTTTCCGACGAACTGCCTAAATATGAACAAGAAATCACCAATCAAACTAACCACATTCTTTAACCAGCGAGCCATATACCTTTGTCTCTCTGTAGTTCAGTTGTTTCAACTGAGTTTCGCTTCCAATGTTTCCAAAGAAATTGAATTGAATGGTTACCCCCAGCCGGTTAGAAAACCCGGTTTGTGTGAAGAAATTACCAAAAAAACAGTCAAAGCCTATTATGCGGAAGGCCTTCTATCTTTAAAGAACAATGAAATTTCGCAAATTTTTAGAAAAATTGAATAACAAGCAACGATTCTTACTATCCACTACAGGAAAACAGTACGTACCCTTTGACTCATTTAACAGTCATTAAAGATAAACTAAATATATACCAGATATATTCCATTTTTACAAGAGTCACATACTTGTTTTGTTGTATTACTCTGGAAGAAAACTTTACTGGAGATAACGTTTAATTATTAGCATACGAAATAGAGAACCGTAGATATAATAATGAACTCACACAATGATGAAAACCAAATGTTATTAGATGAGTTACTAAACCAGAATGGGAACAAACAGATGGGTGCTGGGAACTCGATGGCTAATTTTTTGGATTTTTATGACGATATACAACATTCTAGCAGTGTAACGAAAGCGAGAGAATCTCAACAACAACAGCAGCAACAGGCACAAATGAATACTAGGGACTCTGATGTCTCTTTATCTACACAGAATACATTTGTTTACCCTGGAAGCAATCCTGCCATGCAACATGAGAAAATGGCATATATGAACCAAAACAACAACAACAATAATAACCCACACGAATATCAATCTTTAACTAGAGATATGTACGGAGGGGCATTTTCTCATAAGAATAATGATGAAGTTGAGGTGACAAATGCTTCATTTTTAGATGATATGTTTACTACATCCGCGCACGCATCACAACAACAACAGCAGCAACAACAACATCATCAGCCACAACACCAATTTAATAATATGGAAGCTGATGATGGAACCGATATGAGCCGCCAAGGTTCCATAGCTGTATCGATATCAAATAATTCATATGCTCAATCTTTTACTGATGAACATATGCCACATGATCTGTTTACAACTAATCCAGAGGATCAAATGATAAATTTCGCAGATGATTTAAGTTCATCATTAGGATCTTCAATACATTCAGGATTTCATACATCAAATTTGGGAACTCCCACATCAAGTATGTTAAATGCACATAATTTAGATACAATTAATTCGTTGACAGCTACAAGTTATAATCAAAATAATACATTCTCACCTAGTTCTTTAAGGTCACCATCATCATCATTCAGGCCAAATGCATCATATCTATCAACATCATTAAGACAACCAAGTACGTTGTCAAATTATAATGCCAACAATTCTTCAATATCAAATAATACCAATAACAACAATAATAATAATATAGCAACCCCAACTTCGAGACATCCATCGACATCTGGTACAGCGAATGGGGGAGATTCATTACTAAGTACATCTGTTCCAAAATCTTTATCACATCTATCACACGAGGAGAAATTAAGACGTAAAAGAGATTTTCATAATGCTGTAGAAAGAAGAAGAAGAGATTTAATAAAACAAAAAATTAGTGAACTAGGAAATTTAGTACCGCCAGCTCTGTTATGTTTTGATGAGAAAGGAAAACCTGTTAAACCTAACAAAGGTATCATATTAAATAAGACTGTTGATTATGTGAGGTTTTTAATGGATGTAGGAAATGCTCAAGATCATAAAAAGGATCAATTATTACGCAAGATTAATGAACTAGAAGAAAAGTTTAATAATATTGATCTGAAAGGAGCACCAACTGAATTATCCGAGTCTGTAGGAACTGCTAGAACCTTAACATCCAAGAATAATAGTAGTCGAAACATTCAACATATTGCTGAGGGAGATGAAAGAATCATTGATTCGAGAGCATATCCAAATCTAAAAGCAGATATAAAGAGCGAAATACACGATGACCTGAACCAGTTTCTTTCAGGTAATATCTTGGAAGCACAGGATAATGCTCAACTTATGTTTGGAGATCCAATGAATGATAATAATGGGAATCCAGCTGACTATTTACTAGAATTTGATTCCTAAGCAACACCATAATTTACGCATATACGAATTACGACCATGAGACAAAGAGAGAGAGCAAAATGCATCCAAGGTGTAGATAAACACATGTATCATCTATTTTACATCATTGTATATACCCTTATATCTATCTATATATCTATACATATATGTTTATAGCTGCATAAAACACATCTTTGCATGACAAATTTCTTAGATCGCGCCTTTATCAAAATTAGTTCAAATAAGAGGATTTGAAGTTTATATTGGAGTTCAATATATGAAAGCTGAATCAATAATTAATAATGGCAGAATACCACTGAGCAAAGAACGAATAACAAAGATTACACTCTCAATTGTTGTATATATAGTAGTTTTTTTATTATTGTTGATATATTTTAACTTATAGATTCCATAACAATGGGGTTGATTAAAAGAGTGAATGCATGGTCCAATGATAGGATTCTGGATTATCTATCAGTGAACCCTACAAGAGATGAGATTACACATTATAAAGTTGATCCATTCAATGAATCCGATGATTCAATTGTTAAACTTCATACGATGAAGAATTTTGCGAACATTACCTGTCTAGATTATTCTGATTCTACCCCAGGTATGGTTGGTGTAGGTGAAAAAGATGGGTTTGCAAAGATCGTTAATGTATTAACGAATGATACAGAGCTCTCGGTAAGGGCCAAATACCGTCGTTGTGTTAATACGATATCAATGAGTAATTCTGGACTAATAGCGATGGGTCTTGATAGACACAAACAGGATTCATCATTAAAGATTTGGGATGCTAATTATCAACAAGCAGGGGAGCAGATTGTTAATACAACCTTTGAGTATTGTGTGAATGAATCAATCGTCTCTTCAAGATTTTTAAGTGAAATATCTTTAATTGCATCAAGTACCAAATTTCTTAAAGAGATAGATTTAAGAACAAAGAACCCTGTATATCAACATCCTACTCGTTTATCGTATGACATTAAATTGAACCCATTTAATGATTGGTTGTTCAGTACATATGGTGATGATGGGACATTATCTATATGGGACAGAAGGAAGTTAACTAGAGGTGTAATCCCCGGGGATCTAAGTTTGGCATCCCCTTTATTAACATTCGAGAAACTGGTTGGATCAGGTGCAGCTTCAAGAAAATATATGAATTCCTGCTTCAGATGGTCGTCCATACAGAACGGAGAATTTGCAACATTGCACAGAGGTGATACTATCAAGAGATGGATGCTAGGTTCGTGCCAGGATGTGGACGAAGAAACTGGAATGGAATCACAAGAATTATTCGTTTCGAAAGTTCATGATATACAAACGACTTATGATAGAGTCGCAACGTTTGATTATATTCCAAAAGGACAACATAGGGTGAGTATTATCTGTATGCGTCATTCTGGTACAGTTTATAGAATGCCAGTTACACCTTCTTATTCCACAACTGTGTTTAATTTTGATAACTCTCTATTGTTATCAAATGCGGAGACACCAGAGATTGATGAATTCCAAGTAGTTCAAACTGATTCAAACTCTACACTAGAAAATGTGAAGACCGATTTAAGGAATCTCTCATTTGAAGATTTGGGATTAGGTGATGATTATGTGCCACTGAATGAGGATGATAAATTTTCAACACCTACAGATGGTGGATTATTACCGGGAGAGGACAGACAAGAATTAAATCCGACTATGAGAAACCGTAATAATTCAGCTTCCAATGATGAAGTTGAAACTAATTATGATGCTGACGAGGATCCTAATAATCTTTTGGAGGAAGGTGAAGATTCTGCATTATATTGGAAAGCAGATAGGTTATTACAAAAGGATATTACTGTCATTATGAAAATGAGAGCAAAGTTAGGTTATGGGTTAGATCCGATGTCTACCGTGGAAATGATAGATAAGTCTAAAGCATTACAAAATAATGCGTATATTAGAAATACTTGGAGGTGGATTGCCATTGCGAAGGCATCTGTAGAAGATGGTACTATTGTTTCTGATGATTTAGATTTAGGTTATGAAGGTATTCTTGGTATTTGGAATGGTGTCACTGGAATAGCAAATCAAAACAGATACACCAACGATTCTACGTTGTCTGAAAAACAATTAATTAGAGAAATGGAAAAAATTATCAAATTAAGGAAAAAATACAAAACAAGTTTAGGCCATAAGAGCCCCGTTTCAAATTTTTCAAACTCACAAAAACATATTCAAAGAAGATTATGTCTCATTATATCAGGCTGGGACTTATCACCATCTGATTACGAGGATAAATATAATTTAATTATTGGTAATGGTCATTATGAAAAAGCAGCAGCCTGGGCTGTTTTCTTTGGAGATATCCCTAAAGCTGTTGAGATTCTTGGATCAGCCAACAATGAAAGATTACAGCTGATAGCTACAGCAATTGCCGGGTATCTTGCATACAAGGATCAACCTGGTAACAATGCTTGGAGAGCTCAATGCAGGAAAATGTCATCAGAACTGGAAGACCCTTACTTAAGAGTAATTTTTGCCTTCATTGCTGATAACGATTGGTGGGATATTCTATACGAACCAGCAATCTCATTACGTGAACGTCTAGGTGTCGCATTAAGATTCCTAAGCGATGTAGACCTTACGAGATTTTTAGAGAGAACCTCTACTCAAGTTATCTCCAATGGTGAATTAGAGGGTCTTATCCTAACTGGTATCACTCCGACGGGTATCGATTTGCTTCAATCATACGTCAATAAGACAAGTGATGTCCAGACTGCTGCATTAATATCTATATGTGGGTCTCCTAGATATTTTAATGATATACGAGTAGATGCATGGGTAGAAAGTTACAAACGAATGTTAAATGCATGGGAGTTGTTCCCTATGAGAGCAAAATTTGATGTATTGAGAACAAACCTGTCATGTACAAGCTCTGGTACGATTACCACCAAACCAAAACCTAGACAATTATACATACAATGTCCAAGCTGTAAGATGAATATCAATACACCAAATAATACTGAATCTGGAAATATTTTAAACGATGCAGCCTCAACAAACTCTAACCCCAAATTACCTGTGCAAAATATCTTCTCTGGTACAGGGAAATATGCCAACCCGAAGAAAGTACAGCACAAACATTCATGTCCACATTGTGGTACACCATACCCAAGATGTGCTATATGCCTGATGCCTCTAGGAACATCAAACTTACCATTTATTATTAATGGTATCTCCCATGACGATGAAGAAGACGAGCAAGAAAATGAACAGCTACAATTTCAAGATGAAGATGGAATGGAAATGAAACATTCAACATCATCTCTTGGATACAACAGACGGAAAAGGAGACTTCATGAATGGTTCAGTTTCTGTCTAACATGCAACCATGGGATGCATGCTGGCCATGCAGACGAATGGTTTGCAAGACATAACATCTGCCCAACACCAGGGTGCAGTTGCAAGTGCAACACGCTCTAGAACATATACCCTCCGCCCAATATATAAGCACATATATATAGAAACGAATCAGACTTTAAGTAAATTCATTTAATATTCCAACTTCCAACTTGAATGATTTTATTGATTGAGATCCTATCATTTAGTGTCATAATGGTTACCCTATTTTCATCACTTTATCGCGCCATTTGATCTGAACAGAAAAATACAAAATTTAATTTTTGAAACGAACGAAGTTTCAGAAGGAAAACGCCTTGTTTTCAGCTAAATCAGGAATTGCGTATGATTTTAATAGGGTGAATAAGAACATGTTAATAACGGTTCCTTTAATCACTAAAGAAATTTAGACTCTTTATTTCACTTTATAGTTAACTTTTCAAGTCTGTGTGAAGGTAAAAAAGAAAAACCGTCCTTTTCTTTTGTTGTAGTTCAGTGAGGTGTCTATTATTTGGTAATTTTTTTGAGTAATAATAGCAACAAGTGCATCTGGAAATCAAAATCATGATCTCTCAAGTTGAACATGATATCAACAAGAAGATTGCGGTGGAGCAGAATATCATTCAAGGGGCCAAGAACTTGAAGAAAAAGACTTCAAATTCGATGGTTATTCAGAAATGTAACACGAATATTAGGGAAGCAAAGCAAAATATTCAATATTTACAGGAAACTTTAAAGAAAATCCGTTTGAATGATGAAGCAAAGAATAACGAACAAGATAATACACACGAACTTGGGAAGAATACAGAATATGGATATCTATCTACAATCTCCCCTAATGAACATATTTTCTCTCGTCTTGATCTAACTAAATACGATTGTCCGTCGATGTCCCAAAGAATTCAATACATGTTACAACAATTAGAATTTAAATTACAAGTTGAACAACAATATCAGGAAGCAAATACCAAATTGACTAAATTATATCAGATCGATGGGGATCAACGTAGTAGTTCGGCAGCAGAAGGTGGTGTTGTTGAATCCAAACATAGAATTATGATGCTTAAGAAAGCAACGAAAAAGTATCAAGCACTTAATATTGATCTAGGTCATTACAAACACAATGATAATGATTTAATGACTAATCAACAACCTAAGTTTAGGAGAAAACCACTTACAGGGGTGCTAAAGATTATGGTTAATGGGATTAGAGATGTTGATCATATCCAATCACCAATGTTTGCCAGAAGTCCTGATTCGTTTGTAGAGATTAAGATTGATGATACAGTGAAAGCAAGGACAAAGCTATCTAGAACCGATAGATGGAATGAAGAATTTTCAATTAATATTAGCAAAGGGAATGAAATTGAAATAACTGTTTATGATAGAATTAATAATACTACAACACCAGTCGGGATCATGTGGCTGTTGCTATCAGATATTGCTGAAGAAATCCGTAAAAAGAAGACTACTATGACAAATGGTCAAGGTTGGGTAAGCGCCTCAAATCTTGGAAGTACTCAATCCAATGACATTAATACCGGTGCCGGAGGTAATAGAAACAATAACATGCAACTTGATAGTTCCAACATTGGATCTAATATAAAAACTTTAGACAACCAAGAACCACTAAATTCGGGAGAAAACAATCAAATTACTAGTACCAATTGGTTTATTATGGAACCAACTGGCCAAATATTGTTAACTCTGGGTTTTAACAAATCTTCACAACCTGTTAGATCAAACATTGTAGGTGGGTTACACCGTCATGGTGCTATCATGAATCGTAAAGAAGAAGTCTTTGAACAACATGGTCATCATTTTGTTCAGAAGTCATTCTACAATATTATGTGCTGTGCGTATTGTGGTGAGTTCTTAAGATATTCAGGTTTCCAATGTCAAGATTGTAAATTCTTGTGCCATAAGAAATGTTATACTAAAGTGGTCACTAAGTGTATTGCCAAAATTTCTACAGATACAGATCCTGATGAAGCTAAATTAAATCACCGTATTCCTCACAGATTTGAACCATGTTCTAATCGTGGTACTAAGTGGTGTTGCCACTGTGGTTATATCTTACCCTGGAGTAAACAAAAAGTACGTAAATGTTCAGAGTGTGGCGTAATGTGCCATACACAATGTGTTCATTTGGTTCCAGATTTCTGTGGTATGTCAATGGAAATGGCCAATAAGATTTTGAAGACAATTCAAGATGCAGAACGTAATAAAGGGGAAAAGAAAATACACAAATCACATAAACAAATATCACCATATAAACCCCGTGGAGATATGATATCCCCCAACAAACATGCCTCTGTCTTCATGGAAAAGGGTAAAAATATTTCACCAAGTTCGGAAGTTTACAAGTCTACATCAAATAACCAGGAATATTCACAGGCCGAATACCATTCTTCTGCCCAAGCCTCACCAAGTAAGATCAACGACACAACAGATAGATTAAATCACTTTATCGAGGAGAATGAAGTCTACTTGAATTTTACAAGAGGTGCAGAACGTGATGAGAAATCTCCCGAACTAAATGATTATAACAATAGAACTTTGGATCCAACAGCGGAATCTCTTAAGAATGTTCCACAAAATGGTGACTTAAACCTAGCCGATTATAATAGATATAATGGAGAGGATGAAACAGAACACCCATATAAGGAAGAGAATGAATTGTGGGAAGAACAACGTCATCAGTTGGAAGTTGAACTACATCAGCAAAAACTAGCTGAATTTGAGAGACAGAAACAAGAAGAAGAGATGGTCAACGAACCAGTTGAGTTACAAACTACTAGAATCCATGAAACAGATGAGATACAATATGTAGAACCTCAACCAAGTAAATCTCCAAGAACTTATTCTAATCCATTCCGTGATACTGAACAAGATCATTTAGAAAAAACCACAACTATGGATTTGGTTCATCAAGATGAATTACAGGATATACCAGAAACCGCCAGGAACAGTATCTGCGTTTCCCCTCAAAAGGCACATACAACTACAAAGCAGAAAAGAAAGTCAGGTAAACGTCGGAAGGTTTCTCTTGATAATTTCATTCTTCTAAAAGTTCTAGGTAAAGGTAATTTCGGTAAAGTTATATTATCGAAATCGAAAAATACAGGTAGATTATGCGCTATTAAGGTATTGAAAAAGGATAATATTATTCAAAACCATGATATCGAGAGTGCTAGAGCTGAAAAGAAGGTGTTTTTACTTGCAACAAAAACAAAACATCCATTCTTAACAAATCTGTACTGTTCTTTCCAAACTGAAAACCGTATTTATTTTGCTATGGAATTTATTGGAGGTGGTGATTTAATGTGGCATGTTCAAAATCAAAGATTGTCTGTAAGAAGAGCGAAATTTTATGCTGCAGAAGTTCTGCTGGCTCTAAAATATTTCCATGATAACGGGGTTATCTATCGTGATTTGAAATTAGAAAATATCTTGTTGACACCAGAAGGTCACATTAAGATCGCTGATTACGGTCTGTGTAAAGATGAAATGTGGTATGGTAATAAGACTTCCACATTCTGTGGTACTCCAGAATTTATGGCACCTGAAATTTTAAGAGATCAAGAATATAGTAGAGCTGTCGACTGGTGGGCATTTGGTGTCTTATTATATCAAATGTTACTATGCCAATCACCATTTTCTGGTGATGATGAAGATGAAGTGTTCAATGCCATTTTAACTGATGAACCATTATATCCAATTGATATGGCTGGAGATATTGTTCAAATATTCCAAGGCCTATTAACCAAAGATCCTTCAAAACGTCTAGGTGGTGGACCTCGTGATGCATTAGAAGTCATGGAAGAGCCATTCTTCCGTAACATCAATTTCGATGATGTACTAAGCTTACGTGTCGAGCCTCCATATATACCGGATATCAAGTCCGCTGAGGATACATCTTATTTTGAACAAGAATTTACTTCTGCTCCACCATCATTGACTCCACTCCCATCTGTTTTAACCACTAATCAACAAGAAGAGTTCCGTGGGTTTTCATTCATGCCGGAGAACCTCGAGTTGTAATCAAACTTCCCAAAGAAACAAAATCTATAAAACTGTTAAAAGCAAAAAAAACAGAAATAATAATTATTAACCAAACTATCGATATATGTATATATATATTTACATACTTTACCTGTGTACATTAATGACTAATAAACAAGGACCATGTGCATATTCTGCAATAAAACAAGCATGCAAATTCATACCTACCGCGGACTAGTAGAATTAATTAGTAGATATGTTACATGATCGTTGGTTTTGTTAAAAAATGTTTTGTTGGTTGTGGTTAATTGCCTCTTTATTTTCTGGCACCAACAAATGAAAGCCCAACGAAGAACGAAGCTTGAAAAAACTAAAAAAGTGGAACAATGGTTCGTATAATGAAGGCTCATCTATAATGAAAAACAAAGTAATAAGAAACAACGATCTATAAGAAACGTATATTACAGGAACAGTAGATCAACATTACCTTTCTTAATTATAGCAATATTGAAGGGTATCGAATTGGTCTATACATACATTTGGTGCAATGTTTAAAAGTGATAGGTTTAAGAAAGTCTCTCAGGCTTTTAAATCACCCAAATCAAGTGGCTCTGCAAATAGAAGTGCAAGCAGTTCTCCTATAGTTCCTGCAAGTTCTGATGGGAAGTTCAAAAGTGTTTCCAATTCTATTATGAAAGCTAACCCTATTTCTCAATCGTCTGACGCTAGACTGTTTGATTCACACGTGGTTAAATATTCAGGGATTAAGGGTAAGATCATAGCTTACTCATTTGATTACACGCAAAGTTTAATGGCTGTAGCTACTGATCTGAATGAAATTCATGTATTCGGTCAAGGTCAAGTGGAAGTAGTCTTTACATTATCCATAAAGGGTTCCATCCGTACTCTAAATTTTGTTAAAGGTATATATTTAGTTGCCATCGATTCTAAGGATACATTACTGGTATTGTCGTTATACTCAAAGAAAGTATTAGCTTCGGTGTTTATTCCTAGTCATATTACATGTGTCGAAACTGATCCTGGTATCGACTGGATTCTTTTAGGTTTACAGAATGGTGCCGTTATGGTATATGACGTAGATCGTAACAGCTTCTCAGGTGTTACTATTGAAAATCTTCAAAAATCTCAGTTTTTCCCTAAGGAGATCATATCACCTGTTGTTTCAGTTAGATGGAACCCAAGGGACTTAGGTAGTGTATTAATATCTTACAATTCTGTAACAGTGGTATATTCATTGGTGGAAATGGAAATTAAACAAAGTTTTATATATGAACTTCCACCATTTGCTCCAGGTGGTGACAATTCTGATAAAAAAATTGATACAGTTAGAAGGCCTAAAGTTGTTCAATCGTTATACCATCCAAACTCTTTGCATATATTAACAGTGCATGAGGATAACTCAATGGTATTTTGGGATGCTAACACAGGTCATTTAATTGAGGCTAGAACTTTATTTGAAACAGATGTCAACATTCCAAACCCTAAAAGAGAAATATTAATGGGAGCTGCAGGGTCTCCTCAAATATTTAAAGTTTATTGGATATGTATGAATAATCCTGAATATACATCATTATTGGTTGCTACAAAGAGTTTGGCAAAAGGTGATACTAGTCAAGGTATTACTATCCTTGACCTTGGTGGGACTCCACTTTACAGCATAACTTCATATGATGCAATGCAACAATATTATGCAAACCCTAAACATCAAAAATTATGTCCATTGGTAAATAGAGCTCCATTAGTAGATATTTTACCTTTACCAAAAGCTTCCGCCCATTTTGGTGGTTGTCATGATCCTGCTGTTGTACTTGCATTACTAGATGATGGTGAGATAGAAACACTATTAGTTAAATCTGGTTCCTTCACTTCAAAAGCAAGCTTATTATCCCAAAGTTTATCATGGACAAGACCAGTGGTTACAACCTCAACTGCATTTTCTGTTCCTAAGAAATTATGGCTAGGTTTAATGTCAACTTATTCCACAGTAAATGAATCAATTTTGAAAGGTGGTACCTCTTCCAAGAGAGGAATGAGACCCTCAGAAATTAGAACAGCTATTGCAACAGGCCACACTAACGGTTCTGTTAGAATTTGGGATGGTGCTCAAAATGAATTAGATGATAAATGTGTATTTGAGGTCAATGTTGGTCGGGTTGTTAATAGAGCTCTCCACTTATCAATTTCAAAGATACATTTTGCAGCAGAAACATTAGAACTAGCTGTAGCAACTGAACAAGGTGAAGTTATTCTATACAAATTTGAATTAAACCAATTCTTTAAGGATAATAAACAAAGCTCAGATACAGATCTTGACATGATGTTTAGAAGATTCTCTCTTGAAGATGCTAAGGACATTTTGGTGGATGTGAGAGATAGAGCACCTCCTAACATTAAACAAGGGTTCATGCCAAGTACTGTGGTTAATGCAAGAAGAGGTGAGGTCACCTCCTTGTGCAATAGTAATATCGGGTTCGTCGCGATAGCATACTCGAGTGGTGCCATAATAGTCGTTGATAGAAGAGGTCCAGCTGCAATATTTATGGGACAAGTGAGAGATATACCAAAAATCAAAGGAACATGCATTACTTCGGTCAATATATCTATCATGGAATACGCCTCTGATGGTTATTCAAGTATATTGATGTACTGTGGCACAGACTCCGGTGAGTTGATTACATATAAAATTTTACCAAGTGGTAGTGGTAGGTTTTCGGTGGAGTTTATTGAAATATCGAAGACTAGCGATAATGGTCCAATCATAAGTATTGCTTCTTATGCTAAAGCTTCAGGAGGCAGTTGTGAGGGTACTATTATGAAGATGCAAGAATTAACAAGAGGCTCATGCGTCGCTGGTTACGTTATTGTGACTGGGAAGAATGACATTAGAATAGTTAAACCTGGTAAATCTAAGGAAGATCACAAATCATATAGACATCCAATTGTTGCCTGTGATATTACATACATCTTAAATTACGGTTCAAAGGGTGAAGCCAGAATAACAACATTCTTGGTCGCTGTTTTAAGTAATGCCTGTGTGAAGGTTTTAGCTTTACCTGACTTAAAAGAAATAAAATCTATGGACCCACCTACTCCAGTGAGTTCACATTATATCACAGAAACAGCCGTTATTAAGAATGGTGATGTCTTCATGAGAATTGGTAAATATCTTTCGGTTCTTCTATCTATCGTTAACGAACAGAGTAATGCTGTGCCAGGAAGTCCTACCCTTTCCTCCAATGGTCCTGTGGTTGATGTTCTATATAATCCAAATTTAAAGATCACATATAGACCACAGGTCAATTCATTGCAATGGGCGAGAGGTACAGTTTACTGTACCCCTGAGCAATTGGCTTTGATATTAGGAGGTGAGAAGCGTCCTGACTCAAGATATAAAGAAAGTGCGATTGCTACAGGTACATTATCTTCAGAACCTCATTCTTCAGAACATGCCTATCAAAAACCTATAAGACATGCTAATAAGCATAATGCAGGATATGGTTATATGAAAGGGATATCTCGTACTGTCGAAACCCATTGGGATAATATCGAGACCCAATTTAATGATTATGCTACGGCTACTGGTCAAGCAATGAACGATGCAATGGAACAAACCGGGAAGGATATTGTAAAAGGTTCTTTCGGTTTATGAACGTGTGTTATATAAAACAATGACTCTTAGCTCTCTTCCTATTGAAAGGATGTCTATAACGTATATAAAAATTATAAAATGTTATTGATATTATAGATACTGTTACCCTTTGTCTTATTGCCAATATTGTGCGATATATGTGTTAGCAGTTTGTGTGTGAATTAAAAAAAAAAAATCTTAAACAAAGGGACATCGGTTTAGTAGTAGAAAGCGAAACTTGAAAAGATTACGGTGGTAATTACAAAGGTAAACGAAATACCCTCAGAAAGTTCAAAGGAAGAGATTATTTAAGGACTATAACATTGTCTAAACATTAATTATTTTCACATAAGTGTTTCTTTTGCTTGTCAGTGCTAATCAGTTTTACTTTGACTGTTGATTATATGAGTGAGCAATCAATAACGGTACGAGCACCCAAGGTGTTCCTAGAATCTAACCTTAACTTCCCAAACGTAGATACGTCTGTTACGGAAGTAACTGTCACAAGAGCGCGATGCATTGATCCTAGCCTATTGGATTCATTCTTAAGGACCATGAGACACGGAAGTGATGATATTATTAAGCAGAAAATAAACAACGTTACAGAAAAAGGTTCCACACTTCGTTCAAAGAGTGAGAAATGTGGTGACTTTGTAAGAAATGAATTATATCCTAATTGGAAAGAACGAAGTAAAGTGATTTTTTATTGCCAATACCAAGCGACTTTGATGAAAGAAGAATTAGATGTTAAATCAAATGAAATGGTATCTGACGGTCCACAAGTAGCTACGAGAATAGACCCATATGCTGAAAGGGATTGGAAGAAAGAACAAGAGTCCCGTTTCAAACAGTGGAGGAATGTTTGTGGTTGGGTACAGAATAATCTGCAAATAGAGTCGATACTCAGAACTACGAGCGAGGAAATCTTGAACCAAAGATGTGATGCCAATCGAAAATATTTAGAGGATTTCGAAGAATTCATGAACAAACAACAGACTAATAAGTAGCACATGGACCACATATTAACTGTTTGTGAAAAAAGAAAACACAAAAACTGATCTTTGATGAAAATCTTGATAAAACTCATTTGTCCAGTCAAATAACAGGAAACAAACGACAAATGGAGACAATCATTTATTATATAAAAAGTTCTGATCATTTAACAACTTTTATGCATATTTATTATTCTTTTACCCTGTCTATAACTTCTAACTAGCATTAATTCGTCCGAATATCTGAAAACCACAACCCTCACTCCCAGTTCCTGTAGTTAGTTACCTTTTATATAATTGCACATATATAGGATCCCTATTAGGCCTGTCAAAACCTCAGGTTAATAACACTTACATATCATTATAGCAGTTTGAAATTTTATGATAGTTAGGTGAAACTTTTCATAAACAAAAAAAAAAATCAGGTGATTATTCCAACTTTTGAAAGGATCCTCACAGTTCAAAATTCTTCTAGGAGCAACCAGGTCTCACTACGAGCAAGGTTATTCAATACAAATTTCTTCCCGGCGTTATACGTTGGTACATTAATCGCTAGTTGTTACTGTTTGGTATGTGGATGTTTAGTTTCTATTACTGTGACATCCCAAAAAGGAGTCAAAATTTAGGTTGGGATTCATAAGCGACGACTGTCTTTCTGGTTTAGCTGACAGTTTATTGTATCGGTGGTATGTGGTGCTGGGATGTTTCTGTGACATCGCCAAGTTAAAACAAAATAAATTAAAATTAAAATAAAGAAGACAGAAACATAAGTAAATTATATCTAATCCATTTATATGTATATATATGTGAAGACCCACGTTAGGTTCTGAAATAGTAGGGGAAAAGTTTTATTTTCTAAGAAAAAGTTTAGGAAACAACCTTCTATATAGTACACATAATTTTATTTTTTATTATGACAGGAGATATCCGTGTGTTAGATCTACCTTTGTTTGACGTTGACGAGAAAAATGGGTTTCTGTCGTCAGAACCACCACTTGAGCGATTATCCAACCTCTACTACGAACCATGGGAAAAGTTAGCGACAAATATTCCTCAATTATTATTGACCAATCAAATGAAACCTCAAGTTGAAAATGAGTTACCCTTATTATCTATCGATCAGTTAACTACGTTACAAGAATTGAAAAGGGGTTATGTTCTCTTAACATTCATTATTAACGGTTATGTTTGGTCCTCCAACCCTCCAAATGAAGTTATACCAGATTCCTTAGCTCAGCCATTGTTGGAAGTCTCCAACAAACTAGGACTCCCCCCCGTTGCTACTTATTCAAGTGTTGTGTTATGGAATTATAAAGTTGTAGACGAGGCAAAAGATTTAAGTTTAGAAAATTTAACAACTGGTTTAACATTTACTGGTAGTTTTGATGAAGCGTGGTTTTACTTGATCAGTGTTTATTTTGAGAAAATAGGTGCCCAATGTATTGAACATGGTTTAAAAGCTGTTGATGCAGTCAGTTCAAATGACTCTACATCGTTTATAGAGTCTATGAAATTACTTGCAATGAGCATTGATAACTTAACAGATATATTGAAGAGAATGGAAGAAAAATGTGATCCCTATGTGTTTTATTTCAGAATTAGACCATTTTTAGCAGGATGGAAAAATATGTCTAAAGTGGGGCTTCCAAAAGGTGTAAAATATGGATCAACTGGTGAGTATCAACAATGGTCAGGCGGGTCCAATGCACAAAGTTCTTTAATTCAATATTTAGACTTAGTTTTAGGAATCACGCATTTTTCAGATGGTGGTCAACAACAATATCCAAGAAAACCAATTACTAATGAATCCCAATTTAAGAGAAATTCTTATTTATTAGATATGAGACAATATATGCCAAAACCACATCGTTCATTTCTAAAAGCAGTGAGTGAAAGCACAAATATTCGTCAATACGTTTTGAAACAAAGTTCAGAATCTACAGAGCGATTTGCATATGATACATGTATTTCAATGATGAAAAACTTTCGTGATGTTCATTTAGGTATAATTAGAAACTACATTTTGATTCCAGCCAGAGCGGAAAGAATGAATGAAACTCATATTATGAGAAATGGGTTAGCTACAACACATAATAATAAGAATCATTTGGGTACTGGTGGTACATCCTTAGTTAAATTTTTAACTCAATGTAGAGATGAAACCAGTGACATGGCTGTCACTAAATGGGTTAAAGAATACTTAAAGGAGGATGATATTGAACACTCAAACCTAGAGATGAATTTTGTGTTTGATTACAGTTATAATTTTATTGGATTCAAGGATAAAATGTCGAATATTCAACTTATTGAAGATGATGCAGAAAATGGAGATGTTGATTTTTTCATTCATCATTGGTAAATATATTGTTACTGAATGTAGTTAAAAATTATACAAAAAAAATGATAATATGATATATAGATATATATCGCTCTATTTAGTATTATTACTTTACATTAAAAGTAAAAAAACAAAAAAACAATAAGTATTTCTCTGGCATGAATTGATTTTTTGGTTTTATTTAGAATCTAATAATGTTAAAGTTTTCTTAAATTCTACTTTACCATTTGGTTCAACATACGCAAAACTTAAATTACTATTAGCTAAATCGTCTTTAACTTCTTTCGAAATATATTTTTCCATTGGTTCATCAGGTAATAATGGTTCTAATTCATAATTTGAATTATTATCAAGAATAGTATTATTAAAACTTTGAATCAACAAAGTTCTAGGGCCTTTAATTTTAATGAAATTTGTTGGAGTACCATATTTGGTTACATCATATAATTTCCTTATATATTGACTCGATCTTATAATTAATGCTTTTGTTAATGATACGACAGATTTTATAGTGATTGAGTTTGTTTTTTCATCCTTAAAACTGGGGATTGGAATATATTCGATTTTAATTTTATTTTGCGACATCAATTGATTTGTTACAGAATCTCTAATATCTACTTGAGATTTCCCACTAATTGCTAATAAATTTTTATAATTAATTAATATTTCATCATAAGGATTTTTCAAATCTAATTTAATAATCGATCCTATACCATTTAATAATAAATTACCACGACCTCTTAATACGATAAAATTTTGATTAATAAATTTATTGAATTGTAACGATCGTGATGGTAATAAATCCAAGGAAGTATTTTGTTCATATGCGACGATTGAATCTTTACCCCAAATTTGCCAATCTTCTTCACCAGATAAATTTAAATGATACAAAGAAGTTTGGAGATTTTTATTCAACGAATTATTGGTAGATATAAGTGCATTGAAAGAATGCATAGATGATACCAATTTCACAAATTGTGAAGGTTTTAAAGAGGAATATTGAATCATATTACTCCATAAGTTAATAAATTGTTTAGTTAAAGATACATCTGATATATTGTTTCCATTATTATATAATGATACTAGACATCCCTGGCGAATGAATATAGGTATTTTTGGTGCAACTGATAATCTAGCAATAGTAGGCGGATTATTAATCAATTTAAATAAGGTTCTAGTTCCAGCTTGAGAAGGGGAGTCATCTGTTGATAATTTTCTACAACCACCAAACCGTACCGATCTTCGGCCTGTATCTATAAATCTCTTCATCAACCTGTTCACTTTTACTTCGTTGATTTGAGACTATTCATGTCCTATTTTCACAAATGGTTTCAATTTCCTTTTAACATAGTGTGTATCCCTTTCTATGTAAAAACTTGTTTATAGTTGCTTCTCTCTCTGTTCTTCTTTTTTTTTTTGGGGTGAACTTTCCCTCAGTGAGGCCAAAAGCAAAACAACGCGATGCCCGCCAAAAGCAGAAAACACAACTTGAGATTTTGAATATGATTGGCCCACTCAGCAGAGAGAGAGAGATGAACGTAGTTCTCATCAAGATTTGTTATCGATGGCATTAGTCTCTTCAAATCCAGGTAATAGACCATCCTGTTTGAGTTGGTTAACAAATTCGGAATCACTCAATGAAAAGATTCTATCCTTATTTGGTAAACCTGTATTCAATGGATCAACTACTACAGTGGCGCCGTTGCCATTGCTGTTACTACTATTGTAAATATTATTAATATTACTACTACTACTATGAGATGTTTGGTGATGAGACGTCTTTGAGAACCCGTCAAACCCCTTAATGATGTTTCCTTGAGTGGTAAGCAACGAGTTACTTAACTGATGGCCTGTCTCTGGAGAGACATTACTGAAATATTCAGTCTCTTTATCATAAATTTGTTGCTCCAACGAAACAATATCATCCTGGTACTGTTTTCTATCCTTCAAAGCACTTTTCAATTTCTGTTTCAGCTGTTCGTATTCCTTTAGATCCTCTTCCATCGTGTAGAATGTTCAGTGTGTGTGTGTTGTTCTCTTACTCCCTGTCTCAACTGGGCCAACCTCAGTGTCTCTTGTAACGTTCACTGTTTATTTATATGAAAATTGTTCCAAAACGCTGCAAATTTTCTTCGCGTAAAGCAAAGCAGGACAGATTTGTATGTGCATACAGTGGTAGCAGTGCAGCTGCATGCAACGACAACTCCACCAAGCAAGAAGAAGAAGGGTGTACTTACAGACGAATGTGCATTCTCTGATGTTGTGGTAAGTGGTGATGATGATGATGATGATGGTGATGCGTATTGACCAGCACTCTCACTGTATCACACCATATATACTTTTTACTGGGCATCGCTGCAAACGGCAGGAAATAGCGAGCGTAGCAACACTGCCCTTCCGCGGGATTCAACAAAAATTTTTCAAACTTCTTTCTTTGTTTCTGACTGTTTTTGCATTGTTAGCAATCTTCACTATTGTTGTTGCTATTGTCTGGCAGATCCTGCAACAGTGCCAACGACTATCATCATTCTGACAACTGTATAATTTGACGTAAACATACATTATATATATATATGTATATATATCTTGATGGAAGTAGTGCATCACCAAACCAATTAAACTAGCAATATGCTGTATTTTAGACATATGAGACGTGCAGGTAGGTTTACTGTAATAATCGTATGTTTAACAATAATATATTATTTATATTCTGTGTTTCATGAACAAAGTCTCCATGGCTATAAACATAATAATACATTTTCGAAAAATGTATCATATGTATTTTATAATAAATTATTTGAAAGTATCGATTATTTTAAACCAATGGATCCACCTGAAAAGAATAGAATGTTAATGAATTCATTCACTTGCAAGAAAGTTGGAAACTATGGACTTAACGACGTTAAAAAATTCAATCATTTGACTTTCTACCATTTAAATGAATGTTATCATTTAGATGATGACCAATTTAATAACCTTCATCAGACCCATAATGGATTTATGAAGGAAATTGTCGAACAATTTCCAAATAATATTATTAATAATCTAAATATTAAAGGGAAAGGGATCGTCACCGTTGGTGGTGGAAGATATTCTGTCCTTTTAATCACAATGTTAGAAACTTTAAGACACTCAGGAACTACATTGCCTGTCGAAGTATTTATCCCACCAAAGGATGAAGGAGATGATGAATTTTGTAATATTTTCCTACCAAAATTGAATGCAAAATGTGTCTATTTTAAAGATATTTTACCATCAAATATTGTGGACAATATTGAAGTGAAAAGTTATCAAATTAAAGCAATGGCTTTGGTCCTATCAACTTTTAAAGATATTATTTTCTTAGATGCTGATAATTTTGCAATGAAAAATTTGGATAATGTATTTGATTCAACTATTTATAAAGAGACAGGTCTTGTGATATGGCCAGATCTTTGGAGAAGATTTACTGCTCCAATATATTATAAGATTGCAGATATTCCATACAACAAAGATAAAAGAGTTCGTTATTCATTCGATGATGTTTCTCCCGTATCACGTTATGAGAAGGATCCAACTAATATTGATTCAACTTCAAAGGATTCAAAGATACCGTTCCACGATTTAGAAGGAACAATAGCTGATCCCGCAAGTGAATCCGGACAAATGTTAATCAATAAAGAGAAACACTTACATACGTTATTATTAGCATTATACTATAATATTTATGGTCCAATGTGGTATTATTTCATGTTTTCACAAGGAACAGCTGGTGAGGGTGATAAAGAAACCTTTATATCAGCGGCTCATGCTTTGAATTTACCTTATTATCAAGTGAGAACACCCTTGGCCTTTGATGGGTTCCATCATGACGTAAAGATGTTTCAAGGATTAGGTTTATTACAACATGATTTCATACAGGATTACCAATTACATCAAGATTTGCAAAAGTTAGTTAGTGAGAATCCCGAAAAATATTCAAAATTTGATCCTGATTATGATTTAGATATTACATATAAGAAACATATGTTACAAACGCAAGGCGAAAAACACGATGATTCCGTAGATGTAATGTTTTTACATGCAAGTTTCTATAAATTTGATGCATGGTCACTATATGATCAAAAATGTTTCTTATTAGGCTCCGGTGAACATACTAGAGGTTATACGAATCAAAGACGTTATGGTGGATTTGATTTTGAATTGTTCAATTTTAAAGCTTTACAAAATCAATTATGTAATAAGGATGAATCCTTAAGACACAGAGATTTTAGATACTTGAATGAAAAGGTCTCCGAGGAAGATTGGCCAAAACTATGTGCTTACATCGATGATCATGTCGAATACTTGAACAACACTCCATTGCCCACAAATAAATAATGATCGGATTCTTATTAGCCTTTCCCTGTTTTCTGTATTGTTGAATATTGTGACAGGTTACACTTTTTTTTTTTTTGCCTTGTTTGTTGTCTTTGGCTTCTTATTGCAAGACGCGTCCTTCAACACGAATGAAAATACATATATTACTATATAAAAAAAGTATATATATCAAACTGTAAACACATACATACACACATTGCATACCACTAACTATTCAATTTGAACAAGCAAAGCTCAAGAAAACTATTCATTTCAATAACTTTAGAGCTTTTTATCACAATATGTCTATGTTACAATTCCGTTCATTCCATGCTACCGCCAGAAAGTTGGATTTCTCAAAGATGTCCATCGTTGGACGTATAGGTACTCCCTTCACAGAATACACTTCTGCTAAGGACGTTAAATATGTCAAGTATGCAATTGCCTCTCAACCAAGAAAGGATGGTCCAACCAATTGGTACAATGTCACCGTGTTTAACCAACCACAAATGAACTTTCTACAACAATATGTTAGAAAAGGTGCTTTGGTGTATATTGAAGCAGATGCTGCTAATTACACTTATGAAAAAGAAGATGGTACCAAAGCTACTACTTTAAGTTTAATTCAAAAGGATTTCAATTTATTGAAGAATGGTAAGCCTGAAGAAGATGCTGAAACTGGGGATTCTGCTGCCTCTACTACAGAATAGATTTTTTCTTCTTGAAAGATCGCCTGTTTTTGTTTGCTTTTTGTTTTTGCCTCAATTTGAATTATTATTACGAGAACACTATTACTGTCCTCAAACTCTTCTAACTTTTGTTATTATTACTATATCAAGAGTATTGTTTTTTTCTATTATTCCCTTCCCCATTCCTCCTCCCACTGGACGGATGTAATCTATTACATAGATATATGTACTACTTCAGTATTGTTTTTTTTATTTATATACTGCTATATAAACATCCGTACAGCAAAGACACACTTTATTATCTATCTATTACTTTTCCTTTAGTATCCATTGACTCATAGACCAATCATCTCTTTTTCACATGCATCGTTTATCACAGATGCCCTCCTCTTGTCATATATAAATTAGCCTTCAACAACGACCAAAAAAACAAAAATTGTTGAAAATTTCTGTAACACTTACAAGTGACAGTAATTAAAGCTAAAAAGGTAACGTAATGAAGGATTCTAAGGTTGTCGAGGATGTGGAAACTGTATCCTCCAGTGAATCAGTCAAGAAACCTATTAGAGAAAAGTTTCTCTTGTTTAAGATTGATGTATTTGTGCTTTCATTTGTTTGTCTCCAATATTGGATCAATTATGTTGATCGTGTGGGGTTTTCAAATGCCTATATATCAGGTATGAAACAGGATTTGAATATGAAAGGTAATCAATTAAACGTGACTAATACATGTTTCACTATCGGTTATATTATAGGGATGATCCCTAACAATTTGATGTTATTAGTGGTTCCTCCTCGTATTTGGTTAAGTTTTTGTACATTTGCTTGGGGGCTTCTCACTTTGGCCATGTATAGAGTTACTTCATACCAACATTGCTGTGCTTTAAGGTTTTTTCAAGCCATATTTGAAAGTTGTACTTTTGCTGGTACTCATTTAATTCTGGGATCATGGTATAAAGAAAACGAATTACCAATTAGATCAGCTATTTTCACAAGTAGTGGATTAATTGGTTCAATGTTTAGTGGATTTATGCAAGTTAAAATTTTCAATAATTTAGATGGGGTCCAAGGTCTAGCAGGTTGGAGATGGCTTTTTATCATTGATTTCTGCATAACGATTCCAATTGCCATATATGGGTTTATCTTTTTCCCAGGTGTTCCAGATTCCAATAGAGATGGAATCTTGAATAAATTTTCAATGTCAAGATATATCTTTAATGAACAAGAATTGAAGTTTGCTAGAAGAAGACTTCCAGCAAGAGATGAAACAACATCTTTGGATTGGTCGATTGTTCCAAGAGTCCTGAAAAGATGGCATTGGTATCTTTTCTCATTGGTTTGGATCTTTGGTGGTGAGAATCTAAGTTTTGCCTCAAATACAACTTTTGCATTATGGTTAACAAATCAAAATTATTCTTTATCTAATAGAAATAATTTCCCATCGGGGATATATGCAGTTGGTATTGTCTCTACAGTCATATCTGCTTTGTATCTAAGTAAAATCAAACGGGCAAGACATTGGCATATTGCCATAGTGATAGCAATTGTAATGTGTGTCATGGCGATAATGATTCGTTGCAATGCAACATCCCCAGCTGTGATGTTCACCGCTCAATACCTTGGTGGTATTGCATATGCAGGTCAAGCTGTCTTTTTCGCTTGGGCAAACGTTGTATGTCATGAGGATTTACAAGAAAGAGCTGTCGTACTGGCTTCAATGAATATGTTTTCAAGTGTTGTCAATGCTTGGTGGTCTATTCTTTTCTACGCAGCTACGATGGTGCCTCATTACAAGAATGGTTGCTATGCAATGATTGCGACCGCAGTGGCAAGTGGAATTACATCTATTGTTATTAGATCTTTACAAATAAAAGATAATACAGAAAAGAAACAATTGCCTTATATCAATGCCAATGATGTTGTTGGGCAAGATGAAATAGACGATTTCCATAAGGATGGTGAGGAAGACGATGACGACGCTGTAGGAACTGCATATGTTGGGAGTAGAGCAACTGATATGATACAAGTAGGAACATCAAGTCAAATTTATTAAAATAAAAAAGATACATGCACACCCTATGCCCTACATACATACTTACATACATACAGTAAATACATATTCGTGAAAAATAATTACGGAACCATGTAGCCTGTCATTCTGGGTTTACTTGGCAAGGAGATGAGGTTCTCCCTATTGGGACGCCAAATTTTATATTAATATGAAATTGTTTTCGCGTTCTTCCCTTTTAGTGAAAGCAAATTTCCGAAAAGGGAAATCAAAATGCGGGCCATCTGTAAGAAGATAATGAGATTCTAACTAATCTTCCATTTGGTTATTGTTAGTGAAACACTTCTTCATTGTTTTATTCTTGGTAGAATTATACATATTCTCAACTTATTTTAGAATTAATATTTTAAGTGGGTCACTATATATAACAACTGTTCCAATTTTAGTGTAAGATTTTTTTAGAAGCTGTCCATCTCAACTCGAGGTTTGAAAAAAATAAGTTAAGGAATTATGGATGAATTGGTGTCAGTGAAGGATTTCAAAGAGCAGGAATTGAAGTTTCTTCATTCGGTTAGAAGACTTTCTAAGAAATGCCAAGACTATGAAAAAGGAACCTATTCATCTCTAGACCCGATTTCATCTGTCTTAGATGATTTAAAACAAGTGGAGTTAGCAAGTATATCTATTCTTGCTAAACATATTGGGTTTTTTGAAAAATTAGACATATTTTGTGTGATAAGTAAAGAAGTTGCTACCCTTCTACAGGATTCAAAATTAATAGCGGCATATGAACAATTGCTAAATAATGCTACAAATATTATATTAAACACGAATGTTGTATTATTCAGGACTGGAGATATTAGCTTAGTGGAAGGAACAATTCAAATATATCAACGATTAACAATCTTTGAAAGTTTTTCAGATCTTGGCAATATTTCTAATGGGTTTATTAAATTGAGAAAGATTATATCTAGTTTTGAAAACCAATTTTTTGCTAAATATAAATTGTTAAACAATAATAATTTAATATTTGATAAAGTTTACAATTTGTTATCTCATTCAAAGGATAAAATAACTGTTCCTAAATTTAATGTCATCAACATTGAAAACCATACCCCATTTAAATTGAATAAGAATAAATTTTATGACGACAACCTTTTAGTAGATCTTGCACAGTTGAATACAGGTGAACTGGCTATCTTAAGGATAAATTCTGGAAGATTACCAAAGATTTTTAAATCTAGTAAAGATCTACTAAACGAATTGATCAACAAGAATTACTACTTATTGAAAGTTGGAAGGACATTATTATTTAAGACATTGAGACCAAGTGACCTGAAATTAATCAGATTTTCTGGGACAAGTGTCGAATTACAGACTACAACAGCTAACAATGTTAATTTGAAAATGGTATGTATGGATCCTTTGAAATGGCCTACTTTATGGAAACCATATTTTGAAAAACAGTTCAATGGTGAAAATTCAAATATCAGATATATTAATAAGATGAGATCTTTTGATACACTTCCTAGAGATACAAATAAATTAGTTAATGGTTTATCTGAGTTTGTATCAGACGGAGAACCATCACAGCATTCAACATTTGAAAAGAAACCAATAGGTGATATTCCTCAATTGCTTGAAGAACCATCTCTATGTGAATCTGAATTATCTCAACAACCTTCTCTTCGTGATATCGAATCTTTGAGTTATGAGAAATTAATCGAATTAGATCAAAGTATAGAAATGTCATTATCACCCAAAAATCCCCAATTATCCCCAAAATTCAGTCAACTTCGTTCTGAATCGCAAGTGTTTTCAGTTGATGAAATTGTTACAAATGAACAACCAGATTCTCCTCAAGGGTTATTTTTCTCAAGAACTTCTGATAGAAACTCCAACAGTACTGTTCACGAAAATGAGGATGACTTAGAAAGTGTGATATCTTCAGAGTTAGATAATGATACTACTGTAGTTAAGGTAAGTTCTAATTCCATATTCAACCCAAGTGCGGACTCTTATAAACCAAAGTTGCTCAATCCAGCATCATCATCTTTGTTAAGTTTGTTTACTAATCGTAGCAAACCAAATTTAAGTATTGACACCTTTGAATCTGAAAACATTTCTATTTTCACCAATACTTCAACATCTGAATCTAACACTCCACAATCAGCTGTCAGTGCATATCATACTCCTATTAAAGAAAGAAAAGATGTCACGGTACCAAAGGATATCGATCTTTCAAATATTCTTATAGAACAAGTATCTACTAAAGTTACACGTTGGAGTGGTAAAGATTGGACTATCTTAGGTCATTCAAACTTACATTTGGTCATATCACAAGTTCCAGGTAAACATACCGTGTTAACTGCATTCACAGATGATTCCAAGACGAGATGTGTATTTATTGTTAAGATAAGTCACGCATGGAAATGTTTCAGATCTACTGCGCAGGATATTCAAATGAAGATCCCACCATCAGATTTTATGATAAGTGCAATGGATGTGAAGGATACTATTGAAACCATTAGTGTTAGATGTGTCAAAATTGATAATTTTATGAATACTTTATTACACTGCGTCAATGGTGTTGTGCCTGTATCACTATCTTCATCTTCCACTATCAGAACCCTTTCTACTACAACATCATCATGTTTCAGTGATAATTTGCAAAGATCTTCCACTTATCAATCTGAGTTAATAACAGATAATAATCAAGGTACAGCGAAGGAGATATCTCAACTATTACTGTTAGCTGCCGTTAAAGCAAAACGTCATGAAAATATTCAAAAGAAATGGGTTCTGAAGGATGTCGGTTCTCTTGATATTATATCGTTAGAGTCCCAAAGTTTAAGGACAGGTATAACGTTTGAATTTGTAAAGACTACATCAAGTGAACGCATGACTAACGATAAACAAACATATTCAAATGAGCTAGGCAAGATAAGAAGACTAGGTAGAACAGGTATAGTAATCAAGCAAGATTTTAAAGATCAATTGTTTGAATTCACTAATCAACTAGTCGCAGAACAAGTGTATAAATTAATTCAAGGAATATGATCCAATGTGATCATATTTTTAATAGACCAATTATGTAACAGTACAACAATCAAGAACAATCAATACTTATTTTTTTTATAGATTTAAAAGAATGATAAAAGGTTAATTATAAAGGAACTATATTCGAAGAACACAGAGTATGGATATTTTATACAAACTTCTCGGAAATAGTTTTGATGGTAAGCTTCTTGTTTCAGAATGATGACGTTTAAAAGTAATTTTCTATTTGACTATTGCACCCTTACACCCTTATGTTAAATCCACACATTTTGTTTTTTCAATATAAAAAACAAAACTTATCCGCACGTTTTCACTTTTTTTCTGTTCGCATTGTTATGGGTTAGGACAGCTCTCCGCTTCGTCTTGCGGTAAGTTCTCCCAAAATTAAGCCTAACTGTCCTAGTCCTCCCTGAGGAGAATCAGCCCAGTGACAACCATTCTTACCCAAAAACAGTAGGAGCGCACAGTCTCTCTACTGTACATCCCTCTCCCCAGGTAAGAAACTTCCCCCAATGGCTTACTTTTAATCTGAAAAATTGTTCCAAATTGAAAATTCAACTGGTTATACTGAGGTCAATGGTAGTTACCCTCTCCCTTCATCATCTCTCCTTATTACTCTGGAAAATTTGTCTGAGTTCTACGTAATTTGTTGTATACTCTATCACCATTCACTGTAACAATAACCATCTACAGTGTAACATGTACCCAGTTTGAACTAGTAAATAGTAGTTAATGTGATATACTTCAAGGTTTATTTGAAGATCGATGATTAGAATTGATTAAATAGTCTTATTAGTTTTATAGTGTATATTTTTTTCAAAGTTAAAAGAAAAATCAGTGATACAAAAATGGCTAGATACGGTGCTACTTCTACTAACCCAGCTAAGTCTGCTTCTGCTCGTGGTTCCTACCTACGTGTTTCTTTCAAGAACACCAGAGAAACTGCTCAAGCTATTTCTGGTTGGGAACTAACCAAGGCTCAAAAGTACCTAGATCAAGTTCTAGACCACCAAAGAGCTATCCCATTCAGAAGATTCAACTCTTCCATTGGTAGAACTGCTCAAGGTAAGGAATTTGGTGTTGTTAAGGCTAGATGGCCAGCTAAGTCTGTTAAGTTCATCCAAGGTCTACTACAAAACGCTGCCGCTAACGCTGAAGTATGTTTAAGATTATTTATTGATTAATGGAATTATATTGTTGTGTGATTTGATAATAAGGTTTTAATGTAAATGGAAATATTAAGAAGGAAATGAAAATAATGAATAAATTATGATAAAATGTACATATAATAAAAGTAATAAGAAGAACTAGGCCCATACATGACTTTTGAAAGTGGAAAATGAAATGAATTAATGAAAGATGAAAAAATTATGAATATGAAAAATAAAATTCCAATTGATATTTAATACCTTTATGCTATTTTGGAAAGATGAACAGAATTTGAAAATTAAGTTATAATATTACGTTTTTTTAAAATATGACACAACAATTTACTCCCTATGTTTTTTTTATTTACAATCCTTCTTTATGATGAATGAATTTACTAACAATTTACATATTTGTTACGGTCATTGATCGTTTTAATGAATATAATTTTATTTTTTACAGGCTAAGGGTCTAGATGCTACTAAGCTATATGTCTCTCACATCCAAGTCAACCAAGCTCCAAAGCAAAGAAGAAGAACTTTCAGAGCCCACGGTAGAATCAACAAGTACGAATCCTCTCCATCTCACATTGAATTAGTTGTCACTGAAAAGGAACAAACTGTTGCCAAGGCTGCTGAAAAGAAGGTTGTCAGATACACTTCCAGACAAAGAGGTAGAATTGCTTCTCAAAAGCGTATCGCCGCTTAAGCATTGTTTATATGAATATTTACGTGTTACTGTATTTCTTTATCATTTTAACTATATAATATAATATAATATTTCCAGGCGATTGGGTGTATCATACTCCCTATGTTACAATATTAATTTTCTTCAATGTCCAATTTGTCTTTAATAAGTTGTTACCTTGAAAACAACATAGGAATTCTAAAGGTGAATAATGCATTATATATATGTATATGATTTTTGTGTACATGTATAGAACTATATATAGGCACTTTTGTTTCTGTGATATTTTAGTTTTATTCTACGATTAACATCGAAGAAGTGTTGTAAGAAGCTGGGAACATTAAGATCAAATTTGCGTTCCATATGTAGATGAGTAAGGAACTCTATGTAGAGGCACTTGATGATGATGTCTTTACAATGGCAACTTCAGGTGTCATGTAACCACTGATATTGGCTACATACATGCACATGATAAATATTAAACTGTGAAGGCCTATGCAATAAAAGAAAAACGCCATTCTGGTAGTCTTATTTTGCAGGATAAGGTTAGCAAAACTAATAAATAATTTCTCTAATACTGACAGTTTATTCTTTTTGTAGTATTCTAATTCATCACGTTTGAAGTTTGCCAATGGATGTAAGGATGCTTCATAATTATTAGAATATTGAGCCTCCCTATCAATATTTTCTAAGTCAGGATCAACTACAGACCCATGTCTAGATGATCCATCATAACTTGATAGATAACGAACCTTTTCGTATAATTTACTATTGTCGTCTTGAAGCTTTGCCTTTTCTGTTTTTAGTTTAGCTTTTTCAATCATTATTTGTCTTACTTGTTTCTCAAGATCTGTATTTCTTGCTCTAAATCTATCTCTTTGTTTGGTAACAATTGGAAGGATTTGTGAGTTACCACCACCTGTTTGTAATTCTTCTTCTTCAGGGATACCAATGATCGAGCTTGTTGGTGATAATGATGCACCATGACCAACACGATTAGTTATCTGCCTGGTTACCCCAGATATCATACTTGTTGTGTCATTAAACTTGTTATCGATATCATCGATTTTCTCTAAATCTGCCTCCAACTTTGCATTTAGTTTTTGTAAATTATCTAGTTTTCCATTCATTTCTCCAATTTGTTTTTTTAATTTTTTGGTTTCAGTTTCATGTGCAATGTTCTTTGTTCGTAATTCAGCTAAATTTGATTGTAATTTTTTGTTTGTAGTGATTAATGTATTTTGCAAGCCACCATCATTGTTTTTATTGCTATCAGAATTTTCTTTGTCGTTATCTTCTTCATCAATACCAAATTCGATTTTTTTCAAAGAGGTTAATTCTTCTTTAATTTTGTTGTAGTCTGAATAATTATTTAGCTTCAATCTTATAACATCATTTTCGGATTTGTATGTATCCAATTCGACTTTGGCATTCGATATTTGTTCAGTCAAGTCCTTAATGGACCTTTCATGTGAATTATGGTTTTTCTCAACAGAAGCACTAAGTAATGCATTTTCACTTTCTAATTGGTTGATCTTACGTTCTTTGTTTTGTAATTCAGAAGCCTTTTCATTGTCACTAGTTGCCTTTGCTAATTCACCACTTAAAGTTTCGTTCCTTTTCTCTAATTGGAAGGCTCTAGATTGGATAGATTCTAATTCCTCTGCTATGAAGTTATATTCGGTTATAGATACTGTTTTCTTTTCACCTGAAGCATCAACGTTAGCCTCGTCATTATTATCAAGATCCACTTGTTTAGAAACTTTGGATTCGAGAGCCTTGTTTGTGTTTTGTAATGATTCTACTTGTTTGTTTAGGTCAGTTTCCCTTTCTTGCCAATTTCTTTCTTTCTCTTTCCAACTTGAATTTAATTCTTGTTCTTTGGACGCCAATCTCTTTGATAAAGTTACAGCTGAATTTTGTTCTAAATCTAATAATCTAGATTTAATGGATTCATAATCAGCATGTTTAGCCAATTTATCCTCCAACTCAGCCACTTTTTCTCCCAATATTTTAGAATCATCCACTTTGCTCAATTTATCGAGAGAGGACTGTAGTAATGGTTTTGGATCTGGAGCTTCAGAAAGTTTAGAATAAATTTCAAAGACTATCTGTTCCGCGAATTTTGATCTCTTCGTCAGACTATCAACTTCCTGTTGATATTTCTTAATTATCTTATTTATATTAGTCAACTTCTCATTTTCTTCTAATTTCTTAAAATGCTTTGTCTCAGTAGCAAGCACTTTCCTCGATTCCAAAGACTCGTTCTCTTTATCTTTAACTTCTATAACATTGGTGTCTAGTTCCTTCTGTAAGTTTGTAAGATCAGCTTTAGACCATACGTCAAGAGCATGGGAGTAAACTGATGTGTCCATAATGTAGATATTTCCAGAGAGATGTCCAAAATATATCAATTGAGTAGTTGATTTATTAACTAGAAAATTTTTACAATAGGTTAGGCAACCAAAACCATCTGTGAAAAAACATTCCTTAACTAATATCTTTTAGTCATGTAACTGCATATTTTTACTCTTAAAACTATTTAGATCATATGTTTCCTTAATTTCCTTTCGATCCTTTGCTGTGAAAAAAGTCAAGTAAAAAAAACACGTGCGAATTTGGTATAAGTGGCTATAATTGATACAATCATTAGATGCATTTAATATTAAATAGATTAATGAAGTGGATATCACTGTTGATTAAGAGTACAGAATATATATATGTGTGTGCACCTATTGTGCGTAGTGTCTTTTAAAGTGGCCAATATGGCGTATATTGGCAGAGAATTTCTCGTTTCCCTGATGTTCAAGCTCCAAATTACTCTTCAGACTTTGCAGAACGTTCGTATGTTGAGAAACTCATCTTTTCTCCATAAGTAGACCCATCAGTAGTAGTATACTTATTCAGACTAGATAAATCTTCTAGTGAAATATCATCCATAAAGTTATACTCCTTTGTAACATATGGCATGAAACTTTTATTTCCCACTTCCAAATCCTTATCGAATGAACTAGACGTTGGCTCTTCGTCATCATCGAATGGATTAAATCTTCCAGAATAACCATTTTTCCAGTTATCACTCTTCCCAAGTTTATAATCGACCGTTACATAATTTTCAGATACTGGTGTTGTCATTGCACCATCGAATCCTTGTACGTAACCTTCTGTTTTGTAAATATCATCAGATTGTTCCGTGTTTTTACCTGTTAGTTTCTTTAACAATTTACCAACTCTATCAGTTTTACGTTTTTGGATGTGCTTGTTGAAGAAATCAAGAACAGAACCCAATCCCACGAAACGTAATAACCTGGAATACATGTTTAATGCATCTGTTCCAAGACCAAAGATAAAGAACACAACGTATGACATTAAAACATAAAGCCATATACCATAGACAGGCTTACCAGGGTCGAATTTAATAATCACATTCCAAAAAGATTCAGAATGTGTACTCTTGAAATCATAAGTCCCACTAACTTGTTTTAAATCTTGAACAAATGTAAATATTGAAAATGGGAACATGACTAGGATAATTATAAAACAGAAAGTCAAAAGTCTTGCAAAACGAGTTAAATTTAAACCAGAATTTGTACAATGTAGAATATCTCTCACATCCTTACGTTTCTTGTAAAATACATATAAGACTAGACAAGCATACACTGTACCAATTAATGACCAGATTAACATCCACATTGTGTACAATACAGTTGTGATCCATGTTGGAGAAAGTAAATTTTGACAACCATTATACCTTGCGATACCATATCTGAACACTTGTAACAAATATGAAAAGCCCATAACAGCAATTGGTGTTAATAAACTGATTAATAAATCAATGCATATTTTCTTAATTGAGTTTGACTGAAGTAAGACATTTTCAGCCTTCAATATTTGATGTAAATTGTATGTAATATTTGTTACGGCACAGGATATACCAATATTTGCACCAACTTGTAATTTGATTACAATATCACACCAACCTTTCCCATCCCAACGGTTCATAAAGTCTAGGTCACTCCATACTGCCGCATTAACAATACAGGTGATATTCATTATGATTAACCATGTAATTAAAATTATTGCAGGTATATTTCTTGAGTGTGAATGCCATGCCAGTGGCGGTAGCAGAGATATAAGCGCTAAAGAACATAGCCCTATAATGGTAGTTTTATAACTCATCTATAGGTTTGTTATGTATGATCTTTGTCTACCTTTTCTATATAAGACCACCTAGTAGCTCCGAAAGACATACATTATTGAGTCTCGAATAATGTCTATTTATATAAAAAAAAATGACCTTTTCATTGCTTTAATAAAACCATAGATTACCTAGTTAGGACATTATTAATCTACATCAAATAGTGAGGCAAAAGCTTTTATTGTATTGAGTTGTAACAACAAACCTCATTAAATTCGATGACTTTCCTATTTAGTCCATCAATGACAATGCGACATAAGAAAACTAGGGAAAATGTTAAAGAAAAAAGTGATGGATTATATACCAAATCAAACATGAAACTAGGAAGTGACAATGGCTTATAATTACTTTAGATGTACTGATTTGGTAAATTGTTCTATTATATTTTTGAATTTCTGACTTATTTTTTTTGTTGTTCTTCCAAGAAATTTTTTAAGAGCTAAAGAACCGTTACCATGACAACGCCAAAAGACGTAATTAATGAAAATTAAATTTTTATCTGTAATGACAAGAAAAGTGAATATGTTGCTTTTAACGAGGTTTCATGAAACGAGTTCGAAGAGTCTCATCTAGACATCTTGATAGAAAGAAACCAGTAGTGGTTTTTTACCTTCTTTTGTGAATAGGAAAGCTTATGTTTTCAACAGGATTATTTAGACGATTATTCACATCTGCAAAGTTATATGAATAATTTGTAACTCTGGGGTAAAATAATAAAAGGAAATGGAAATACATAAAACTATTGCTTTGCTGGGCTAAGATTTGTTAAGCATGCTTCTATGGCGTTCATCCTGGCGCATAAAGAGGCATCCCCTTAAACCCAAAATAAATAAAATAAAAGCTCACGTGTTTAACAATTGTATTGCGTGTTAAATTCTATATCAGTTAATAAATGAACCCCCTTTGGTTGGATTAACAGGGACATGTGTCCGATAATTTTCTTTATTAGAAATTAAGGGGTCCCAAACGATAAAATGATTAACAACCGATAATAATACGAGTTGACTAAAGTAGAAATATTCCACTCATCGGATTATATGTTGACAGTTTAGAAATGCTCCACGGAACCCTACAATTTGTAAAGGTCTTCTAACTTATTATTAATTCTTTCTTATTAAGGGTTAATTTTGTTTTTGCTTTGTTTTCATTTTCCTAAATTTTGCTGCGCGATGCGAAGCTTAAGGCGAATTTCGCTGGGCAAAAAGTTTGTTGACATTTCCATTTCGCGAGGTCAATGACAACAAAATAAGCAATACTAAAGGAATTTTTGTAATACAATTACATAGTAAAAGCATTACGAAAAAGAGTGTATCTCGTTAAGTAATTGTTATGGTTGCTTCTGTAATCTTTGGAAATGTGTCTAATGCCCCTAAATTGTAGTATAATCTTGCATTTGTCAAAAAAAAATAACCAGCATTTTTTTTTTCAACATGAACTCTAATGTAATATTAGATTAAAAGAAATGCCGTACCAAAAACGTGTTGAAAAGTTTTGACCGTTGATAGATCACTATTGGAGATTTAAAATTGTTCAATGAACATATAAAAAGATTTACTTTTCTTTCACTAAATCATTTATGTCTGAAATATTTATTCCTCTTTTTCTTCTTCATTTAAAAATATTTCAATAATAATAGAAATATATCATCAAAAAAAATAATCAAAATTTCGTTACTTAACAACAAAAACATATATTTAATTACATACTCGTCTTTATTCTGGTCATTCTAATAGAACAAATATAAGCAAAAAAAAAAAGTACAAACAAATATATTAATTCAATCGTTTTAAAAACAAAAAAACATTAACCTTTTCACTCTTTTTTATTCAAATTTCCAACTAATTACTCTCTTTTAAAGTTAATACAAAAACTTTCCAAACTATTTTTTTTTCTAAATTTTAATTTAATCTTACCCAAGTCATTCTTTAAACTATAAGATCAAACCAACTAAAGTATAATTCTAAAATTACTTCAATTATTTTTTTTAATAAAACAACAAACAAACAGAAAAAAATAATTAAATCCAACTAATTCATTCACTCTTTATCAAAAATTTATTATTATGCTATTCAATCTTTCAAAACTATTTTACTTATTTCTAATCTTTCAACAATTTCATTTCTCAAACGCCGATGATGAAGTTCGTTTTATCACATCGGATGGTGTAGTTTACAGTTATGCTGTCATCACCAGTACAATTAAGCCAGCTACCGTCATTGTTAGAACCTCTACATATACAACGACACGTGTAAGGGCCATCACTTTGGAAAACCATGAAGTCACATCTACTACTGAAGAAATTACTACTCAGGCTACTTTAGTATCTTCTGTCGCCGCTGAATCTCAACAACAAGCTTCAAGCTCTGTTGTCACACCAGTTACTACTTCTTCTCCTATCGTAACCACAGTTACTTCATCAGTTGCACAACCTGTTGCTGATGTTTCTTCTCAAGTTCAACAAACTTCCAATTCATTACAAGAACAAGCTACAAAGTCTACAACGACTTTATCCGGTTCTTCTTCTTCTTCTTCTTCTTCTTCTTCTTCTTCTTCCAGTTCCATTGCCAACCTGGTTCAAACTCAAAATATGGAAGGTGTCACACGTTCAACTTCTACATTGACTCCATCCACTACCATTACTAGTATATCTAGTTCCACCTCAACTTCCATTCCAAGTTCTACTTATTCATTAGCTGCTGAACCAACTACTGAAGTTGAAGATGGTACCTGCTTTGTTTATTACGATGACCCAGATGACGAGTATTACAGTACCGCCTACATCACTGATTCTTCTCAAACAGTTGATGCGGCTACTACTTTAACAAGTACCCAAACAGTTTACGCTACCATGACTTTAGCATAAGGACAATATTCCCTTATTGCGATTCAATTTTTTTTATTTATCTTACCTTTCAATCATCATTAAATATAGTGTATAACTTTCTGTATTTTACTCATATTCACATCTATACGTCCTTTAAGACATTTTAATATATAAATAAGCTTTATATAATTAAACAATAAAATATACGCTTTTATTAGCAAGACTAAATTGAAATTTACATAATATGACAAAAATGTAAACATTTTTTTTTCAGAATTACATCTGTCACTCACTTGAAAGCATACTGCTAAGAAGGTAAATAAAATGACACTCTATATGCTTAAGAAACGTATATATCATTATGTAATCAAATAGTTGTCAGGAACATATACTCATTTAAGATGTACTATTTTTCTTACAGTAATACACATTTTTCAATTTTCACTTAACTCTCTGTATCGAAATGCATAAGGAATAAAATAAGCCAAAGCAATCCCACATGATTCATATACTCACTGACAAAACCAACTTTAACTGATGCCTACTCTCATCAATTACTATTCATTGAATCACCAAGCTTAATGTGTCACTTTAACTATTATTTAGTACTTCTTATAGTTACACAAGCCCTACTTTCTTAAAATCACCTCCCACGAAATACCAGGGCTTTCCAACTAGAAGAAAAAAATTTCAGAAAAAAAAAATAAAAAAAATTATAAGCGCATCGAATTACTTGAAATTAAATTGTAATCTTACCTAATAATATAAAATACAATCACACACTTCATATTTTTGAACAAATATATATTTATTTAAGAACAACAACTCAGTAAATACAACCAATCAAAGATGTCTCGTGAAGGTTTCCAGATCCCATCCAACCTTGATGTTGCTGCTGCCGGTACTTCTCAAGCTAGAACTGCCACTTTGAAGTACATCTGTGCTGAATGTTCCAGTAAACTTTCTTTGTCTAGAACCGATCCAGTTCGTTGTAAGGATTGTGGTCACAGAATTCTATTAAAGGCTAGAACTAAGAGAATGATCCAATTTGAAGCTAGGTAGATTAAACCAAAAAAGAAAATAAAAATGAAACATGAACTAATGCAAAGGTGCATTATGTGCCTAAATTTTTTATCATCTCCTTTTATCTCTCCCTCTCTCTTTTTTAAATGCATCCGTACCATCCATCTAAATAACCCTCAGTACGAAATGGTGCAAAATCTGAAATATAAACAAACAATAACATATGTGACAGTATAACTTTTACCTTGAAGATGTAAATGGTTGGACATATTGTTGAAGCCGAATGAAGCTTACAGAAAGTGAATACATTCTCATACACATACATAACAATATATACTATAACAAAAAAACAAACAAATAGTATAGATATATATGTAATAATGAATATAAAAAACTGCAATAAATCAAAAGAAAAGAAAAATTATTGTTCTATAATATGTATATATATAAATGACTAAACTATGACAATCCTTGGTTCATCAATGACACTAAGTTGTCTCACTTTTACACCACCATCTCTTAATACCTTAAAGCTAGCCTCATCCATTCGATAAGACTGACTATATACTACTTCTTCAATACCTGTTTGAACAATTTTCACCGAACAAGTCAGACATGGACATGTATCACAATATAGTGTCGCATTATTACCTATTCTATCTCTACCAGCTTCTAGTAATGCATTTTCTTCAGCATGGAGACACAGACAAGTATGCAACTCGTGTGAATTACCACCATTACAACGAGGACAACCGCCATTACAACAATCCGTTAGATGTCTTGGGGTACCATTATAACCTGTAGCAATGACACGCTTCTCTCTCACAACAACACATCCAACTTTTCTCTTCATACAATTAGATCTAGATGCAGCCAATGTAGCAAGCTTCATGAAATACGTATCCCAATCAGGTCTTAAAGGTGGATTAAACTCTTCTGGAGCGTTTGGTTTTTTATTTCTTAATATTTGTAATTGTTTATTAAGTACAACATTTAATCTTTCTGAGTCATTATCATTAATTAATTTAAATTTTACATTGGCCTTTTCATGTAATTCAATTATATCAGATTTAAAATCAGTTTCATCTAGTAATGTACATAATTCATCTATATTTTTTGTATTAGAAATATGCTTTAAACTTTTCATACGTAGTTTCATTGACGCCTGCATAGATAAATGAACAAAAAATGGTCTTTTTTCTAAAGTTGTGCATAATTCTAAAGAATTACATTTCAACACTAAGTCTTTAGTGTAATACCTAGTAGCGTAATCCATAATTGCATCTGGATCTTGAACTTTAGAATCAATCAATTCAAAACCATGTCTAGAGACTAATAGATCAATCAGTGTATCTACACCACTATATTTAGTACCACTTACAGCAACCAACATCTCTTTATCCCCAAGTCAATTCCGCATATACCTTAATTGTAGTTATGTTTCCTGAGTATAATAAATAAACCAATACGTGCACGTCATGACTTATCTTCTTAATCTACTTATACTATTTTCTCGAGGCAGTCTAAAATCAACGCGCTGAATGAAATTGTTCCTATGAAAAATAGAGAATACGTGATGGGATGATGATGACTTTACGCTTATTAATCTAAAGAACGATACTAACAGGATTGAACATCTCATTCAGGATTGAACATCTCATTCAAGAAAGTTAGCCGAACGGACAATTAATTATGGCAATGATATATGTAGTATTGTTACCAGTTTAATTAATGGAATTAATACACAAAACTAACACTATTCTTTGTTTAAAAAGAACTCCGTTCTACGTCATAGTACACGCCATTAGTCTAGCGTGCTATCATGATAATACCGAAACATTTATACATTTACAGTGCATAGTGATGATATGCTCCCTCTTATGCTACACCTGTTTCAAAAAAGCAACCTACGTAGATAGATCTTCAAAGATAAATACAATGGAAATTCGAAATGTTTAGAAATCTCTTGTCAAGTCAATAAATTGACTACTATATATCCAGTAATAAAACCAGAAGAACCAGTACAAACTTCAGGTACAAATTTTATCTATTTTGCCTAGCAAGCGCTACAAAGTTAAACCTACGCTAATGTAACGTTATACGCATATACTACTAATATCAATATCTTATTATATTATCTCAAAATACAATCCATAATGTTCACCAACAACTTACAGCTAACTGAACACAGTTTGTTTTGTCAGATTAAATTATGTTTTAGAGGACAAGTAAGGGTCTTAATTTTTAGGGGGGAGCAACTGCTGTATTGAGTATACAAAATAACAGACGAAAAGTATTCCCCCCCAACAATTTATTTCTGAATTTTGCTTATCCCCTCTTAATTTCATTAGCCCTGCCAAAATATTGCCAAACAAGGGGGGAAACAGAGAGACAAAGACGTAAATTAGCGCCAGGAAAACTAAAATAAACTATTAATCGTCCCATAGCAGTAGTTTTAGTACGTATTTAATTTTCAATAAATTATTCAACAAACAAAAGACATTTAATTGTACGCAAACTTGTACGCAGAACGCAATTTTGCACGGCAAGGCTGTTATTACCCTCTATACTCAATTTTATTTATCTTTTTTTTTTGTTATTTTTATATAATTGCTGCGCGCACAATTGCGTACGCAGCAACAGCTTGTAACCAGCGGTGAAAACATTGTTAGCTCACAAATTTGCGAAAAAAATAATAATAACACAGACAAATTTTTTCTTTTTTTTGGCTTTTGATAATTTGCAATGAGTGAGCGATGCCACCGCTCTCCTTCTTCTTTCGTAACAACAGCCCCCCCTCTATCTTCCGCTTTACTCACAAACTAATTAGTGGTATTATTTAATATGTTTGATAAACCAATTGAAGGTAAGCTTATCTACAAAACTATTTTCAATAACGTTAGTTCTAATATATATTATTACATCTATCTATACTTTAGCTTATTTCTTTTAATTTGAAAGATTGTATTGTATTTAAAAGAATAGCAACAAAAAACAAAATATAAGTTTCATACATAAGCATTACTTGTTAAACTTTCAGATACGTTTTATTTTTTGAATTGAAATTGGTAAATTACTATGTCTGTTACAACTAAAAATTACGAATTTACATGGCCTGCTGGTCCAAAGGATGTTGTCCTTACCGGTATCTTTGATGAATGGAAAGGTACCATGCCTTTAGTTCGTCAAGCTGACGGCTCTTTTGCTTTAACTTTCCCAATTCAAAAGACTGACGACAGTGATAAATTTGTCTTTAAATTTATTGTAGATGGTAACTGGACTGTAAGTGACTCTTACAAGAAAGAAGCAGATGCAGGTGGTATCGAAAACAATTATGTTGATTTAACTTCTGTTAATGCTACTGGTTCTGCAAATGTTACCAAGATTCCTGAAGCTGGTGGCTTACCTATTGTTTCTGCTGATGCAAGTGGTTCAGCTACTCCTACCCCAACTCCAAAGCCAACTAGAGCTCCACCTTCTACTTCCAATAGAAAGAAGGGTAAGAAAGGTAAGAAGATGAAGGTTAAGAAGAGAATTAGAAGAAATAAGAAGACTGGTGAAAGAACTGTCATGTCTCAAGAAGTCGAAGAAATGGATACCTCTGCCACTAATACTCCTGCCGAAGAAGGCACTGAAGAAGAAGACACCGAAGATGGTGCTAACGATGAAGAAACCTCTGAATCTGCTACTCCAGTTCCAGCTACTATTCCAGCCGAACCTACTACCACTGCTGCCACTGCCGCAGCTGTTACTGCCCCTGTTGTAGCTGAGGCTGAACAAGAAATGCACACATTACCTGTCGACCAAAACAAGGCTACTACTCAATTCGAAGATACTACAGCCATTGCTCAAACTGGCCCAGGACCAGTATTACCTTCCAACCCAGAAGAAATTAAAGAATTTACAGAAGTTAGTGAAGTCGATGCAGATGAATTGAATGCCAGATTAAACAAAGAATTGAAAGAAGAAGAAGAAAATGAAGAAAATGAAAAGAAAAGTGCTGAAAAGGAACAACCTGTTGAACCAAAGGTTGAAGAAACTCAAGCAACTCAAACTTTAGATCCAAAGATAAATGCTACTACAGAAGAACCTGTTGTCGAACAAGTCCCAGTTGCCGCTGAAGAAACTGCTCCTGTTGCTACAGAACAAAAGAAACCAGAGACTACTGCTCAACCTCAAGAAAAGAAGAAGTCTTCTACCAAGAGCAAGACTACTAAGAAGACAATCCCTGTAGCTACCAAAAACTCTGAACAAAATCCAAAGAAGAAGGGTATCTTTGGTAAATTAAAGAGTTTATTCAAATAATCGTAGCCGTATCTTTTTCAGTCACAACCTGAGAATAATTTCATTTTCTATTCTATAAGAATTACTGATAAAGTTGCAGAAGTCACGTTCTAGCTTTAGAATCCTAACATTTACTAACAAAAGATAAACAAATAAACGAAAAGAATATGAATTTTCAGTTGTTTATACATGTTGCTATATTTTGTTGTCAGAAAAGAAATAACATCTACGATGATAATCAAGAACCATATCAAGCTTCTCAACTAAATTTTTTTTTTTTAATTCAAAGCTCATTCCTTTTTTCTTCCTTTCTTAGATGTGTTAATCGGCACACATATACACATAATTTTAATTTTGCATCCCTGAATATACCCAATATATTCTTATATTCAATCGTTTTTATTTTCTTTTGAGGATGTTACTACTATTTCTTGTAACTCTACGTCAGTTACTGTAATCATTAATATAAGTTCCTTATTCGACTTACCGACTCCCCCCTCTCTATATATCTCTATATCTCTATATCGTCAATATATATATACCAAATTTTCAGACTTCTAGTCAAACATCCCCTTCCGCCGACCTCTTACCATGAGAAAGTTTATCATAAGACTCTCATTGTTTACAATTAAACAATAACTTAATCGCTATCCATCTAATTATCCCCGGATCCACATACTAAAATACAAAGAACGCGTTCGCGTCGCTTAACATAATATCGAAAATTTTTCTTTGTTTTGTTTCTCGAGCCAAAAACCAAAACAAACCAGGTACTTTCTAGCCTTTGTCACCTGCTTGTTTGTTTACTTCTGCAACGAATAGGTGGGAGCTCTTTGTTGAGAATCCTTACATTTATCTTAGTGATTACTTCTTCTTTCTATTTGTTGATGGAGTTTGTAACATGCCATAACTAACTTGTTTCTTTCTTTCTTTAAATAAATAAATAAATATTATATAGTTAACTACATTTCCAATCCATCCCATCTATACCCCTTTACTGGATCAAACAGACACAATTTAAATTAAACTACATATGCATACTGCAAACGTTACGGTAATACTCGCTACAACGATACAACCAGATAGCATTTCAGTAGTGAACACATTACAAACAAGTAAGAACTCCATTGAAAGTTCTCTATCTCAGGATCCAAGTTCATTAATAACCGATACTCCGATGAGTTCGTCTTTACTGGGGACTGACACGCTGAATAGTACCATACTTTCGAGCCAATTGACCTCACAAACAATTATTTCCAATAGTACCAGCAGTGGAAATATAATCAGCACGATACTGACATCTCCGAGTACATCATTGACAAATTCATCTTCATTAGGTCATAACCATATTCAAGTAGTATCATCCTCTACATCATTAATATATTCTTCTATTATCTCGAGTCCTATCTTTTCCACAACATCATTAGACTCGTCAACACCATCATTATCATTAGCATCATCCTACTCTTCAGAAATACGACAAAGTTCAAAAGTGTCAGTAATTTTAATAACGACGACAGTTTCACCTTCATTTTCGGCTCTAACAAGCATAACATCAGGTTCTCTAACTCCATCAGTAATAACACAAACGTTGACGGTGACGCCGTCAGTATCACCTTTATTTTCAATATCATCTGGCTCTTCAAAAGATTATTTAATATACACACAAGAATATTTATTTACGGACTCAGACACATCATTTACCACTGGATTATTACAAACTACAGCTTTAAAGAAATCCGCCTCTGGAATAATCTTACCTACAAATGTAGTAACAAAACCAGTATCATATTACAAAGCATATGTTGATGGCTCATTAGACTCCGGATCATCCACAACAGCGACCCATAAGAATGTGATCATAGGTTCCGTTGTTGGGTCTGTTATTGGAGTTGGTGTAATTATTTTGCTTGGTGTTCTATATTATTTGTTTGTTAGAAAGAGACACAAGAAAGAATCAGCATTTGCGACCGATGGGAAAAGATCAATATATATGGATGACTCTATGACGACACATAACAATAATAACAATAACAATAATAATTATAATGAAAAAAATGGTGACCCATTTAAAAATGAATTTCAATTCAATGAAAGAGTACCTGGACAAATACCTGTACCTGAAGATCCTTTAGATTATTCAGTATCTATGCGAGATAGTTCTGATTTCCAATTTAATCCAGATAGTTCCATAGATATGAGTATACATACAGACATACATCCTTATGAGGAATCTAATGTATATTCATATACAAGATCCATCACAGATTGGCGTAATGACTCGAATATATGATGAAAACGAAGAGAGAGAAAAGTATACAAAGACTAAATGCTTAATATATATATATATATATATATATATATATATAAACGTATGTATATCAATAATTCGTAAGACAATTGAAAACAAAAACCTTAACTTATGATTCTATGAATATTTTCATTTGTTCTTTTTATTTTGAGCAGCCAGTTTCTTACCACCTTTCTTTGGGGTTTGTTCTTTCTTAGCAGTGGCTTCCTTTGCTTCTTCGGCGTAAAATTGCTTCATTCTAGTGTCTAAATCATAGTTAGCCCACCATAGACCTGCTTGTAATAAGAGGACACCAAGAAAGACACATAGTAAGATAATATTAGAGGAACCTAGAACGGCAATACCTTGATTCTCAGTAACTTCACCCCAGTTACCTGTCAAAGAACACTCGATACCAGTCTTAATGTTAGTAATGAACACACAGATACCCATGACGAACATACCAAGAGAAGCATATTCAAACAACTTCAAATCTTCATTTGGTTTGTACAATCTGACCATGTGACCAACTAAACCTAGGAAGGCAATAGCACTTAAGATATATAAAAGTGGTTGACCGACTTCATTTAAAAATTGATAATGCTTTAGAGTTCTTTCAAAATCTTCAGCAGTGACTAAAGCTGGTTGAAACAATATTTTGTAATCGTAAGCTAGATTGCTGTAGAAAACACCCATGATGAATGAGGTAGATACCAATATAACGGCTGAGCCGAGGGTACACATAGCTTTGTAGGAAATCATTGTTCAATTAATTGTATGGCAAGTAATTGGTGATATGCAAATGTAAGTTCTTTTCTAATAAATTAAAAACACACACGAAGCAAATATAACGTTCTATATGTGTAAATAATGAGTGTTAAAAGAAAAAGTTCTTATCAATTTATAGAAATTTCAGTACTTTGTCTTCTATTCTCTTTTTTTTTTGATTTTTTTTCAGTTCTTCGCTCTTCTACGATATCAAACCTTGCCGGCCCTTTACTATATATGGGTGAGATAAGTGGCTAGGTAAAAAGGGTACGTTTGAGATGAGTTGTGGATAGAAAAGGAAATCTTTGTAAACAAGATAATTGAAATGGTTGGTCAATATTTGTTTTCTTTTATTGTAACAAAATATAGCGTCGTTATAGCACATATTTCACTCAATGGCAACTGTGTGTGTAATTACTACGACTTTTAAAAGTATATCTCCCTCCACCCACACACCGCATCTGTCGAAAATTTTTCGCTCTCTTTTCTTTTCAACAGAGTGAAAGATTTCATAAATCAATAAAATTTCAAGAATCATGCGATGAGGTTGGCATAGATATAAAGAAATGTGTGGTTTCAGAGGTCATTCATTCACTAGAGACACAATATTGAAGAACATCAAACAAACACACACATATATATTTATTTGCCAAGGATGTCTGATAGTGTAAAACTTACAAAGAAGCAATTAAAAGCTCAACAATTCAGAAAGACCAAAGAGGAGAAAGAAGCAGAGAGTTCAAAAAGAACTCTTGAAGAAGAAGCTGCTGCTAATGCTCCAGAGCCAGTGAAAAAGAAGAGAAAGACCAGAAGAGGCCGTAAAGGGAAAGGCCGTAATGGCAAAGGTGGTAATAGATTCATTATCTTTGTTGGTAGTTTACCAAAGGATATTACACAAACTGAATTACAAGGACATTTTAAGACAAGTTCGCCAGATTCCATTAGAGTACGTGGGGACAAAGGTATAGCGTTCTTAGAGTTCGACGGTGATAAAGATGGTAAACATATTCAAAGTCGAATGGATACTGCATTATTACAAAACAAGACAGAAATTAGAGGAAAAAGAATCAATGTGGAATTAACCGTTGGTGGTGGTGGTAACTCTGAAAATAGATTGGCTAAATTGAAGACTAAAAATGAGAAATTCGAACAAGAATACAATTCAAGAATGGAGAAGATGATTAAAGACGGTGCTCAAAAGAAAAGAGCCGCCGCCGCTGCTGCTGCCAATGACGGCTCTAACACAACAGCCGATCACTCAGAAGGAAGTAAGCCAAGACCTGCAGTCGGTGGTATGCATCCAGATAGAGCTAAAATGTTTAGATAAAAATGTTTATAAAAAATATCTGTGTAATAAAATAACAAAGAATGCATTTTTTAAATAGTAATAAGAGGCCTATGAACTGATGGATGACATTTGCTGCAACCACCCTTCCTTTAGGTAATAATTGCTTGGTAGTTACAGTATTTTTACATGTATGTTGTTAGTTCTAAATCGCCAAAACCCTAACCTGGACATATAGGGCTACCAAACATGAAATATCACTGTGCACGAGCCCACCTGCGCGCTCCACACAAAAAACCCCAAAGAATCGCTGTCCTGCGCGGCTTTCACTGCCCGATTCTCCGGCTACGAACGGGAAGAGAGCCCCCCCCGCAACACCCACACCGCACACTCAAAGCGATACCGGAGTAGCCATTTTTAGAGGGGGAAAGGGAGTGCATAATATACGTCATAATATATGCACATATTATAAAAGCACCACCAGTTATTCAGTCATTTTACCTCCCACAGCTTATTCTGGTCGTTGTCTGTGTATTTCCGGGCATACCAAAAGCAATGGGTATCTCTTTGGGTTAAGTAACCTACTGAAAAGTTTTCTTTTTTGTAAATACTATATATAAAAGAAACACAAATGTGAAAAGATCCTTTCGGAGTTTAGCATCTTTATAATTAGAAACATATCAAGATATAAATATATATCGAAATAGTATAACGTATAGATTATCATTTTTTTTTTTAATTTCTTTCGTTTTTTAATAAAATGAGTGCATCGATAGATATTCCTACATCGGAGGCTCCACCGAGTTATAATCATGTATTTGGTAATATTCAATATAGATATGGTGATGGATCTCCCATTCATTATTTTGAAAGAGCTCTTGGTGAAGATGCAGAAAGTGAAATTAGTTTAGAGAGTAGTAGTCCTCATGCTGTTGGGCCTGATATCCAAAGGTATACAACGACTGTCTCCAGTTCAATACCGTTTCAATTACCGTATAATGATGAGAACCATGATAATAATACGATAAATATGAATGGTACATCTAGACGTGGAAGTACGAACACCACTGGTCAAGCTTCTGTTTGTTCTACGTGGTTAGAATCCATGGGCCATAGTTTTCCTGATAATATGACACGTATTGAATCCAATGAAATAGTATCTCCACTTGTTGCATCTGTAGAGTCTCGTTTTCAAATTCCATTAACAAAATTACATGATAGTCATAGGAAACAATTGGCAACAAAGGCAAGAAGGTCTTATTCTATGTCTTCTTCCTCTGGTAATCATCACAATAGTCGAACATTTAAAAACTTATTGTTTCATAGACGAGAAAGTCATGCGACTATACTCGAAGGGAAACAATATGATGGTGAAGAACATGATGAAGAAGCAACACCGAATAATAATAAATTATCATTTGATGAAAAATATGTATATACTGGGAATGTACTAGGGGAAGGTTCTGGCGGATCTGTGAAAGTTGTTAAACGAAGAAAAGATAATGCAATGTTTGCTGTAAAAGCTTTCCATCCATATGAGGATACATTAACAAAAGGTCACGAAGAAGAAGAAAGTTATACCGTTCAATCATACTTAAAAAAGATTAAAGCAGAATATTGTATTAGTTCAATCCTTAAACATCCAAATATTATTTCTACTATAGAAATCATTGAACAGGATGAACATACACTTTTACAAGTAATGGAATACGTTCAATATGATCTTTTTGCAATTGTAATGAGTGAACAATTGCATTATTCTGAAGCATGTTGTTATTTTTGGCAATTATTACAAGGTGTTCAATATTTACATAATATTGGTCTTGCACATCGAGATTTAAAACTTGATAATTTAGTTGTTGATAAGCATGGACAATTAAAAATAATTGATTTTGGAGCAGCTGTGGTTTATAAATCACCATATACAGATCATTCAGTTGAAAATAATAATGAAATCACAATGGCTAAAGGTATAGTTGGTAGTGATCCATATTTACCACCTGAATTATATATCTTTGAAACTTATGATCCAAGAGCAATTGATATTTGGGCCATTGGAATTATTTTTATATGTATGATCTTACGTAGTTTCCCATGGAGATATCCACGTTTAAAAGATTTAGGGTTTCGTAGATTTTGTCTTTGTCGTCGAGGTGCAAATACATTAAATGAATTGGTTACAAGAGATAAAACAATTCCTGAAGATGATATGATAATTCAATATGAGGATGAAACTACAAGAATCATGGAGACCGATGAGAATGACAATGACGATAATCACATTATTGGACCAATGCGTCTATTAGCGCCATTACCTGAAGAGACTCAACATGTACTATTACGAATTTTAGATCCATCACCAATTCGTCGTCCATCAATTGAAATGATATTATCGGATGATTGGGTCCGTTCAATTGATTATTGCCAAGATAATTTACACCATGGTAAAGATCATGAACATACAAGACTCGATCCAACAAAAGCTCATATTGCCAATTTACGTCCAAGTTCCGATTAAAATATAAGCAAATAAGAGTAATTGCCACAGTTTAATCTGTACTTCTTCCTCTCTCTCTCTCTCTCTCTTTCTTTCTTTTTTAGAGCCGTTCACTCAAAATAGAACAAGAAAAACGAGGTTGTTACTTTAAAATGCCACCGCAAACAGATGAAAGCATTAGTTAAGAATCGGTAAAACAAGGACATAACCGGGACCGGGGGAAATCAATCCACTTATAAAACTTCCTTATCTTTCTACAATCTGATTTGTTTGTTACCAAAAACCAAATGTTATATGTTGCTGCCCCTTTTACTTAACATCTTTAGTACGAGTGACTCACCGTCAAAGATAAGCAAAAGTCACACATGAGGGAACTGAGATAACAATCTCGAGTACACCCACACACCGGTTGCCTGATTCACGTCTTTTTATTATTCTGTTTCCTTCACCACTCCTGCATCTCTCTGTTATTGTTCTGAAATAAATAGCTTCTTCTAGACAACTCATGTGTACCTGGTTACTGAAAGGAACCAGGACAGAACAGATCTAATCGGTTTTCAGATTGTTTCTCTCTCTCTCTCTCTGTGAAGATTCCTTTCCAATATATATATATATATATATATCACTGTGTATGTGCCTACAATAACCTCGTAGGAAAATAGATACGTCTTCTCCTTGCTTTTCTCTCTCCCCCACGCAACTTTCGAGGCCCATCCGTGGGGCAAAATATATCAATCGCAAATTTTCTTTTCGCAAATTTGCGCTCGCTTCGGCTTTCCCGTAAAATGTTGAAACTTTGGAAATGTGGTGCTTTCTTTCCCCCCCCGTTTGTCCGACATGTTTCGGGCGCGTTCAATCTGTGTGGTCACTATCGTTACGTTACTCTCTGTTGGTGATTATCGAAATACAATCAGCCATCAACCACAGAGAGCGAAAGTGAGAGGTGAAAAAAGATCTTCAAACTAATCATGATTTCATAATAAATATATATTATATAAGAGAGTTAAATAATCACAATATTATTGAACAATATCTTTCTTTAATTACAACTAATACTGATTTAATTATAGTGTTACTTAATTTTTTGTAATTAATCTTTTTTTTAGTTGTGTCAAGCACAGTTTTTGCCATAACAGGACCCAGTCGCTTGCAACCCTTTTTTTTTGTTTTGTTCTTTTACAGCACAAATTAACCCTTTTTTTTTATTTATTAACTGATCTAAAATAATGGCTGATTTAGTTAAAGCTTTGCAAGTTCCAGATATTGCATCTTTGTCAATTTCTTCCATGTCTGACTATCACGCTAATGCCTTCCCAGGTAAAGATGCTCAACGTGAACAAGTTGTTGATCTATTAGACCAACAAGGTTTTATTCCAGATGACTTAATTGAACAAGAAGTCGAATGGTTTTATAACTCTCTTGGTATCGATGACTTATTTTTCTCAAAGGAACAACCAGCTTTATTAGCAGACATTATTCACTCTCTATATGCTTCTAAATTGGATTCTTTTGCTAAGTCCGGCTTAAAGAAAGCTGATTCCGCTAAGGCTTTAAACATCAAGAATAAAATCATTACTAATGATAACCATGCTATCTTCATGGAATCTACAGGTACTACTTTTTCTTCTTTGATTGAAACTGCCGGTAAGAACAATACTTCTGGTAAAGCTGATTTTGATGATTCTTACCCACCATACCAATTGGATGCTGATGTCGATGATTTATTCTTAGATGCTAAGGATAAGAAGACTATGAGAGTTGTCTCCTATTGGACTCCAGAAAGTGATGTTAAGATTACCTTCGCTTATGAAAATACTTTCCCAGCTGCTTCTGGTAAAAAAATTACTCCACAACAATTAATTGCTGGTGACATTGATTCTATCTCTGATGAATCTATGGTTGCTATGACTTCTGTTGAAAATAAGAAATTATATGGTACTTTGATTAACTTATCTCAAGAAAGAGAAGGTCCAGTTATTAAGATCACTAACTCTAAGGAAAACAAAGATGAAGTTAGATTCTTAGTTGCTTACAAGAGAGGTACTACTAAACATTACTACTCTGAATTGAATTCTTTATTCCATTACTATAAGTTACGTATCAACAAATTCTTTGTTGAAAATTTCAAATTATGTCCACAAGGTACTGATAACGATGATGTTGTCATTTTCTCTATTTACATGGATAAGACTCAACAATCTAAGGATTTATTACCTCAAGATTTAGATCTATCCATCAAACAAATTGAAAGAGAAGCTTCTTTGTTATACACTATTCCAAACAACAGTTTCGTTCAATTGTATGAACAACGTCTATTTTCTCCACAAGAAGCTATTTACGCTCATGTTTCTGCTATCTTCATTGTCCATTTCATTAACAGATTAGGTGATGATTACAAGAACTTGTTGACCCAAATTGCTCCAAAGGAAAATGATGTTGTCATGTGGGAAACTATTGGTAACTTGAAGAAGAAATTAAGAAATGAAACTTTCACTCAACAAATGATCATTGATGTTTTACAAAGATACCATAACGTTGTCTCCAAGTTATACAAGAACTTCTCCGAAGTTCACTACTGTCGTGATCTAAACGATAACAAGATCGAAAAGACTTTATCTTACAAGAGATTATCTAAGTTAGAACCATTCAAGAACGACCAAGAATTCGAAGCTTACTTGAACAAGTTCATTCCAAACGATTCTCCAGATTTGTTAATTCTAAAGACTTTGAATCTATTCAACAAGTCTATCTTAAAGACTAATTTCTTCATCACTAGAAAGGTCGCTATTTCTTTCAGATTGAACCCAGCTATGATCATTCCAAAGGTTGAATACCCAGATACTCCATACGGTATTTTCTTCGTTGTCGGTAACACTTTCAAGGCTTTCCACATTAGATTTAGAGATATTGCTCGTGGTGGTATTAGAATTGTTTGTTCCAAGACTCAAGATATCTACGACAAGAACACTAGAACTGTCATCGATGAAAATTACCAATTGGCTTCTACTCAACAACGTAAGAACAAAGATATTCCAGAAGGTGGTTCCAAGGGTGTTATCTTATTAAACCCAGCCTTAACTACTGAAAAGGATACCTTCATTGCTTTCACTCAATACGTTGACTCCATTATTGATATCTTAATCAGAGATCCATTAAAGGAAACTTACGTTGATTTATTAGGTAAGGAAGAAATCTTATTCTTCGGTCCAGATGAAGGTACTGCTGGTTTCGTTAACTGGGCTACTCTACATGCTCGTTCTCGTGGTTGTCCATGGTGGAAGTCCTTCTTGACTGGTAAGTCTCAATCTTTAGGTGGTATTCCTCACGATGAATATGGTATGACCTCTCTAGGTGTCAGAGCTTACGTTAATAAGACTTACGAAACTTTGAACTTGAAAGATACTAAGATTGCTAAATTCCAAACTGGTGGTCCAGATGGTGATTTAGGTTCTAATGAAATTGAATTATCTACTCCAAATGAAACTTACGTTGGTCTTCTAGATGGTTCCGGTGTTCTATGTGATCCAAAGGGTCTAGACAAGGACGAATTGATCAGATTGGCTAAGACTAGATCTACTATTGCTTCTTTCGATAAATCTAAGTTATCTAAGGAAGGTTTCTTTGTCTCCGTTGATGATTCCGATGTCATGCTACCAAATGGTGCTATTGTTGCTAACGGTACTTCTTTCAGAAACACTTTCCACGTCGAAGTCTTCAAGTTTGTTGACCACATTGATTTATTCGTCCCATGTGGTGGTAGACCAAACTCCATCACTTTGAACAATGTTGGTGAATTCATTGATCCAAAGACTAACAAGACCAGAATTCCATACATTGTTGAAGGTGCTAACTTGTTCATTGCCCAACCAGCTAAGATTGAACTTGAAAACCACGGTTGTGTCTTCTTTAAGGATGCTTCTGCCAACAAGGGTGGTGTTACTTCTTCTTCTTTCGAAGTTCTAGCCTCTTTGGCTTTGAACGATGAAGACTTCGTCCACAAGTTTGTTGGTCTAGAAGGTCAAGACTTGGACAGCGGTAAGGTCGCTGAATTAACCAAGACTTCTCCATTATACGATGCTTACGTCGAACAAGTTCAAAAGAGAATTGTCTACAACGCTGAACAAGAATTCGCTCAATTATGGGCTATCAACCAAAAGACTGGTACTCCAATCTCTGAATTATCTGATAAACTATCTGTCACTATTAACAAATTGAACGATGATTTAGTCGACTCTGAAGAACTATGGTTGAACGACACCAAGCTAAGAGACTACTTGTTATTAGAAAAGATTATTCCAAAGTTGCTAACTGATGTTGCTACTCCAGCTAAGATCCTAGAAAACATCCCAGACTCTTACTTGAAGGTCCTAATTTCTTCTTACTTGGCTTCTTCATTTGTCTACCAAAATGGTATTGACGTTGATATTGGTAAGTTCCTTGCCTTCATCGGTGAATTGAGAAGAGAAGCTTACAAGAACTAAGTTTAATCTGTTATGACTCCATATGAAATTCAATATATAAATATATATATATAATTAAAGTGTATATTTGGGAACTGGTAGGTTCTCATATTTTTTTGTATCATAAAAACAAATACAAAATTGAAAATTTAAATTATTAAGACTAAACGCGATGCCATTTGATTCCTTTAAATAATCGTCATACTCAAGTAAAATCGTTGCATAATATCGAACATAAAAAGAAACAAAAGACTGAAGGACGAAAATGTTACCAGCTTATGAGTCAGTAGCTTCGCTGAGAAGAACATTGAAAGACGATTATGCAAATAATCCTTTGAATGGTCCTTTTGCTCAAAAGCAACACCACGCTCAATCGCAACATACAAAAGTCGACCCCTCACAACAACAAATAATAACAGCTTGTGTAAAAGATAATCAATCCAAATCAGATGCGGGCCGAGTTAAACGAAACCCACGATATTACCAGGATGTACTAATATCCAAGTTTTGTTGCCAACAAATTCTTCAGCATGCAATTAGCGGTGGTGACAATGAGATAATGGGGATGTTAGTAGGTGTTACCCACGGTTCAACTTTTATTGTCACACAATCGTTCCCTTTGCCTATCTTAGGAACCGAGACTACAGTTAATGCAATGTCTGAATCTTACGAATATATGGTACAGTATATGAATAGCATATTCTCTGATGTAGATAAAATGAATCATATAGTTGGATGGTATCATTCACATCCAGGTTATGATTGTTGGTTAAGTAAAACAGATATGACTACACAAAATTTGAACCAATCATACCAGGATCCATACTTGGCAATAGTGGTGGATCCGAAGAAAAGTGTTGAACAGGGTGCTATTCGAATTGGAGCCTTTAGAACATCAACTCTAAGAAATGATGAGGTTATCAGGGATATGAACGATAATGTCATTGCCTCTGAGAAATCGCCACAGGATGAAAATGAAAATTTGACTTTTTATGAATTGCCCATGAGGGTTTATGAATCGGATTTGGATATAATTCTGAGGTCTGATAAACTTTCCCATAGATTGATCCCAAGTGATATAAATCATGAAACCCAATTATTTGACGATTTATTTGAAAGTATGAACCAGATCAACAATTTTAACGAACTTCTTATCGATGAAGAGAACCAATTATATGGTATGAAACCTGATTTCACCACACAGACTATGGGCCCACCAAATCAAGATATGGGCGCCTCGACGCATACCAAGATGAAGAGAAGTATGTCAACTTCTATGTGTAGCACACCTTCTATTGATAACGAAAGTGATATTGATATGATACATGATATATATAGTGAAAAGGACCCTGATTTGGAAAGTGTCACGAGCAGCGTGGGGACAGCTCCGGAAAATAGTATCACATTATTGAGATCACATTTTAACAATGGTTCGACAAATGAAAATAGCCCTGGAAATCCCCTTACTTTACAACGTAGATTAGTCGGAAATTCTCGAGCAATTGACGAGAGTTTATCGAGTATGCAAGAATCAACAGAATCATTGAACATTAATGGGCACCGCGGGTCGAAGTTGCACAGTATCGATGATCTGACATTTAGTCTTCAAAAGAACAATCTCCGATCTGCTTATGAAAAAAGTAAAGGAGAATTACTAAGATATAAAATACAAGAGTACAAGAACTATCGTTTCTATAGAGATACATTTACTTTATAAATGTGACGTTTTAGATACCATGTGTAGTTTATATAATGGAAATATATATATTCATGACAAGTATGAGGTATGTCGCAATGGTTACATTTAATCTGCCTTTTAAATTTATTATTTTCTGAACTCCGCGAAAGTTCGAGTGGAAGTAGAGAAGAACAAAGAGGTCAAAATTTAAAAGGATACTCTCAGCTAAAAGATAGGAATAGAAAAAGAATGTTTGGTATAATTGAGGTAGAACTTAAACTTCTATCAAAAAAACACCTGATAACAATAGTGTACAAATACAATAAAAAATGGGTTACAATGGATTTGGAATGGAACAAATACAACCTCCACCGGATAAAGATATCCCTTTCAGTCAACTTACACCAGATCAACAAGGTGAAAAAGGTGCACAAATGATGATGGATTTTATGACTTCATGTCCCGGTAAATCTGCTATTAGTGGTGTTACTGGTTTTGCATTAGGTGGTGTTTTGGGTCTTTTCATGGCCTCCATGGCTTATGATACCCCATTACATGTTCCTACTCCAGGGAATATGGCAAGTCCCATTCAACAGATGGCAGATTTACCAATGAAACAACAAATTAAATTACAATTTGCAGATATGGGTAAAAGATCATACTCTAGTGCGAAGAATTTTGGATATATTGGTTTAATCTATGCCGGGGTAGAATGTGTTGTAGAGTCTACAAGAGCTAAGAGTGATATATATAATGGTGTGTCAGCCGGTTGTATTACTGGTGCTGGTTTAGCATATAAGAGTGGACCACAAGCTGCAGCAATTGGATGTGCAGGGTTTGCTTTATTTTCTGCTGCTATTGATATGTATATGAAAAGTGAGGATGGTACGCCGCCAACCAATGATTTCAACCAGTAATGGTAAATTAAAGATAAAAAAAACTAACTAGTCATTAATATTCGAAATAGATTTTAAATATTATTTGGAGGACGTTACACTGATGCAGTCAAAAAGATCATTTTATAGTAATGTATCCGCATATGCTAGTGTTCTATGTAAATATATAAATATGTATGTATAAGAGTAACGTTTAACAAACAGGTGAATATGCCGTATTATGAATTAGAAATAACTCAAAGGAAGAGCTTGAAATGGAAAGAAGTTAGTTCTTTAATGGAAAAAAAATCAGGATATGAATGGGGTTATAATAATAACATTGCGGATATCATGGCTGAAGATACGACAGCACCATTCATTCCACCAACTTTAAACATCATATCAAAATTTCCATGAGCTGCGTTATGGTGTTTCTTGGATGCAGAAGATGATGAAGCTGCAGCGGTAGATGAGGTAGTAGAGTTTGTAGTAGTATTACCTCTACCACTATGGGTACGACCAGGGTGATTACCATTAGCTAGTGCACCACCTAGAATTGCACCACCTAGTGCACCACCAGCTACATTTGAATTACCAGAGCCCCTAGAGCCACTGGAACCACTGGAACCACGAGAACCACTAGAACCACTGTATCCTCCAGAACCACTGTAGCCACTATTTGAGTTTGAATTTGAATTACCATTACTTCCAAGGGCTCCTGCTTTTGGAGAGGAACCAGAGTTAGATCCGACTAAAGTATCACTACTGGACACCACAGAATCCGTATCCGAACCACCTTTACTACTGGAACTACCACTACTGGAACCTTTTGTACCACTTCCAGAACTAGAATGACTACTGCCACTATTAGAACGACCACCACTACTGACGTGGCCACCACTACTGGCGTGACCACCACTACTGGCGTGACCACCTCTTTTACCTTCCAATTCTAATTCACCGACATCGGGTATCAGTAAAGAACGAGTAGTGATTGCTAGCAATAGCAAACAAGCGATATTTTTAAATGATAATTTCATATAATTGAGTTTCTTTAAACTTGGTTTGTTTTCTTTAAAAAAAAAATGTTTTCCAAAAATAGAAAGTATCACAATGGTATAAACAGCAGTAACTTTTCCTTATGCATGTGCATATATATAGCAATAAATATTTTTTACTTAATAGTGCATATAGCCAAACAATTATTGACTAACACCCTTTGATTCCTAAAAAAAAGCAGGCAAAGTGACTAGTGAATACAACAACACTAAGGACTAATTGCATCCGATCTTAGTTGTTGATGATGGTGACTACCTGAATCCAATCGTCGTCTCTGTCAAGTTGCTTATTTTAGCAGAAAAAAAAGCGAGGCAAAGAGACGCTGAAAAATAATCAATTATGTTAAAAGAACGCAGAACAAGGCGCAGCAATGCAGCCATGCAGTTGAAAAATAAAAATTTGGTTGCAAAATACTACCAAATAAGCAGATCACACTCTATTTTGAATAGTGAACCTACTAGAACAGTGTCATTTCAAAAAGTAAATATCTCATCATATTTAGGGGTGGAGTTGGTGATAAGTTAAAGGTAGGCTCATTCAATTGAATTGGTTAAACAGGGGGCAGAGGGGCACAGACAACAACAAAACAAAGCGAGTCATCATGGTGATAATAAGGGGCACAGTGTACCTCATCACTTTACCCACGTTACTAGTAATGATGCTATTAGAGCAAACAAGGGCTCTCGCGACTCTTCAAGAAGTATTCAATCAGGGAGATCAATCGTTATCTATAGCTTCTGCAGTTGATGGTAAATTTTTCTTAGCTCACAATGATAGTGCAAGCTCCGCAATCAAAGAAGAAATGTTAGTTTCAACAAAGAATGCTTTAATTGATCTAAATGGGAATAAGACTACATGGATTCCCGAACATATTAGAGCCAAATTAGAAGAATGGATTACAGTTGGTGGGTATGCATCATGGTTTTTCCAATATTTTCTTGGTCAAGGTATAACGAGAGCCAGGCAACAATATTATGCCAGACAAGAATGGCCATTAGATCGTTTTGTTTGTGGATCAGATTTCACCATTAGGCCCAGATTTGATCCAATTAATGATACATGGGTTTCATATTTAAATTTATTAGAAGTTTCAACTAGTGGTTATAGTTGTGAAAATTTATCATATTCTGATGCAATGATGGCTGGTAATGAAAAAATTGATTTTTTAATGAGTAGAAATACAAGTCTATCCGATAATATTGGATTTTCGTTTAATTATTCACTTAATGTCAATGTTACATTAAAGGTAGAGTGTAAATGTCACCGACTTCAATCTCCAATAAAATTATATGGGGTAAGAAATATTAAATGTAATAATACATGGGAAGATATCAAACAGCGAGAATTGAAAGAATCGAAAGAATTGAAAATATAGTATATGTATATTTTAATAAAAAGAGAAAAATTATTTGATTAGATATTAAAAATTATATAGTAATATGTTAATTTTACTCAAATATATATATATATTTGAAGGGGTATATTTAACCAAAGTAAATAGGAAAACTGAGTTTTAACAAATGTAAAATAGATAAAAAAAAAATATAAAGATAATTAGAAATTAAAAATTAAAAGAATTAAGATAGAAAGTTGATGGCGGGGAGGGCTGATACTATTAAGTATGAGCAACCACTGGAACTTCATTAGAGACTTCAGATTTTTCTTGACCGTCATAATGAGTCGTATTATTAGTTGATAAAGTATGTTGATCTTCACGAACGTTTGGACCTGCGGCCATTGGAACCCCAGTAGCAGCCTCGACATCGTTTGCAGCATAAGCACCAGTGGTTGTAGCTGTAGTGGTTCCATCTTGAATAGGATCGACTAAAGTTAAAGCGGAGGCTCTATCGACTCTTGTACCCATTGAAGAACCTGTCTTAAACAGTCCTTTACCACCGAAATGAGAAATGACTGGGGTTAAAATATTAATACCTACAAAGACTGAAGATAATAAGAATAAAACCCAAGCTAAACCTGCAAAAGCGATTGAAGCTTTAGCTGAATGACATGCTGTCTTTTGATTATTTGTTGTATATTTTCCAGTAAAAGGATTATATTCACCGCCTGATTCTCTAAATGATTGCAAAGAACCAAATTTTGGATTATATTGATCCGTTGTTCTAATTTTACATGAATGATCACCTTGAACTTTAGCATCGACAATAAAAGCAGCTAACCATAACATGCACATGATTACTTCAAAGAAGAAGAACAGACCAGCCAGGACTAATTTTGGCATGGCAATGGCTAAAAAGAAAACTGCTAAACTATAAAAGACACTGATGACAGCAACTGCTAAAACAAAATTAGTCTTTTTTGAACCATGGAATCCATAAGAATGAATAGCGTAAGCCAGTAGAGACATTACAATGACAGCAGAAGCGAATTGGAAGAACCTTAAGATTGCATAACCTATTAAATGAGCCGGAGATGACCTTGGCGCAGTGTGCACAGTAGTAGTAGTAGTCCTATTTTTTTTATGAAGACCTAGCATTGCTTAAAAAATTAATTGATTTATTAATGTGTTGGATAAATCGAGTGTTGATATTTATTTTTGAATCTAGTAGACATTTTGTAAGAGTGAAAGATATAAAACTTTACAAGAAAACAATTTAATAAAGAAATTTATTCGTTGGTTTATATATGTTTTCGAAAAGAAAAACAGATAATCAAACAATTTTTTTAAGTATTTCGAAACTATTGAAACAATCCCTGTTTATCCTACTAAAGGGACAGAATAATATTTGCAATATCTGGCTTACCAAAGGAGGATCTTCCTAAAACACCCTTTAGTTTTTTTTTTATCTTCAATAATAATTAAAATTAGAGCTAAGAGAAAACCCTTTAACATCGTTACATAATAATAATAGTAGAGATATATTAAAGGGTTATTAATTGTGCTTAAAGATATGGATAACAGTAGTACTTAATCTGTCAAAATTGTACATCTTCTAACCCCTTTTGTTTTCCTTTAAATGAGTATATATTATGTAAGTAAGCGGCGCTTCTCTGTCAAAGCAAAAAACCCTTTAATTAGCTAATTTTGAAGTGAACCGGCTGGACAGGAAGACAAATCCCCAGCTGTGGCGCTCAGGGAACAGCGCAGGGAGGCAGCGGAACCTGGAGCAAGATTACAAATAGCATCCGGTTTTCTTTTAAAGGGTGTGTGCCTCCCAGTATAAGCGCGCAGAAACTGGGCGGTGTGTTAGTGCTGACTACACCGGAAATGGGTGCTGCCAGAACACATTCTGCCAGAAGGGCGGATAGACGGAACCTATGTTGCATGGGTGTAAGACCGATCCGCCATCTCGTTGTGCTGTCCAATATCTGCTCACACCGTTGAACGCCGTTGCGCCGGTGGTGAACGTCCAGCCTGTTTTAAGAACATTCTAGATCAATCCACAGGCATGTTCTTAAAGGGGTGCGGGCGGCTCTGTGTCTATCCTCAGTTTGGAGATGTCTTATACTATTTTATCTATTAGTTGAAGCGTTCTAGTGTATATACATAAATATATATATATATATATGCGCAGTGCGCGAATCACGTGAGAAGCGTTCTGTTTTAATTGTTACTGTCCAAGATGATCGTTACGGGGCCCTCATTTGTCAATGCACAACTCATCATTGCACCAAATTTACCATCCTGGACTTTATCGTCGCCCAGTTTCCCACGTAATTGCAATAAAAATTCATTATATAGATCCTGTGCAATGTGGCCCTTCTGCGCCAAATGGAAATCTGGTTTGGTTCCCTTTTTGGTTCTGGCATACAGCGTAAACTGCGACACACTCAATATTTCACCTTGGGCCTCTTGAATGTTCTGTTTCCACATGGCACTGTTTTCATTATCGTCATAAAGACGTAACGTAAGAACTTTATTACTTAATTTTTTAATATCTTCAATAGTGTCATCTATTGAAATACCAACAAGTAACATATATCCATGTTTTATACTGTGTAGAGATCGATGTGTTAGTATATGAACATAAATTTAAGACCTGATTCTTTTTTTCTTGTCATTCGCTTCTACTTACTTGGATATAATCTGAGAATCTACTGTAACTGATGCTTGACTGACTTTTTGTAATACAATTCTCATCTTTTTGTGTTTATCGTTGTTGTGTTGGTGCAATATATATATATATATTGGTTCTTATCGTAATTTGGTTATCAGCTAATGTTTCTTATACGATTGCTCGAACACTTGGTGTTGGTTTGCGCTTTTTTTTGATTTGATCGCGAAATTTCACAATATTCATTTTTTTTGCTTTGTTGATTTATTTACATATAAATAAACTTGAAGCTCATCGCAAATATACATACATTTATAGATGTATGTATATCTTTCAACTCGATGAAGAAACCACCAGATCAAAACAATTGAAAGTATGGAACAAGAGGATGGTTATACTATTATAGATAATCTCGAGGATATTGAAAGAATCCCTGCAGGTAAATGTATTCGTATTAGATTTGTTGCAGTTTTACAAGATATTGTGTGTACTAAAAGTTCATTGTCATTTCATTTGGCTACGTTTAATGATAATGATGATACGTTTATAACAAGAATTAATATTAAAGATACTTTTGCAAGAAGAAATGCAATGTTTGCATTCTCTCTATTGAAAAGAACTTTAAATTTTAATTTTTTACAATTTCCAATTGATAACCAAACTGTAGATTGGAAACGTAGAGATATTCATATCAATGAATTGCGTCTAGTTGTAGTCTCTACAACATTTGTCACGAATGGATCAAAATCATCTTTATTCTTAGATGATTTAATTCCATTGAATCTTATTGAACAAGCTGATATTGTTTGGAAATATTTACAATCAAATACTGTACATGTCGAAAATGATTGGTTGACTCCACGTGTTGCGATTCTTTTTAAAAGATTATGCAAATTGGATGCTGAAGATAAATCACTTTTCCAATTTAAAAATTTAAAAAATATTGAATTTCAACAAAGGAATGATTGTTTACAAAAAATTATTAATTTTTATCAGTCTGCAAATAAGAAACAACAATGTAGATCGATCACTGGTACATCAAGAGCTATTTTGCCAATTTACAAACCAATAGATACCTTTGATTCACAAAATGAATTCAATTCACAAGCAATGGATACTCAAACTTCTTTAAACGTGGCTCCAATAATAAAGAAAAAGATTACTCCTTTTAAATCACCTGAATTTAACCCACAACCTCAAAGAATTGCACAACAATCAAATGAAAATGCATTCAAAGCACACATGTTGGAACATGGTCCTTCTAAGCAACAACAGCCAGTGAAGAATGTTGAGACAGTGAAAAATTTAGAGGATTTAAGACCAAAAGCATTCGCTTTCATGGATTTAGGTTCAGTTAGTATGTCTACCGCTAAATTTGTTGGAACAGGGGTTTCTTATGGTGATATGGATGATACTTATTTAATTCCCAGTCAAATGGATAATTTGACAAATCCAACAAATGGAAATTTACTAGAACCTTATATCAATTGTGTAGCGGTAAGGTCTACCAAAGAATCTACTGATATTCTTGATCAATTTGTTGATACAGATATCGAAGCAAATTTAAATGCTACAAAATATAAAATGGGAACTAATGATGATTCTCCATATACCATCGTCCCTCAATTAAAATCTTATAAAGTACCAGATAAAACAATCCCAGGAAAAGAATTTTCACTTCCATCACCAAGAGAAAAATTTATACAATGGCAAGATATTAGTATTACGGATCAATTCCCACAATATGTTAAAATAATTGCAGTATTATTAGGATTTTCTAATGAACATTCAAATTATTATGATTTAATATTTACAGATTTTACAACGAATCAAACCAATCATAAATATTTATTTGATAGATCTTTCCTTGCTGGAAATACTACTATCTCTTATGATCAAGGTTTTAGAACTTTAATGTATCATAATCAACTCGAAAATTTTGAAACAGAATTGAAAGTTTTGACGAATAAAGATATAATTGGACTTGCAAATTCATCTCTTCAGGATAATCTTTCGCATAATGGTATTGTGTGTGAATTAACCATTAAAGTCACAGTATATCAGGATAAATTGAATTTAATTCTAAGAGAATGTACTCCCTTGACTAGATCCTTAATTAATTCAAGAAATTGGTACAATGATAAAACCGCATTAGAAAATTTACACTCATTATATCAACGTACATTTGATTTTTGTTCTCAAAATTGTTTATCATTGGGACTTGATAATACGATATATAAGAATTTTGCTAAATTTTTCCCAATGAAAAGAACAGACGAAATTCCTGGTGCAGTAATCGTCATTCCAAAGGATGAAATATATCGCGAATCACATTCTGATAATGATGATACTGATGACATTAGTAAACATAATGATAATAATAATGCATCAATAGATTCTTCCACTAACAAAACATACTCATATATTCCTAATTTAAATATAGACATTACATCCTTCGAAATTACTAATGAAACTGAAAATTTTACATCCTTATACAAGACTCAAACAAATATGAATAATTTATTTATTGTTGATAATTTAAAATTATTATCATGGAAATTAATAGAGAATCAAAAGGTGTTGATTTTAAATGTAACGAATGATTTGGTTTCATCTGAAAGAATTGAACAAACAAGAATTTTACCTCTTTATATTATTAATGACTCAAATTTAAAATATTTTTGCAATGGCTGTTTCAACGCTCATAGCTTAACTACCGATTTAAACAAAATGATTGGCCAAAAGTTTAGCTTCAAGATTAAAACTGGTAGATTAAAATTAAATGATAAATATTTACTCAAGATCTATTGTCCTATTGAATGTACTCTTGCTGAGTTAATTAGTCAATGGGAAGTGTATCGCCTCGGACAGGAAATGGAAAAGAAATATGGTGATTATGATAATATTATGGTAAAATTAGAAAAATGATTACACACACAAGGACAAATTGATCGTCATTTCATCTATGCAAAATAAGTAAATAAAATAAAATAATAAAAAATGCATTAATTTATCACTTAATGTATTGTACACTGTCTAGTTGTTGTTGTTTTGACAAATTCCTGCTAGATAACTCGGAGTTATTTAACCATAACATCCTATTTGGAATACCCTAACAATATTTAAAGGTTGGTGTCTGGATTCATTCTCATTGATGAATCTTAATTAGTGTTTAGTCCAGTAAAATCTTTAAAATTCACGTGACTTGGGTATATATTATTTTCCCTTTACCTAATCAGGTATCGATACATTCACTGCATCCCTTTCTAAGTGCGCGGTTTTTTATAGCTCGTTACAGACAGAATTACCGTATTGGGGAAAATGTACAATAAAGAGAGATTATATTCATAATACTCATCATCTTCTTTCTTTTATTTTTTCAAATAGAGGATGCAACAAAAAACCATGGATAACAATTATCCTAAAATGACGCACCCAACGAAGAAATACCCCTATTATAGCAACATCTCAGTTTAAACCTGTCTGAAGGATCAATTTGTTAATATTCTGTCAAACTACTGCATTAAGTCATGTTGTAAAATGGTCACAGATTTTAGTTGCTTACCATAATCAAAACGTCGTATAAACAGGTAGATCAAAAGGGTGTTTTGTAATGAGGCTATTATTGTAATCTTCTCTTTGTTTTTAGATTCGATTCTCCTCCGATTTTAATAAGGCTACTGGTTTATGTCTTTTAGCTTGATTATTCATTACCCCCATGACTTTTTTTGTCTTCTAAATTTTTTTCTGTTTATTTCTTATATATATAATACACAGGCTTGTTTAGTTTAGTTGATATTGATCAATATTGATCAATATATCTAGATTAATTTTTTTATATGGGCCAAGTAAGCAATACACAGTTATTTTGATTTATTAAAACTACTCTTTTTTTAAAAAAGAATAATAACTAAGATAGTGTGAGAAAATAATATTAAGAAATCAAGTTCAATATGTTATTTAAAAAGTATGTTAGATAATTAAATTTTTAATTGTATTATGACATTATTTTATTTCTAGGTTATTTAACGGTACTTAATTACTGTATGTTTTCTAAGATCTTTCCCGTTGTCTGATCTTTTCTGCATAATAAAATATATTTATAAACTAATTTGATTAGTCCCTACTTAACAAAGATTTCTACTTGATCTTTTGGGCCTCACTCTTTGATCCACTGATGTAAAAACAAAGAAAATTTCACTTAGAAAGAAATGACTATATTCGTACATTGTTAACGATGAACAGTTTCATAGGCACAGGATAGTAACTCGGAAAATCTTGTTCTTTTATTTTTTTACCTCGGATCAAATTTCAATGCTGACATAATATACAAAGAAAGAATATCATTTCATCAACTAATCATGTTGAAAAAGATGTCTAAATAATTTAATCATTTACACTAGATTACTAACAATTATAACTGAATATAATAATTTATTCAATATTATTTAACAGATCTTCTAATGTCAAAGGAAAGAAAGGTTCGAAGAAGAAGGAGCCAGAATTGAGTGAACCAGAGGACTATGTTGTAGAAACTATGCAGTCTGAGAGTGAAGAAGAGGAGCAGGAGACTTCTGAAGAAAGCTCTGAAGAAGAAACTAGCTCAGGGGAAGAAGAAGAAGAAAGGAATGATGAAAATATTAAAGGTATTTCTGATATGAGTTCTTATGAAGGTGATGATAGTTTCGAAGGAGAAAGTGATTCTGGTGATGAATCCTCTTATGAAGAAGTTCAAGAAGGTAAAATGGGATTCTTGTCTAAGAATAGATCAGGTGGTCGTAAGAAATCCTTTAGTACGACCAAACCAACCACATTCAAACCAACGATGGGTATATTTAATAAAAAGGATCAAAATAAGAAATCAAAGAAACCATTGGCTACCACTACGTCATCTGAAAAACCTAAGACTATGAAGGGTATTTTTAGTAAAAAACCAGCTAAGCAACAAATTTTACATCAAAAACCTGTTGTTGGTAGGAGATTATCTAAAGCTATGCAACCAGGTAACCAAAGAAACCCATTTGGTGTTAAGAAATCACCTGAAGGTTCTAAAATCGATGTTAAGAACAAAGTCAAAGGAAAAGATAAATCTGTACCAAAGAAGCAAACTAAGACAAAAAAATCTCTAAAGACCAGTACCGAACAGTCAACAATTGGAAAGAAGAATGTAGGTGTTGAACCAATTACGAAAAGGAGAGTGGATGAAACTGAAGAAAAAATCTTCAATAGTAGTAATGTACCGGATTCTAAATACAGTGAAGAATCACAAGCTAACAACGGTGGTACATCTATAAATGGTAACAAACAAGTCGAACAAACTCAATCTAACTCAAACGACGTCTCTACCAAAAAGACCTTAAATCCAAGTATGATGGGTAACCAAACCAATATACAGTTACCACCAGGAAGATTTATTACTCCAAGTGATTTTGCAAGTTCTTCTTCTGTTGATATTCCAGGTGGATTACCTACTTCTACCCAACAACAAATTATTGGATACTACCTATTTAGTAATTCTTCTACACCAGTAAAAGAAAGTTCTCCTATTGAGGAGTTACAAAACTCTAAAGAGAGTTCAGCTAGTATCGATGGTGATAATTTGACTGTCTCCACATCAGATGGGAAGAATTATTCTTTCAAGGCTAAACCCTTCTATTCAAATGAAGGAAATGGTAACGCAAGTGAAAGTCCACTTGGAAATGCGGAATTGGAGCAAGTCGCTACATCAAGTGGTATTGAATCTAACAATACTACTAAAAATATTGTAAACGATAGCAGTAATACCAGTTCACCTTTGATGACAAATTCAAATGAGATGAAATATACAGCCCAATTTCAACCTACGGTAGCACCCGGAACTGATGGTCAACCATTATCAATCGATACAAGTTCAGATATTAATTCTGAACAAAAAGCTACAACTGTGGTAAAACCATCCTTGAGTGCACGTAATACTGAACCTTTTAATGATGAATTTACTACTCCAACAACCCCAACCACTTCAAAACAAGTTGAAAAACCAAGTTCCTTATCTTCTCCTCCTACTCGTATATCTTCACGTTCAAAGCCAATAGTTTCCACTACAGAAGCCAAAATTGCCGCTATGAAAGCTAAAGGTGTGAAGAGATTACCTAGGGAATCCAACGGTGCCATAGGTAGGAGATCTGATAAAGATTCTTCAGTACCAAGAAGTTCCAGAGTAAAGATGGGTGGTATGTTTGGTGGACGTTCTTCTAAACCAGCTAAAGATAAGAAAGCTTTGAAGGAGAAGGAAGAGAAAAGAAGTAGGATAAGAGACAGCATTATAACATCATTTACTTAATAATAATAATAATAATAATAATAATAATAATAACAAAAAGTTTCTATGTTTAAGGTTGTTGTTCTGTGAGGTTGTTACAGTATGAATTACTTTTTTACGTTACGTTCTATTGGTTTGTGCGCAATAATATCTCAATCTCTTTCAAATTATCTATTTTCAATTGAAATATTTTAAATTTGGAAATATATCTTTAAAAAAGAAAGGAAGCAAAGAAAAAAAATCCACCCATTTAATTTACTAATATTTATTTTCCTTTCTTTTGAAATGAGTCTGTATAATTTATTTAATATATTAATTTCGATACCAAATCTTTTTTTTTAACTACAAAGCTCACAATCATTAAGACTTCAGACAATATTCAATATGTAAGATGCATTAACTACCTGTACGAGCTCGACTTTCGTTAATGCTTTAGTTGATTTGTTGTTCTTCATTGTCTTGTTTCAGAGGAATCCTAAGTTAATATATGTATATATGTATATACATATATACATAATAGAGCTAGGCATCGCGGTCGTGTACAACGATTTAGGGTGTTTGCTCCCTTTTTTACCCTTTTTTACCTTTCGGGGGTGTTACAAATATAAAAATTACAATATTGAAGAAGAAACAATTGAGAAACATTACAGAAACAAGTAGGCTTTTTGGCGGGTGCTTTTTGATGCAAAAAACTACGCGACTGACTATATTTATTTCGTTTTTCACGAAAAACCCGCCTCTGATTGGTCAGACATTGTAGAAGGAAAACAAGTATATGCCACACACATACATCCATAGCTCTTGTGGCAAAGATATAGATGAAAATGATTCACGCCAATATGTGCTGCTATATATATATACCATTCAAGATGTCACTTCAGTATTGGATATTAAGCAGCACGGATATGATTGCAATTTTCTTCTTCTTACACACCGTTGAGATAAGATATTTCATTTGTTTCTTTCGTTTACGAGGTAGTGTATACATCAAAAAGTACGCCTCGGTGTTGTACTATTCTTCTTGTAAGACAGATAGTTTACGCACTCTTATTGTATTGTTACAAAAACAAAAACGTTTATTATGTTATCTTGCAGTGAAAAAAGTTGCATTGTCTTGTTGTATATACGAATCCATCTAAACAAAAGAGGATTCTGCTGTGTTTCCCATCTGTTTCCCATGAACGAAATTTCCAGTAACGAAAACTTGCATCAACTGGCCACACGCACGCACAGCAAAGTTTCCTCGTGTGTGCGCTTTGTTTTTCTGTCTTGACGGGCGGCGGCGGAAGTGAACTTGTTTGTATTTTTTACACAGCCAAAGAACGAACAAGTTAAATAACAAATAAGTCAAAATAAAATTTCCCAGCACGTTACGTTATTTTCAACTGTAAAGAAGGTAACCAAACAACAACAGAACCTAAACATATCTAATTGATTCTACAAAATACATATACACATAACTACTTTTAGTAATTATATCTTTTTATCCCCATTTTAATAACATTACCTTCTTTAGTTACTGTTTTTTTTAACTCTCTTTTTATAGAGGACAATTCATTTTTTCGTATCAAAAAGAAATAAACAAACAAAACAAAACTTTTAAAAGCATTTCATATACATATTCTAACACAATCATATTCCTATTATTACTATTATTTTTGATTACATAGAAGAGATCAACCATCACATTTTTTATTTTTTCTTTTATATTTTCCTAACTTCCATCCTTAATATCTTCAAACTTAATTACACATATAGCGTTTGTTAGAATATTGTCGTTTTGCATTAGTTTTCTCGAACAGATCTTTCATTTTACCCACTGATTAAGAGAATCATTCCATTGAACGCTAAACTATTAGCCATATATTCCAAAAAGATTTATACTATTATCAGTCTTTCAATCATCAAAATTCTTAAATTAAACATTTTTTTTTAATTTTTTTGTGTACGATTAAAATTAGCTCCTATTATCCAGCATTTTAATTTTATCATTTATATTTATCTATTTCAACTAGCTGTTTCCCTCTTTTTTTCAACAGTTTCTCAATTTTATTATTACTATTCGTCATTTGAATCAAATACAATTTTAAAAAATTTTAAAAAAAAAAAAGATGTCATCGATGGTTAATGAAAATAACAATATTCAAAATCCAGAACTTTTCATGCAAAGAGCATTTAATGCTAGTTCTGATAATATGATAGTTCCACCACATCAAGTAAATACTAATAATTCACATTCGCATCAAATCACTAATAATAATAACGTTGAACCATCCCAACAATTTATTATTAATAATGAAAATTTTTCTCCATTTAATTTATCTTCAACTTTAAAAAATATGTCACTTAATGGTTCAGACACAAAAGAAATTAATTCAGATTTTTTAAAAAAATCAAAAAATTCATATTCTCTAAAGATAAGAAATGTTCCAACTGATATTACTTCTCGTGAATGCCATATTTTGTTTAGTTTAGCTAAAGGTATTATAAATGTTGAATTAATTGAAGAAAATATTGATAGTAATAATTCTTCAAATATTAATTCACCAACTGATAATAATAAATCAAATAATTCATTAAATGAATCACAAACTGGTTTAGTCATTGTAGCAAAATTTGATTCATTATCATTAGTTAAATTATATGCATCCATATTAACTTCAAAGAATGATATTTTTGGTCCAGATTTTAAAAAATTTTGCCCCATTGAAATTATTGATGATTTAACACAAAATCAAATTGGAATATCAAATGTATTACCAGATAATAATAACAATAACAATAATACAAATAATAATAATAATAATAATAATAATAATATTATGCAACCAAATTATCAATTAATTAGTTCAACAAATTACAACAATATTCATCTACCAAGGTTAAGTTCTACTCCAGTAGAATCAGTGGCAAATTATAAAAGCAATAGTTTAAGTATACATTCATCATCAACACAAACAAAATCAAGATTTTCTTTCTCAGATCCATTCACTAATGATTTTCCACAACCGATGATTGCTCAAACTGGTGTTAATTCAAATGGTGGAAATCAACCGTTCAGTACTAATGATCAAATGAATGTATCAATAAATGGGAATCAATCTCAAAGAGATTTATCATTAAATGCTCCAGTCCATACAAGAGATGCTGGAAAATCATTCTTATTGATGGAAAATGACGATATCAATGAAAATATTTGGAATCCAAATACAATTGCCTCGAGTATGAATGCATTTCATGATATCGCTGCTCAAAATGCAAATGTTGCGTTAGATTGGACTTTGACTGATGAACATAGAGAAAATAGTAATAATAATAATAGTGATCAAAATACATCAATGTTCATATCTACCAATCCAAATTCCATGGCTGGCTCCATGGCAGATTCTATGATTCCATCTTCCATGGATATAAACTCAAATGGAATGCCGATGAACGAACCATTGTCACAATATAGTTTGAATTCCATTCAATTACTACAGCAACAACAACAATCTGCACCTCATCTTTCCCAAGAAAACGCAAACCAATACATCCAAGGTAACAACTTCCAAAATGCCATGTCTGGACAATATGGCAGAGAACCTCAAGGTACTATACCACAACAGCAGCAGCAAGGGAGACCTTCAAATCCAAATATCTTTAAGAATATGCATAAATCACAACTTCCTAACGATGGAACAAAAATTCAAAATCCTTCAAAATATTCAAAAGGAAACTCAGTGATATCAAACCCTAATATCAATTCAAGTACAAATAGTATACAAGGATATCCTGGTGTATCCGAAGCAGATTTGTCTTTATTGTCTAAAATACCTCCACCTGCAAATCCGGCCGATCAAAATCCACCATGTAATACTTTGTACGTTGGTAATTTACCACCTGATGCTACTGAACAAGAATTACGTGTGTTATTTGCTGATCAAGAGGGTTTCAGAAGATTATCTTTTAGAAACAAAAATTTAAATCATACACATGGGAATGGTCATAGTCACGGCCACGGTCACGGTCCGATGTGTTTTGTTGAATTTGATGATGTTAGTTTTGCTACACGGGCATTAGCTGAACTTTACGGAAGACAACTACCTCGTGTAACCGCAAGCAGTAAGGGAGGTATAAGATTGAGTTTTTCCAAGAACCCCTTAGGTGTAAGAGGACCAAACAACAGAAAGAGTACTGGTTCGAATACTGGTAACAATGTTAGTTCGACTGCTACAACTTCAAATAATTCGACTGTAAGTTTTAATTACATGCAAAACTATCCCAAATGAATCTAAATATTTTGCAACCCCCAGTAATAATTTTATGTTTTTTTAAAAGACATATATTTGCATTTCATTACTTTTTTTTCATTACAACTACTCAAAGGCTCATTTTAAAACCGTATTTATTTTTATACAACACATACTGATATGTTTACTTTTTTTATATAGAACAAAACCAATTCAGCTCTGTTTAATACATAAATCATTTCTAAAACTATTCTGTTTAACTTTTTGACTACAGAATGTCAAATCGTCAAAGAATACGCTTGACCAGATCAACATAGTTTATCCATTCATTTCCAAGACCAATGATGTTTTGATAAAACTATATTATAGATCAAATGGGTTCGTCTTTTTTTTCCATCGATTCGTAGATTAATATATCGATCAAAAAATTACGGAACGCATTAATTTGTATGTTATATATTTGTTTTTTCTTTATTTATGTTACATTATATTGTCTAAATTGGTATTTCATTCTTTACCAGATACTATTGAGGCTAAATCAGTATAGGTATCGTTTTTCTTCATTTGGCTTTGAGAAATTGATCTCGTACTGACGAAGCTCTTATTATCGGAGGCTACGGAGACAGAGGAAGGGTTGCGTCCTTGTTGTTTTATTAGTCTCTCTCTTAACTTTAAGTCGTGTGCCTTCTTTTCTAGTTCTTGGATCCTCTTTTGTAATTCTCTGGCTGATTGAGCCTCTAACTCTTCTAATTTCTGTTGTCTTGCAATAATTCTCTCATGTCTCAAAACGTATGGGACAGTCTCGGAGATGTTTCTCAATTTGTTTCTCTCTACGGTTTCATTTGTTTGGGCTTCTTTCTTTATCGATCTAATAATCTCTTCGTTCCCATTTCTTATATCTTCTGACATTTGTTTGATTGGTGATTCATTTATTTCAGAATTTTCAATACCATTTTCGTTGTTATTGATTTGTGGTGTAGCAGGTAACTGAGTTTGATCATTCTTACCTAATTTGGCAGTTGTGGCCAATGATTGAGATGATTTAAAATGACCAGTATTGATCAAGGAAGCAAAGTTACTCAAACTTGGTGCAGCACTATCTCTATTACCCAGAGTTTTGTTACCGTTTTTAATTTGTCCCTCGGAATCAGTGTTTTTAGTTACACTTGATAGTTTATCCGTACGATAGTTTTCGTATAGTAAATTTTGTGTTGTATCCTTAAATTCTTGAAGATGTGAACCGAACATGACACTCTTTAGGATACGGAGGTCAGATATTTTATCATCATCTATCTCTAAAGTACCCCAAGGGTAAGATCTAATATATTTCCCCTCTTTATTTCTTTCATCGGATGAAATGATAGAGAAAGGTTGCAAAGCAGATAAAGCCTGGTTCTCCTCAATTGCCTCCAAATCATCATCTTCAGGATCAACTTCAAATTTATAAATAGGTACATTGTATCTCTCTATATCATTCATTATATTTTGCTTAAATTGCTTCAGTTCATCCTTAGTAAATGAATCAGCTTTAGAAATGATTGGAAGAACATTCGTATAACGGGCAATACGTTTCATTATTTCTACATCCATCTCCTTAAGACCATGTCCAGAAGGTTCGATAAAATATAAAGCAATGTGAACTCTCGTATCTTCAAATCTCGGATTTCTTCTAATTCTAGTTTCCTCTGACAATACAATATCGAATTGTTGTTCTAAGTAAGAACTAATCTCATCGAAACATAGAGTATCATCAAGATTTTCAGTAATCCCGTGGGTGTTCACTAGATTCAAAAAAATTGTATCCTCTTCTTCATCGATAATAGAGTTGGATCTTTTATGACCTTTTACTGGAGAATTCTCAACGGCTGGAAGTGTATCACTACCAGTAGAGATTTCTAGAGAAGTAGAAGTAATCGTAATACCAGATTCTAAATTAGCTCTACTTGGATCGAACTCATTCATATAACTTGGTATACCATTCTTGGAATTGAAAGAGACAACTTTTGTTGGCGACGAGATTTTGATCTTTGGTGATATCTGATAATCTTGAAGATTTTGATTATATTCGTGAGCAAAAATATTGGATTCCACAAGATTATTAGCAAAGGAGGTTTTACCTGTACCTGATGCACCTATCATCATTATAGTGTACGTGATACCACGTCTATTATCCTTCTTTCTGCGGAACAAACTCGACGGAACAGGAGACTCCATGATTTAGTTCTTTTTTTCTTTGGATATATTTGATCTATATTTAGTTTATGAGCTTAAAAACTAATTATTAGGTTAAAAATAAAAGGTAACGTACGAGACCCTAAGCTAAATTACTTTTTATATCTTTTTTAAGCTAAATCTATGGATGTAATAACTAACCTCTTAATCATATACTGAAATTCTTCAACACAGTGCCAATCATACTCTTTAATTCTTTATTTAAAGTGTTTATAACTTTTATCCTTTGAAATCAACAAACTTAATACATTAAATTGACAAACCGCGCTCTCAGGGCTGGTCGCGCGACACGAATTTCTAGGATTTTTGTCAACAACGACAATGGATTGTCAAATCCCCAAAATTTTTCACTTTTCAATGAACAAGAAATAAAGGAACTATTAGGTAAGTTGTATGTTACAAAAGATTTGAGTTCAAATACTTACGGAACGATTATAGCAAATAATAAGGGTCTATTGTTTTATCGGAGTTTGTTCCTTTTTTTGTTTACTACTTACGGACAGATTACTCTTCTCAATTACTAAAAATTGAAGATCCAGCTGTAAGAAAGCAAGAATTGGATTTACACTGTTTTGTAGGACCTAGGAAAACGAGAAATCTGTGAGAAGATATTTTGAGCGTGAATGGTATGAATTTCAATAATTTGAATGAGCAGATAACTACCAACATGGACATATTTCAGCCGACAAAGGTAGATACATTTATCATCAAAGCCTACAAGATTGTAACTGATGGAACAATCTTGAACAGCTATCATATTACAACTTCTTCATCAAGTCCCTTAAATAATAGTAATAGTGGAAACGTAGCGAATGATCAGGATGAGACAGATACAGACGCATTGAATAATAATAATAATACTGGGAAAGTTCAAAGGCGAAAAAAGAAAGGGTCCACAATACATCCACAGTACTCTAAGACGTTTGTCAAATTATCAAAAATATATAATTCTTTGTTATCAAATGGACTCTTTGGTGATGTTTCTACTTCTCCAAAATCCGATATTGAATTATTTCAAAGATTTCAACAGATATTAAAGGAATTAGAATTAAATTTTGAGATGAGTCCATATTCCAAATATTTTAATAAAGTCAGTGAAACTTTGTTCCAAGTGAAAGAAGACAACGAATTAACATTTGATGATCCATTTTGGATCACTTTAACTGATGCAATTCTTAACTATTATAACCCTAGAACAGGAAAGATTATTAATCAGGGTCGTAAGAAAAATGTTGTGAAGAGAAATGTATCTGCTGGGAAGAACACTAATGCATCAGAGACCACAAATAATAACGATTTTTTCAATGTCACCAATAATATGTTAACTGACCCAACTCTATCATTACAATTACAAAGAAAATTACAAATGATACCACAGGATGTATCTTCAAGATCACTAAATGGGTATTATACACAACCAACTAGTCCTGGATCAGGTGGATTCCCATTCAACTTGGGAGGTACTGATGACGATGACATATTGGGAAATAATTTCAATAATGATACTACAGGGATTCCATTCAATTCAAATGATGGTGGTAGTAATAATAATAATAATAATAGTAATAATAGTAATAATAACAATAATAATGGGAACATACCGTTACAGAATGGGAATAATAATTTCAGTTATATGAACCATAAAAAAAGAAGGTCATTGGGATCATTAACGTTGGACGAATCCGCAATGGATGATTTATTAAGATTTACCAACATAAATAAAAAACAAAGAACACCTCAATCCTTTAATAATATTATTGACGACTTTAGATTTCCAAGCAATGGTGTCCCCCTGGAGAAAGTCGCATTGACAAAAATGAGCAATGTCGAAGTAATGAAGGATGGAGATACGGAAACTGGTGGTAATACAAATGTAAATTCTAGTGGACCTTTAACAACATCTTCTCTTCCCGTGAATGGGATCAACACTGAAACGGGTCAAACTTCAGCTTCAAATTCAGCTCCAAATACAAATATGACCAACATTACTGAGACGAATTCCAATGGACAATCTGTAATCGAACAAGTCTCTAACAATAACGATAATGTTAGCGGAACTGGTATTCTAACTACACTGGACAATGATTTAGTTAATTCTGGCAATAAACAAAACGTAGTAGACTCTATGAACAGTAATGACATAAACCCCATATCCATGAACAATAACAATATGTCTGATTCGGGAAGGGTCAACACAATGCAAATAACACCAGAAAGTACCATGAATTCTAACACAGCAAATATAAATTTGAGTTCACACACTGGGGAATCCCGACCAAATTGTGTGGGTGCCAGTAACATAACCAGTAGTGCATTTTCTGGACAGCATGGCAACGGGGCTATGAATAACTCAATAGCAAATGCTCCTATGTTAGATGCGCTCTTTCAAGAATTACATGGCAAATATGAGGCTATTATGATAGAGAAGGACAAAAGGATAGGTTCTCTTGAGGCAGAATTAGAATCACAGAGACAGGAAACAATGTGGTTGCGAAAAATGCTCATAGAGGACATGGGTTACATTAGGAACTTCCTACAAAACACACAAACCTGAAAACGGTAGTGACTTAACATACAAGTCACATATATATATATATATATATATATCACTACATAGATGATGTAACAATACAATGAACATATTCCATATTTAACAAAGCAACTACTTTCAAACTGATTAAACCAAACGATATTTGGTATACTACTGAAGAATTCTTCAATGCACCTCGTGCACAACGATAATGGACGCGTCCAAAAATCGCGTAGAGCTCGAAGAATTCTTGGATAATCGTAGTTGACAAACCGACTGGTTTCACTGGTACGACAGAGAGAGATAACTGTCAACTAACAAAGGTGACAGTTCGGTTGATAAAGACATGCAATTTATGTTGATTTTTAGATGTTAGACTGAACAGTTTACAATAAATAGAAAGAGATAGTAGTGTTCTTGAGAACTTTGCATCGTTGACCAAATAAAAAGCTCAACCTGTGTTTTTGAAAAAATGTCAGACTGGCAAGTAAATCCGGATCATCGTAGACGTCTTCTACAACTACAAAAGATTGGTTACAATAAAAGATGTGTTGATTGTAATGCTCCTAACCCACAGTGGGCATCTCCTAAATTTGGTATCTTTATTTGTTTGGAATGTGCAGGTATCCATAGAGGTTTAGGGGTCCATATATCTTTCGTTAGATCAATTACTATGGATCAGTTTAAAACTGACGAACTAGCTAGAATGGAGAAAGGTGGTAATCAACCATTTGTTGATTATATGACCGCTCATGGTATCAGTATGGACCTGCCTCACAAAGTGAAGTACGATAATCCAATCGCAGAAGATTATAAGGATAAATTGACTTGTGAAGTTGATGGTAAGGAATTTGTTGAACCAGAACATCCAGATTTTGATCCTTCTAAACTATCCGCTAATAATAATAAACCATCTACTACAGAAGAGAAAGCATCTAATCAGGATCAAAGCCGATCCGAGACTCCTCTCGAAAACCGTCGTTCTATGACTCCAAACACAATACAAAACCAAAAGGAAAAGAACGAACAATATTTTTCAGACTTAGGTAGAAAGAACCAAGACAAGCCAGAACATTTACCTCCATCACAAGGTGGTAAGTATCAAGGTTTTGGTAGTACTCCAGCAAACCCAACCAATAACAACAATCAGTCTGCTGATCTTAATAACAACACTGTTAACCTGGAGAATTTGCAAAATGACCCAATGGGAACTTTGTCTAAAGGTTGGGGTTTATTTTCGGCTGCAGTTTCAAAATCTATAAATGATATGAACGAGTCGGTTATTAAGCCAGGTATGGAACAATGGCAAAGTGGTGAATTATCAGAAGAGACAAAGAGAGCTGCTACCCAATTTGGCCAAAAGTTTCACGAGACTAGCAACCAAGGTTTAGAAGCGTTTTCTTCTTTTACTAAAAATTTGCAAGACCAGTACCATTCAAACATGAATTACTATATGGGTGATGAAAATCAAACAAATGGAGGTCTTGGTGGCGCAAATAATGGTGGCTCTGGTTATATGAAACTGAATTCAAATGATAGTACATCAGCTCAACAGAAGAAGGCAGATAACAATGATGAATGGGATGAATTTTAAGATGACAATATTTCATTCGTATGTCTCCTTGTTAACACATGTAATTTAACGTTGAAATGGTTCATAAGAACTGATGTTTTTTTTTCTATAATTCTGAATATATAATTATAAAACACAATTGTTAAAAAGAATATTTGTATTTTAAAAAAAATGTTCTCTTCTGTTAGCACCTTGTTGTTTTCAGATCTAACCAATGTGTAGATAGACTAATGTTGTCATTAGAATTATTTGCATATATCCATATAATATTACCGAACATACACATTGTGTAATTACAAGATTGAGAACCTTTGTTAACCTAGTTAGCCTTCAATATTATTTGAGAAGAAAAAATGTTGGGGACCCCTTCCTGGTTCAAAGTGTACTATATCAGGTGCAAAGCAGGTACAAACTTATGTTGGGCACAACGTAATAGAATTTTCGTATAGTTTCTTAACGTATATGATTTATCTTTTGATAATACAAGATATTAAATATATGCCAAGTTACTAGTTGACGTTTCGATTATTAGAGTTACTTCCGGAATAATGATACTGAATACTGACACCTTGACAATTTACGGTCATTTAGGTCATTTTTTCTTTCTCTGTTTATACGAATAGTCATATTCCAAGCATTTACTTCTTTGTACTAAACATTAAAAATTAAAATATTGTAGAAATTTTCATTTTATTTGCGCCATAGACGAAATAAGAATTTGAAGGGTGTCTTCATACAGTATCACAAAACAGACAAAGGAAACATAACATCGTTTCTAGATGCCTCAAATCTTCAAATATATACCTTTTATTAATACTATTTTGTTAATTATTTTTTTGTATATAATGTACTTGATAAAGGCAGAAAAAACTTCTTTATTGAGGTTCGTTTCAGACTCAATGCGTTACAATTCACGCATTTATCGTTGAACTTTTTAAGACAATGCGACTAACAACCTACATCTGACCATGCATTTTACATTTTGACTTACATATTATTTTTAATAAGCATATACATATATATAGTCAAGCCAAGCTGGAAAGATGAGCTCTATTTAAAATTTCCTTTTCTTGTCTTTTTAATTATTGGATTACTTTTATTAGACAAATAATAAATTAATTTTGCCTTGCCCAAATATAACTATGATTTGGACACTTAATATTGGCTATTTTATGATAATAGTTACCAAGAATGACCGTAAAATATATCGAAATACGGTACGAAGGTCCTCAAACCATTGCCTATTTTACAAGCGCCAATTAATGGAATAATGGACTGGCAAAAAGGAAAGAATAATTAAAAAAGAAGAAACTCTTTAGAATAATATAGATAAGAACGCGAAATGTTTCTTATCTTATTTACAACCACTAGAAATAAAATATAAGAAGTACCTAATTCCTAATTGAGACATATTAAATTCTTCTCAGAATTGAAAAAAAATTATTAAGATGACGAGGTTCATCTATCCAAACTCAAAAAATCAAATATAGGTCACAAAACATTTTTTATCTGTCTATTATTTTTATGTTATTCTCTCTTCGTATTTTGAAAGGGTATAGGATATAACGAATCAGAAGTCTTGTAAATATATTAAAACAAGAAAATAAAGTTCTATGTGAGGTTACGTTAGTAACAGTTTTTTAAATATTCTGCCTGAGTTTTTAACACAAAGTAAATGTAGATTGTAGACCCACGTAATTATGATTTCTCAAGATTCGAACTCAATGATTATATTTCAGGTAATATATTCCGTGGAGACCTTTTCAACAATTGATGGATATACAACAATACTTCCACGAAGAATACAACAAAGTTTTAAAAAATTTCTTGAAATAATAAAACACACAAACTTTCACACATTTTTAATTGATAATTATATTTCACTGCTAATGTTGGAGCCATTATGCGTTAACAATTGGTCTGTTAGAATCCTTGTAAAGACAGATGACATACAATGTAAATATATTTTGGAACCAGCAAAATATTTAATGAGTAGTTTTCCCAAAGATGTATTCACAAATAGATATTGTAACCTCAAAACATGCCGCTGCTTCGTATACATCAGTACCTAGAAACTGTCGCGTTAAAAACGGCTTTATAGAAGAGTAGGAAGCCGTAACGGAAATCGCGTTAAAAAATACATTAACATTCAGATGACATGGCAGCGGTTGATGGTGCAAGCAAATCTACTGTGACGAACATCAAGTAGGAAAAGGCCCCATCCTGTCACCCACTAAATTCCAGGAGTGAACTCACAATTGAGACAAAGTTTATTGAATGAATTTTCACATAATTATATTAGGAGTTTTTGGATATCCCAAATTAACCTGTTAGCAAAACCTAATCCAATAAAAAAAAAGTGCCATCCAGTTAAAAAAATGTTAAACCTTAACGGCAGAATTTATTAATGCACAATACTGTGATATTATTTGGGTATTTATTCAATTGAAATTTTGCATCTCAAAGTGCCGGACGACTCATTAATGCCTGTTACAATTAATCAAACAAGGGAATGTTGTGAACATTTAGATGGTCATCGCACATATTTTTTTTTTTTTTTTTTTGAAAAAGGAATAATTGTCACCCTTTATTGATATACGTCTCTTATACTGTCCATAACAAACAAGCTATATCTTTATTGCACAAAACAATATATCTCAAAATTTAACTGCTTTATTGCCTGTTGTACTGGTTACACGAAACGCTAAATATTTCCGTTTCAGATCAACAAGCTAAATAAATGGAGATTCTGGATCAAATTTCTGAACTACTATTTAGTAAAAACAAATTGTTTGTCGTTTTGGTGTTTTTGAAAGTTATTAATTTAGAATAAGATTTGGCGTTTTTTCATTACATTGTATGATAGTTCCAGTTTTCTAAAGAAATACCAGTATTGATTTAATAATGACACGAAATTCAAGATTCTTCTTTATTATCACTGATCAGAATAAGATCAGAATAAAAAGTTCATATATAATGAGATCAATTTTGATGCTTGAATTTCTGACTTAACTTGCAACTGTAATTGATGGAAATCAAGCAATATTAGGAAATATATTTCTTTTGGAAAATTCCAATATTAACAGCGATATTAGTAACCAACATATATTATGTTTGAAGAAGGGACGCAAATCACAATGGCAGACGGGAGTATCGAAGACATCCATAACATAATGGAAGGTTCCATGGTGATGTGTGACGATGGTGCCGCTACACGAGTTACTTCTATTTTTAGAGATATTCAAACAACTTATGTTCTAAGTCAACGGACAAAACATAGAAAAATCGAAACTAATGCCACATCACTTAGACCATCATGTACGAAAGTTGACGGGATTCTTGAAGTGAGATGCTCACTAGGACATACTATTAATCTTACGCTCTTCACTAAACCAACATTCGAAAAATCTTTTAAATTTAATCAAGTATTGGTACGATGGGTAAAACTGGTGGACATTGTGACATCTGACAACAGAATTATTAATATTCCTAAATATCATAATAAAAAATTTCCTCTAGATGATGTTGGTATATTAGAGGCACACACTTATTTAGAAAATATTCTAGTTCAGAATAACAAGCCACTAAGTTTTGACATAGAAGTTCGAGATCTGGATTATTTGGATGCTCAGACACGTTCGAGATCAAAATTATGTTTTAAGCCCGTACTTTCAGGTAATGGAAGATTATCCGAATTCTTAACAGGTCAACGTCATTTAAACACACTGAGTGTCCAAAATATGGCTTGGTTATTAGGCCTTTGGATAGGTGATGGTACTACAGTTAGACCTGAGATATCAGTGGACAGTTTGGATGTTAGTCTGATGGATGCTCTTATCGAACTATGTGAGCCGTGGGGTATATATCCTGGTTATACAGATTCTGTTATTCCGTTAAGGGCCAAACATGTTAAATTATACTATGGAAAGAAACCGGCAAATAGAAAATATTATCAAAACTGTAAGACTAATAATCCATTTTGGAAAGCGGTAACAAATCTTGATTTCAAAAATAGGGAAGATGGTTCAAAAGAGATACCTCAATTCTTATGTGGTGATGATATCGAAATTAGGGAAGCTTTCTTAGCTGGGTTGATTGACGCAGATGGCTATGTAGCCAAAGAATTATCTCAATCTGGAAAATACCAAGTCAATATTCAAACCATATATCCATCGGTAATGAAAGGTATTGTTAACATAGCCAGATCTCTCGGCATTAATGCAACTGTAACAACAAAACCTGAACGAATTGCAATCATTAAAGGAAAAGAAGTTCATTGCAAACTCACTTATGACTGTGGAATAACTGGTAACACGGCCCTCCAAAATATATTATCCTATTGCCGTAGTGGTCATAAAATTAGACCTAAACCGGCACTCGTCGATAGAGGACCAACACATTTTACATTTAATGATAATAAACGTGGACTAAATCATGTTTATTCTTTAAAGTTGGAAAATTCAAAGAAAATTTTACTAGGTAATAAGATGTCTCTAAATACCTGTAAATCCAATTGTATGAGCGAACAAAAAAAGCTATCAAAAACAAAAAATCTGAAACAATGTTTGGCATGCCAATATGTTGGAATAGGAAGGTTCTATCGTGATTGGACAGGGAAAAATAAACTTTGTTCGAGATGTTATTCTAGGTATAAATTCAGCGGTTACAGGTGTGAATCTTGCAATTTTGTGCCCGACTCCAGAGAGATTAAACGAAAGTCCACCCAGGTGGATAAAACTTTAATTGGGTTGTCTGTCAACGAAAAGTTAGGATGTAGTCATTGCACGGGAATTCTGATGTATGATACAATAAGAGGTCCAAATAGACAGATGCAAATGATCCATGCTATGTAGTTTCACTATTCTCCAAGATCCTTAAAGAAAATTATGGGTCTACTGTCACTCTCAAAAAAGGAAAGTATTATGCGGATCGTCACAGTTAGTGAAAATTGACAAAACTGCAAACAAAACTTTTATAAAATCAGGTTATGTTTTAAAAAGAATAGTTTTTGATATTATATTGTAAATAAGGAATAATAACTTCGTATATTGCTATTTTAAAGTACATCAAACTTGCCTTTGTTGGTTTAGTATGTAGTAACTTAGGTGTGTCTGAGAGTTGAACCGCAACACATGACGTAGCACCTCCTATAGATTTTCTTGCAATGATACTCCGATATTAGTCGCTTAGTCACATGAAATATTACTCACTAGTCTGTCGTCATATTAACAAAGTCAAACGAACGACTGATCCTTTAAATAGTTATTTAACTGTAGCCCCCCAAAAGGGGAACATAATTTCTATATATAGAAAAATATTAGATATACGTGAAAACATTTATTGGTTTATTCTAAGGTACATATTAAAAATAAATATTATGATGGGAAAACAAGAAACAAAAAAACAGTTATAATTTATTTAACAATCAAAATGCTTTATCTTTAACGAGAAGACATAGCCTTGGTGACAACTCTCTTTAGACCGACTTCGGCCTTTCTTAGGTCATCAGTGGAAGCATCTTCAACAGATAGAGCAGCCATAGCTTCAGTTAGAGCAGCTTCGATCTTAGTCTTGGCGTTTCTCTTTAACTTGGAAGATAGGACTGGGTCAGTGACGTTTTGTTCAATGGAAGCAACGTAAGATTCTAGTCTTTGTCTAGCTTCGTGCTTCTTGGCGAAAGCTTCATCAGCAGCCTTGAATTCTTCAGCTTGGTTGACCATCTTTTCGATATCTTCGGAAGATAATCTACCAACAGCGTTGGAGATTGTGATATTGGCGGTCTTACCAGTGGACTTTTCAACAGCGGTAACCTTTAGAATACCATTAGCATCAACTTCGAAGATAGCTTCTAGAACTGGTTCACCAGCTGGCATCATTGGAATACCCTTCAAGTCGAATTCACCAAGTAGAGTGTTTTCTTTACAGTTAACACGTTCACCTTGGTAGACTGGGAATTGAACGGTGGTTTGATTGTCACCAACAGTGGTGAAAGTTCTTCTCTTAATAGTTGGAACAGTAGTGTTTCTTGGAACAACAACACCGAAAATGTCACCTTGCATACCAACACCTAGAGATAATGGAGCAACATCCAACAATAATAGATCCTTGGTTTCATCGGAAGTAGATTGACCGGTTAAGATAGCACCTTGAACAGCAGCACCGTAAGCAACAGCTTCATCTGGGTTAATAGATTTTTCTAATTGCTTACCGTCGAAGTAGTCAGACAATAGCTTTTGGACCTTTGGAATTCTGGTAGAACCACCAACTAGGACAACTTCGTCAATTTGAGACTTAGCAATCTTAGCATCCTTTAGAACTTGTTCAACTGGTTCTAGAGTAGACTTGAATAGAGCAGCGTTTAGATCTTCGAATCTGGCTCTGGTTAGAGAAGCTTCGAAATCTTCACCATCAAATAGAGAGTCAACTTCAACAGTAGTTTGAGTGACAGAAGATAGAGTTCTCTTAGCTCTTTCAGCAGCAGTTCTTAATCTTCTTAGAGCTCTAGCATCGTTAGAGATATCTAGACCAGTCTTCTTCTTGAATTCACCCTTGAAATGTTCTAGCAAGTTGGTATCGAAATCTTGACCACCAAGATGGGTGTTACCGGAAGTGGACTTAACAGTGTAAACACCACCAGCAATGTGTAGAAGGGAGACATCGAAAGTACCACCACCTAAATCGAAAATTAGGACATGTCTTTCCTTGTCAGACTTACCAGCACCTAGACCGTAAGCAATGGCAGCAGCGGTAGGTTCGTTGATAATTCTTAGAACGTTTAGACCAGAAATGGAACCAGCGTCCTTAGTAGCTTGTCTTTGAGCATCGTTGAAATAAGCTGGGACAGTGATAACAGCCTTTTCGACCTTCTTACCAATCTTAGCTTCAGCAATTTCCTTCATCTTGATCAAGACCATAGAAGAGATTTCTTGTGGAGAGAAAGTCTTGGTTTCACCTAAGTATTCAACTTCGATCATTGGGTTACCGGAAACATCGATAACCTTGAATGGCCAAGTCTTCATATCGTTTTGAACAGATTCTTCATCGAATCTTCTACCGATCAAACGCTTAGCGTCGAAAACAGTGTTCTTTGGGTTTAGAGCAGCTTGGTTCTTAGCAGCATCACCAATTAGTCTTTCTTCTGGAGTGAAAGCAACGAAGGATGGGGTAACTCTGTTACCTTGTTCGTTAGCAATAATTTCAACAGAGGATTCGTAAGTAGCAACACAAGAATAGGTTGTACCTAAATCGATACCGATAGCACCTTGGAAAACACCGTCAGCCATTGTGAATAGTCTTGATTGGAGAGTTAAGAATTAAAATTTAAAAAAAAAAATAAAACTTGTAAAACAATCAAATTAAAAACAACTTAAAATATAGTTGGAAGTAAGTGAACCTTTCCCATTGAATTAAGGCCTAGTTATATATATATAGTTGCCCATCTGCCCTCGTCAATGTAAACTGAAAATTTTTTTTTTCCTTTCTTGCATCATCCATTGAAAAGTCAAAAAGAAAGCAAATTTTTTTCAACTGTTTGTTGTGCGATATTTTCTGTGATAGTTCATTACGTAAAAAGAAGAAACGAGAGAAATTTCAAAAATTTTCAAAAGTGTGTGTTTATATATGTCGTGGAAAATGATATAGAGCAGCAGCATTGTCGTTTAATACGTTAGGGGCAGTATTCGCATTGAACTCATTCATTCCTGTTAACCTCATCAAACTGCAGGAACTACAAGAGGTGAATGTTGGAAATTGGCTCTTACAAGGTTGGTCATAACGAGTTCTCTTAAACACAAATTTATTTAATTTTCAGTTAATGCCTTCAAATACTGCCTGAAACTTGCTGGAATAACTCTCAATTGGGCTACTCCCACAGTTAACGTTTTAACAGATATCACGATTTCTGAGTGTTGGTTTGATAAAATGTATTTAAAAAACACGGCAACCTTGAAATACTCAACAGACGTAACTTAGTTTTGCATAATTTAATTTGTTCTGTGTATCTTTTGCTTTATGTATGTAAAAGCAAAATTTATAAGAAATTTTCTCTCAAAAATAAAAAAATAACCATAATAAATAGCCGCCCAGTGAATAAGACACATTATATTGTTGAAAGGCAAAGGAAAGACCAATAATAAAACATTGCTCCCATCAACTAGCGCATAAGATAATTGATCCTTTGGCTTAACATCTTGATTCGGAAATTAAAAGATACTCATTGCACTTTATGCTGGTAGAGAATAAAATTATATATTTGTCGGCTTATATATATATTGTATTTTATCATAGCTATTCTAACGTATTATCACAATCAAGGGAATACAATAACTTTGCAGCATGATATATAAACACATACTGATCCTTAAGCTGCACCATTTTCATACGCTGTGAACGTAGCTGAGATACAATTTGTTCTATCAAATCCTTCTTATAATTGGTAACTGGTTTCAACATGCGTAATTTACCTTTATTATCATTGTTATCTTGGACCATAAAATCCTTCGTGTCATGCAATAAATGATCTAGTGCAATAAATGTACCGGATCTCCCTACTCCTGCTGAACAATGAACTATGATAGGGCTACCTGTAACGTTTAATTTATGGGAATGTCTGCTCAACTCCATGATGGGTATTATTTCTTCTGGTCTACTCATATCCTTCCATTGATCAAAATAAAAATGGTGTACCTTCTTTTTGGGACCCAGATTTCCATCAGTAGGTGCTAGATTCATGGTTGTTAAAGTATAATTGTCATCAAAACGACTACTATTGACGTAGTCCACCTTCATCTCTGTTTTAAACACACTCGTATCATCAGGTCCACCAGGTGATTGCACTCTAGGTATAATTTTAAACATATCATCTTTATTCATACCTTGAGGCCAATATGGGAAACATTTTTCTCTACCACGTTCAACAAGGGGGGTTACCATCACAATGACGATATCATTACTTTGACACTCATGGTAACACATTTGCCAAAATTGTTGCCATGTGTATTTCGTTGGACCCTGAGTTGCAATATAATGCCCTGCAGCTGTACTCTGACCATCGACGTCGACCTTAACGTACGACCCGTTGATATAATCATTCCCCTTTGCCACAGGAAGTTTTACACGATTTCTCTCATATGGCATAATGTTAACATATCTATTCCTATAATCATTTTGTTCTTCTATACTCACACCTAGCGACCACTTAGAATTTTTAGTACCATTGGTGGCTTCCCTTAAATGGCTATCCTCCGTGTGTTGTATATAATTAAATTTATGAACTAGTTCCTCTTCAGGTTGTGTGAGATACCAAGGTGTTCTCGTGTCTCTCTCTGACATTTGTGATGTACACTATAAAAAATGAAGGGGTATGTCAAACGATGACTATCGAGCAAACGTGGTGATAAGTATTAAAATTGTATCATAAACGGCTTCAACCTTGTGTAAGTGGTAGTAGAAATGAGTTTATTTTTAAGAAACTAAGATCAATGATCTTTACTCGAACCACTACCTGTTTGCTTTGCATCACATTGGTCAAGATTATCGCAGAGGAAGAACAAAAGAACCGGTAGCGTGAAAAATAAAAGGTGATTGTCTCTAGGCCCTGAATTTCAGTCGCAGAAGAAACTAGTCAGGAAAAACAAAGAGTAAAACTGAAAAATCATTTCCGACCGCCGAGCTCCGATCCTTATCAGGCAAACCAACTGTGACTACTACTGATAAACATCAATAAGGAAGGTTCAAACTCAAGAATGGAGGTAACCAGAGCTTACAGGTAGCCACTGAATGCATATCTGATAAGCTTTTATTTTTTTTTTTCTCTTAGAATATTTGCCTATCAGTCGGTTTAAAATCCTATATATATCCTTGGTTCAGAGCTACATCAATAAAGAGTGGTATTGATCACATAACTTAGGTTGTTGAAAGAGTTGAATAATTTCCCCTCCAATAGATATAGATAGTAAGGAAATCACTATGCAGGAAGATAATGGGCGTTTCCAAATGTATCCAAGAAACCGTAACGGCTCATATAGAAACCTATCATATTCGGCTATTCATGATCAAAATCGCATGCATGGCTCCCCTCGAAAGCATCGATCAAACATAAATTCTCCACAAATGTCAGAGGTATCATTATCACAGCTTAAACTAGACGATATGACTACAGAAAAAGACTGGAACAAACTTGATGATTTCCATCTAGAGGAACTAAGGGATGGTTTTTTTGATGCCACATATACAAGGCCAAAAAGAGTAATATCACCTGAAGATAGTGTGGGTTCAGCCAAATCGAATCAAAATTTGAAACCAAGCAAAATAATAAACAATACTCCCGCAATAGTGAAAGACATATATAGTAAGAGTATACAAGACTGGAAACAACTGTTGAAGTTTTTCTTAGCATACCTTATTGCTATGATTATATGTGTGATACATCCTGCAGGAAAATGGATAGGCCACAAATATAGGTATTTTATGCCTATATCTGTAATATTACACCATCCCGCAAGAAATGTTGGGGTACAATTGGAGATGACTATAGAATCATGTGTTGGTTTAGTGTTTGGATTAGGATGGTCATCTCTGGCCTGGTATGTTTCTACAGCTACTGGCCCAACTGCATCGCACCAAGGTGGTATTTTATTCCAAAGTTTAGTTATGGCACTCTGGTCTGCTATATGGGTGAAAGCCTACTATAACCGATTATTCTACCTTTGTCAATCATTCGGTATTACAATTTTATTTACCCACACAGTTGACTTAGTATTTGATGCTTCAGAGTTGAAATGGATATTATTCAGAGATTTCGCATTATCTTATGTTTTTGGTATTCTACTTTCCCTCATAATAAGCGCGTTTATTTTTCCAACTAATGGTAATGCAAAGATGATACAAACTTTAGATGACACTGTAAATAGTATTAAAGGTTTTTTAATGACACTGGTGGATAAAGGCAAATATAATGATATTGAATATATTTCAAGTGCTCAAAAAAATATGACTAACCATTTAAATGTGAAATTGTCCCTAGTTTATAGAGATTTTTTAAATCAATTTACAATATTCAATTTTAAAGCATCAAGTCTAAAAAGACTCAGAGACTCGTTAACAGTCATTTCCAGCCCACTTAGGGTAATTCCTATTCATCAGAGGTTGTTTGACAATCAATTGCTCGAACGGTTGTATCAAGAAGTCGATGATCATAAACATGACTTGGAAGAATCCGGAGAAAAATATGACACTGACGCAATACCTTCAGGCTACATTACCGGGACCTTCACCCCGGTGTCAGGGGTTCCCAATTTACCCCACCATTTGCTATCAAACAGTACAAATGACTTTTATATTAACATTCTTAAGAAAAAATTTGCACGAAATACCTTGCATTTAATTTTAGAGATGATTATCGTAATAGATAAAATATCTCAGCTTCTTCAACTGTATAAAAAACGAAGACATAGTAAGAATGAAATAGAAGAAGCTAAAGGAAATTTACATCATTATAGAATGAAATTACAAAAAATGATATTTAATGTGGACACTAGCTATAATAACTTTATAGAATCAAATTTATTTTCAGAGGATATTATCAAAGATTTTGAATGTGTGGATATCTTCTTGTTTATAAGGTATTCTCGAAGCTCCGCAAAGCACTTATTGAAAGTACTCGACGAAGCTATAAATTTAGATACGGATTCAAAAATGAGGATTTCGACCCCAAAACTTTCTGCATTTAGAACGTTGCATCGTTTACCGGACCAATGTTTAATGGATCAAGGTCTTGGGAGGTCATTATTGTATTTTGAAACCAAAAAAGATGTTGATGAGATATTTGAGAGATCTTATAACTCATACACCTCCCGTCATGTTTATAACAGGAAAAATGATACACTTCCATCAACTAGGGCTATTGACCATACCGATTTCAACTTTCATACGACACAAAATTCCACTAGATTTAAATTATGGGAATTTACTAAACTCTTATCGGGACGTGAAATGAAGTGGACACTAAAATGTTTAATTTGTATAATATTCCTTTGCTTACCAACTTGGTTACCAGAATCCTATAGATGGTATGAAGAGTTCCAATGCTGGTGGGCTCCGCTGATGTTTTTCATATTAAACCACAATAAACCAGCTGGTAAGATGATATATTTGGCTAATAGATTAATATGTGGTATCATCGGTATGTTTTGGGGATGGGCAGCTTGTCAGGCCCACCATTTTGGTAGCCCTTATGTTATATGTGTCTTTGCTGGCTTGATTTGTATCCCGTCAGCAATTAACCAACTCATATACAAAAACTCGAAATCGAGTAACACTGCAATGATATGCTTTACTGTAATTGCGCTTGAAGCGTTTTCGAAGAATCCTTACACATTGAAAACCTCAGTAATTTGGAAAAATTGTTGGACTACATCATTAAGTCTGATAGTGGGAATAGTTGTTTCAATTGTTATTAATTGGATATTTTGGTCGTATAGATCAAGAACCGAATTAAGACTCGCTGTTTCCTATTTATTATCTCACTTGAGTCAATCGTACCAATCAGTCGCAGAGCGTTATCTTTATAGAGATTTGAATGATGATCCAACCGAGCTAAGTTTAATGTTCTCTCATATTAGAGAGGTACGTCTTACACGAAGTATTGAAGCTATACGACAACTATTGGGTAGGACGAAGAGAGAGCCAATATTTGTTTCCAACTTTAATGCAGATAAATATGAAAGACTTATCAATGCATGCCAGAATGTCTTTGAAAGAATGATCGAAGCTAGAGTTTCAGGTACCTATTTTGAAATTTGGAACCAAGATAGTAATTCAGATGCCACGAGGGCCCTACTATCTTTAAGGAGAGATAGTACATCCTCTGTTATCTATACATTCTACCTCCTATCTAATTGCTTTAGATCAAGAAATAGAATCCCAAGGTATTTACCAAGCTCTGTTACTTCTAGACGACGTTTATTTGACTTTATGTCAAAATTTAACGAAAATATACCTCTTTCAGCCTCTCTAAAAGAAGAACAACAAGATAACTTAGAAAAACAATTGTTCAAGAAGCTAGGAAAACTTCAAAACAAAGATCATAATATCCAACACAGTAGCAGTGAAGCGTCGTCGAGGGATGAAGTTAATGAAGATAACGAAGAGGCTAGATGGAAAGATATATATGGAGTAGCTTTTGCAAGAAGTTTCACTGCCGTATGTGAATCTATGGATGTGTTAATTGAATGCTGCAAAGATATATTAGGGGAGGAATACTACTAATGATTCAATACACATTTTTAACAGTGTATTGTTATATAATTATAAAAACAAATATAATATGATATATTCGAACTATTTTTTCTTCTTCTCAATAGTTCATTTCATTAAACGAATGTAACGGCATGTTTTATTCCTTTAATGAATAGTCATATGATGAAGGAACAGAACTAGGTGTTCCACGTGAACGTGGCGATATACAACTGGTTCTCCTTTTCTTTAACGGCTGTATTTTTTCTGAAGATGGCGCAGATGAAGAAGATGGCTTAATGTTTTCTTGAGAAAATGGTGACATGGAATCAATCGGGGTCATAGACAACTTCGAATTTCCATTATTTATCAAATGTGGTTGATTAAATGTAGTGGCTTCTCTTTCTTGTGAACTAGCTGTATTTCTAAGGTTAGGTTGCTGCTGCTGCTGCTGCTGCTGTTGCCTTTGTTGTTGTTGTTGTTGTTGTTGTTGTTGAAAGTGACGATTTTGGAGAACAGTTGGCCCTTTGATATCTTGTTTATACCTTTCAACGTATTGTTGCATAGCAGCCAATGGACTATCTATCTTATGTAATCTTTGATACATCCATAAGTTCTTAAGAGAAGACATGACGGTACTGACCTGCATAACCCTCATTAATCCTTCTTGCGAACCAAATACAGAAACATTTCTAAAGACACTAAAATGAGACCGCAATTGGGTAATTGCTTCAAAATTTGGTGGGAGTGACCCTGTTGGATTACTGTTTCCGCTTGCATCGTCCTGTGCCTGGCCACTTTTGTAATCTTTACTGTTTATATTCTTATCTGAATTTTCATCATCGATTTCACTTTTAACTAAATCTTCTTCTTTTTTAATATTAGTGCTGTCTAAATCTCCACCACTTAATTTTTTGAAAATATCAAAAGTACCAAAATTGTTACTTACAAGCCTTTCCAACGAATTCCATTCAATACCTGGAACAAAACTGTGCATATGTAAATCCCCCCATTTTATCTTTAACGCCGAATTGAATAAACCTTTCAACTGAACAAAATGTGTTATGTAAGATCCATCTGGATAATGGTATGTAAAAGTGCACCTAGGACAATCAAAGAAAATTGTGCCATCACTTATAAGTTCTGTCTTTAATTGTTGTGCTAATACCTCGATTCTAACGACTCCCAGTCTACCTAATGTAACAAAAAGAATGGGTACTAATGGAACCAAGAAATCGAACTGTCTTACTTCTGTTGTAGAGGTCTTACTATATCTTATTATAGCATCAGGTGTAAATACTTCTTTCATACATTTTTGCCAATAACTAGGTTGAGTTATTCTCCCTACAGATAGGTTTATCATGTCTATCATATCATGAAATTTGATTGCAGCCATATTGGCTAAATATTTTCTAATTGCAAATGGGAATGTTGTCACAGATGACTCACCAGAGTTTCTAAAAGGTGAAGTTATATTCATAGAGTTTGATGGAGTACCAACCATATTATTATTGTTATTATTATTAGCAGCAGTAGCAGAAGTGTTTCCACTATAAGGATTCTGAGGACCAACGTTTATTGGTGTCGGTATCTTAGCTCTATGTCCTGAAAAACCAGATTGGGTTTGGAAATTGTTTACTGAAGTCTCGGGGATAACTTTGTTTTTACTGTATTGTCTTTTTAACTTATTTGTAGCTTGAGAAGTTTTCATTGGATTTTGTGCTTGTTGTGGATACGGTTGTTGTTGGCGTAATGCCTCAGCTGGTATGTGAGGTGTGCTTGTACCGTTCCTTGACATCTCCATAACAGTATGTTGTCCTTTCTTGTTATTCATATTATATTTGGCTGGTTGTGCAGAAGATAGCCCCATATTCATTTGTTGCTGTTGTTTCATTGGGTTACCAGTATATTGAAATGTTTGTTGTTGAGGTATAACATTTTGACTCATGTTTAAATGATCTACACTAATGGAATCATTGATAGATAAAGACCTTTGACTATTCATATTCATACTCGTGTTACTATTGTTGCTATTCATATTACCAGATACTGTACGATCATTTGGCGGATGAGAATTATAATTACCTAAATTTTTATTATTATTATTCATTTGCCATTGAACGAGAGCATCTTGATCATGTGCCATATTGTCCTGAACATCAACGAAATTAAATGGTTGTTGCTGTTGTATTTCATTATTCAAAGCAGAATCTTGTTGTTGATTCATCCTACCTTGAGGTGTTCCTTCTAAGCGTGATTCAGGCTGATTAGTTGCCAATTGCTGGTACATTATTCCTCCTACGAAACCACGCAAATATATGTATTAAGTGAACCTTCAATTTTTAGCTCCTTTAATGTGACTGTATGGAATCAACACCGATATCTCAGACTGCCTTTATCAATGATATTACACAAGACAAAACCAAAATAATTACTTCCTTTCTCCCCCAGCATCAGGTTGTTTAGGTAATCTAGTCCCCGATTTCTCTATTGTTAGTTTACATAACATTGTTCAGAATCATAATTACTGGTTGATCTTCGGAACTTTTCCAGAAATTTTCTTTCCTGAATAATGCACCGCGACATCGGTACACAGCCAAACAACTTTGTCATCGATATTTGATTAGTTGTTTACCTATTCGTTCGAGGTTTATGTATTTATATTGGTATATATATATATATGTTTTTTGTTGTATTAATACAGTGTATGTTACAAAGTGCAGTAGAGGTCTGCGTCAGTTGTGCGTAGTGTCCGTATCATACCTTGCGAGTTGTAGGGTCTTCTTGGCTTTACAAAGTCTGATATTTCATCATCGTCATCGTCGATATCATTAGTCTTGATGCCGCTAGTGGCAGATGCAGGTCCTGAATTACCTTTGTTGTTACGTTCTTTATATTTACCTGCACGTCTCTTCAATAACTTGTTGATCGTGTCTCTCTTCTCTTCTTCCAGTCGTTTCTCCTTTAAGTTCTTTCTTTTACGAGAGTTTTCTTCTCTTCGTAGTTGTATTTCTTCAGCAGTAAGCTCTTTTTTGTGTTGTACACCATCTGCCAATATACTCATCAGCATCTTACTTCTTACTACAGGTTTAGGTTCTTCTTTGGATTCTTCAGTATCATCAATTTCTGAGGCGGTCGTGATTTGTCCCTCTTCTTCTTCATCATCATCATCTTCTGGAATTCCAGTTTCCTCCTCTTCTTCCTCCTCAAGTTCAATTTCAGGCTCTTCTTCCTCTTCTTCTAGTTCCTCTTCTTCTAACTCCTCTTCGCCATCATCTACCTGTTCAACCGCATTTATCTCTTCGTCCCCGTCATCCCTTGCATCCTCATCACCATTTGTTTCTTGCTCTTCCTCATCCTCACTCTGTTCCTCATCATCGTACTTAGCATCATCTGCTTCTACGACTTGGCGTACCTGGCCTCTTCTATTGGACCCACGAATGATCTCATCGTCGTCGTCTTCTTCTTCTTCTTCATCATCTTCGTCTTCCTCAACCAACCGCTTGGCAATAGAGGACACTGAGGATTCTGACGCAGATGTGCTTCCACGTAACCGTTTATTGTCACCCGAGAAGGCTCTAGATGTGGCTTTCCTTTTACTACTTCTTTTCTTGTTAGGTTCATCCTCTAAATACTCTTCGTCATCCTCACCGTAGTCTTCTTTCTCCTCGTAGTCTTCTATTTCTTCACCTTCTTCATATTCGTCTTCATAATTACTAGCTGTGTCCTCTTCTAGTTTAGACATAATTTCAAAAGTATATTATTATTAGTTCAACTTTTGCTTTGGTAAGTTAACGTTTCTGTGTTATTCTCTCTGTCAAAATCTATCACAATAGTCTACAATATGTTGAGATGTTAAAGTAAATGAGTAATATTTTCAGGTATTCCTGTTCTGTCCAGTTAGTTTTCTTGTGTTTTTTATGTATGATAGTTGATTACTTAGTGACTTTAAATTTTATTTAAATTCAATCCGGGCGTAATTTAAATTTGGTGATAAGAATTCCTGTCTTCCTCCTTAAAAAGAGATAGAGCTATGCATTATAGGAGAATCCAGCAAATATTATCATAAGAATAATACCAAACAACATAGTTCATTTAAATTTCAACTCTAATAATATATTTGGGTTACACACTATGTTTTCAAAGATTATTTTTTGTAAATCAAAAGTTTTTATCCATCCATCTTCGGTAGTGACAGAAAATATTTCTGGTTTTATAATAATAACAGTAGATCCAAATCAATCACATCAAGATGCATTATTATATTGGTTTCCAGAAAATTCATTAAATTCAAAACAATTAGATTGGTTGAATGATGCGGATTTGAAATATGGTAAACCATCGGTTTCATCGACTGCTTCTAGCCTCACCTCTAATGCGCAACCCATGGATGATTCCATCCTTATGGACACCAAAGGAACATACTTGTCCTTTACAATAAAATTATCATCATTATACTCTATTGAGTTTAGGCCACCAAGTTCAAGTGGTTGGTGGTTTGGTTCTATTATTCTTCATCCTAGAAATGATGGATTGGTGACTTTACCCGTACTATTTTTCCATGATGATGTATGCCCATCTACAAAACAGAAACAGAAAGCTTTACAAAAGAATTTTGATCCATTTAATGCAGGTGATTTATATTGGGGTGGAATTGATTTACAACTCGTCATGTCTCAGATGGTTGATTTACAAAGAACTAAGGTCGACCCTAATTTTTGGCTAATTAATGCAAGTCTTGAAGCTTTAAGAAATTTCTCAAGTAAGGATTTAAAAGATGTCAGAACTAATAATTCTGAAGGTTACAGTGCTAGTGGTAAACCTAAGGATAAAAAGTCCTCCAAGGGATTTTGGGATAAATGGGAATCAACCAAATGGTCAATTATGTCAGGAATCGCTACAGCTACAGCTAAGAGTGAAGAATATATGACAAAATTAGTGAATAATCATCCAGCCGTCAAATATATTGAACAGAATAATGATAATCCATATGTTAGAAACCTTTTGAAGAATCCTAAAGTTCAAGAAATTCAAAACGATTTTGATTCCGCAAGAATATATTTAGCCAAATGGTCTCTTGGTGTCAAAGAGGAAGCAAATAAATATAAATTGGACAATCAATTGAATGAGTCGTATAGAAAGATGTTAACTAATGATCTTGGTTTCGATGTGGATACAGATTCTAGCTTTACAGAAGAAGAATTAAATAGAGTTACCCAAAGAAACTTCCCATTAACACAACAGAAATGGGAGTCCTTCTTTGATAGTCAAGGAAGGTTAGCTGTCACTACTGGTGAAGTAAAAGATTTTATTTTCCATGGTGGGGTTGATACCATGGAATTAAGACAAGAGGTATGGTTGTTTTTATTAGAGATATATCCTTGGGACTCTTCAAAGGATGAAAGGGATCAAATAGATGAAACGTTAAAAGAAGTTTACAATACTCATAAATTTCAATGGATGACACAGACATTCGAAGATGACAAAGAAGAAGAGTACTGGAAAGATCAACTGTTCCGTATTGATAAGGACGTAAAAAGAAATGATAGACATGTTGGTATCTTCAAATATAACACAACAGATGGTAAACCAGAGAATACACAACCTTCCAAACCCCGCCAAGCATTCGATCAGTCAGAAGTGCCAGACATAGAACAGACTGAAGATAATGATAATCAAGCAAGAAATAATTTTGATGATAATGACAACGAGGATGTTGAAAGCATAGATGGTCATTGGGCCATCAGAAACCCCCATCTTATTATATTGGGTGATATCCTAAAAACTTACAATATTTTCAACACAAATCTTGGGTATGTCCAAGGTATGACAGATCTATTATCTCCAATCTACTATATTGTTAGAGACGAAGTCAAGGCTTTTTGGTGTTTTGTGCATTTTATGGATAGAATGGAACGTAATTTCTTAAGAGATCAATCTGGTATCCGTGATCAAATGCTTACTATGACAGAATTGTGTCAATTGATGTTACCTCAACTTAGCGATCACTTAAATAAATGTGATTCCTCTAATTTATTTTTTTGCTTCAGAATGTTACTAGTATGGTTCAAGAGAGAATTTAACTTTGAAGATATATGTGGTATATGGGAGATATTTTGGACAGATTACTATAGTTCACAGTTTCAACTGTTTTTCATGCTAGCAATCTTACAGAAAAACAGCGAACCAATAATCAATAATCTAAATCAGTTCGATCAAGTGATCAAGTATTTCAACGATCTTCATAATACTATGGACTGGAGAGATCTGATGATTAGAGCTGAATTATTATTTATTCGTTTTGAGAAACTAATGTCTTTGATGGAACGTAAAGAAGAGCTAGCAAGATCTGAAACAGATCCATCTTCTGGTGTAAATAATAAAGAAGCCTCTTCACCACAGTTACCCATTCATAGTAAGCACCTGCAACTGCTGCTTTCTAAAAAGATAATCGTAAGGAAGGAAGAGACTAGAACATTGGACTCTATTCGTTAGAAGAAAGGAATAGTCTGAAAGAGGATTGTTTTGTTTGGCCCAACAGTGCAAACGAATAAAACATCTACATTCCTTTTAACATCAATTGTTGATCCTTTGTTGCCTATTATCATCTCAAAGTGCTCTTTTGTAATTGTTATCATCTATTGTTTCAGTTGTCTCCCCTGCCTCTTTCCTCTGGCTCGTTCTAAATTTCGAGCGGTGGAACAAAGCGAATACTCTGAAAAATTTTGATTGCGAAAGTTTCTATAATTATATAAACCTAGGGTGATAAATTGCATTAAAGTGGTTAAATAACGGATCCTTTTATAAAATTATCATTCATTTGGGAGTCTATATTCGGTATTTAAACCAGTGAAATATTTTAGTTTTCTTTTTAATCATAGTTTGGGACACTTTTGAGTATTTTTTTTACCATTCCTCTTAGTTTCTCCCTATCATTACTGAGCTAAATATATCACTCTTTCCACTCGCTTACTAAAATTGTATTTACAACACAAAGTTTTGATTTGATATAGTTAAAACCGCAAAAAAAAAAACATAATATATTCAATTTATTCCCATCATGATTGAACCTATGCCTATTGAGATCATCAACTGGGGAATCCTGAATGAGATAATATCTATGGATGAAGATGATCCAGATTTTTCCAAAGGTTTAATTATCCAATTTATTGACCAAGCAGAAACTACATTTGGTGAAATGGATGAACAACTAAACAAATCTAAGGATCTTTCAGAACTAGAGAAACTAGGTCACTTCTTAAAGGGTTCGTCGGCAGCTCTAGGTCTTCAAAGAATAGCTTGGTCCTGTGAACGTATTCAGAATTTAGGGAGAAAAGCTGAAAAGAGTTTCCCATCAAAGGAACAATTACTTGATTCTTTACCAGCTGACATAGAACTAACAGATTCCGATAAGGCAAGTTATGAGAAGAGTAATAGTGGAGTTGCTCCTACCTCCGAAGATGATGAACTTTATCTGTTTTTGATCAAGAGAGCATTAGCACAAGCAAGACTAGAATTCCAAGTAGCAAGAAGAGAACTTTCTGCATATTATAATGAAGTGCTCTAGAGTATAAGAGAGATATTTTGAAGTTTCTTACACATTTAAAATCTCGTTTTGTTACCTAAAATTTTCATATGCTTTTTTCTATAACATCTATCACTACAATCATCTAATCAAAAAGGTAAATCATGATAACTTTCCGTCTTTATCAGCCACGACAATCATACACACATACCATCTAATTTCACCCACCAATCTCATAGTTATTGACTAACACCAGAGAGTCTGAAAATGCACGAACCTTTATATAGTTCAAACAGAATCAAAAAAAAAAATCGTAAAAATTCTATTAATTCAAATTTATTCATAAATAGAAAATAAAATATAAAGTTTATCATTAGTAATAATTCATCTGTATAAGTTACATATATAATGTAGAGGTACATAAAACAAAGGGGTGGAAATTGGATATATAAAAAAAACGATATCTCATGATCATTATTGTTGTGTCAATTCGTATATATCACCCAATTTTTCAGCGAAAAACTTTGGATTGACATGTTCTTCAGATACTTCAAGAGCTCTTTCTTCAGTTTCGATACCACTTAGAACCAATAGAGTACCTCCCAATTTACCTTCAACACCAAATTTCATATCAGTGTTTAAACGATCACCGACCATACAACATTTGGATTTATCCAAATTGAAAGCAGAAACAATGGTGTTCAACATGTTCATGTTAGGTTTACCACAGTAAGCTGGTCTTCTACCAGCAGAGAAAGCAATAGACTCGACCATTGAACCAGCACCTGGGAAAGTATGACCCTTTTGAGGGAAAGTAGAATCGACATTAGTACCAACGAAATGTACCTTATCCTCTTGTTGTAAATATTGCAAAGTGACAGCTAGCTTGTGATAAGTGATATCATGATCAAGACCAGCGATAACAGCACGAACATCTTCATCTAATCCATTGACCAAGAAAGGAGATGTAGAGGCATCAAATGGAGTTTGAAGTCTTGGATCGTCACCACCTAAAGCTTCATAACCCATCTTATTTAATTCCTCAGAAATACCTGATTCACCAAAGACCCAAACTTTATCTTTACCAGGTTGTAATTTTAAGAAATCACGAACATAAATGGCAGAAGCATAACCAGAAGTGAAAATTTGTTCTTCTTTCACAGTGATACCAAATGATGCAAATTTCTTAGTATATGACAAACGTGATTTAGTAGAGTTATTAGTGACAAAAATAGCTTTTTTACCTAAAGATGTTAAAGTATCTAAAAACTCCTTGGTGTGAGGTAACAAAATGTTACCTAACCATAATACACCATCACAATCAAATAAGAAAGTGTCATAACGGTTTAAGAAATCATTGGCGACTTCCTTGGTAGTGATCTTAATAGGTGTTACAGTTCCAGTCATTTTTATTTGTTTTCTTGGTGAAGTTAATCTAAATAAACTGAATCAATATTTATATCTATTTCCAAAATTCCCATCTGACCTTAGCACACACACATATATATATATAGAAAGAAATTCAATGGTTTACCTTCCTCTACCTTGGTATGCATTCGTTAAACAGGAACCCTGTGAATCAGTGGTTAATGGCGGCGCTGAGCTAATTTTTCTTTTTCACTGGAAAAAGCAACAATTTCACTTTGAAATTTAAAGCCGCCGGCGTTAACGACAGGAGAAATAGATATTACTGCTACTAATAGCTTCTGTTTAACTCCGGTGATAGACAATAAGATAAAACTGATTTCGTGGACCTCTTCTGTGATAAGTTATAAATATATGTATATTTGTAAAACTTTATGGGGTTTTTAAATGTATATGTAATGATATGTATATGTATGTATGGAAGAGTAGGTATATATGGAAAGAAGAAAACGAGGAAAAAACACAGCAGTTGAGACATGGGTATCTAAATATCCTTGTGCAACATACTTTCTCTACCTGGACCAGTACCAACCCATTCGACTGGAACACCAACAAAATCTTCAATAAATTTCAAATATTTCTTAGCGTTTTCTGGTAAAGTATCATAAGTTTTCACATTAGTGATATCTTCATTCCAACCAGGTAAAGTAACGTATTCAACGTCAACACTACCTAGTTTAATTAAATCTTCTGGGAATGATTCTAGTTTTTCACCCTTGATAGAGTAAGAGACACCAACTGGGATATCTTTGAAAGTATCAAGAACATCCAATTTAGTAATATTCAAACTTGTATAACCATTAATCATAGTAGAATATTTCAAAACAACTAAATCTAACCAACCACAACGACGTTTACGACCTGTAGTGACACCGAATTCGGCACCAATAGTTTGTAATTTTTCACCGTCTGGATTTAATTGTTCAGTTGGGAATGGACCTTCACCAACTCTGGTGGTATAAGCTTTAACAACACCAAAGACTTCATCTAAAGAACGTGGTGGAATACCAAGACCAGTAATGACACCACCAATACCTGTAGCAGATGATGTAACGAATGGATAAGTACCGAAATCAATATCTAACATCAAAGCATTAGCACCTTCAACTAAAATTTTTTTGTTTTGTTGAATAGCATTATGCATAAATAGGACAGAATCGACAACAAATGGTTTTAATTGTTCTTTTAAGATTTTATATTTAGCCAAATGAGCTTCGACATCAAAATCAAATCCACCATATCTTAATTGTCTTGTTTCTACTAATCTTCTAAATTTAGTTTCGAATTCTTCCCAAGCACCTGGTAAATCATTAACTAAATGGTGAACTCTTAAACCTGATCTAGAAGCTTTAGTGGCATAAGTTGGACCAATACCTTTACCTGTAGTACCAATATTCTTACCATCCTTTGATCTACCAGCTAATTCATGTTCTCTTAATTTATCAGTAATTTGATGAAAATCGAAAACTAAATGAGCTCTTGAAGATACAAATAATCTTTCACGACAGTTTTGTAAACCTTTAGCTTCCAAAGTTTCTAATTCTTTAAAAAATGATGGTAAATGAATAACAACACCATTACCTAATAAATTTTGACAATTTGGGTTAACTAAACCTGAAGGTAGCATATGGAAATCATATTTAACTCCGCCAACCACAATAGTATGACCCGCATTATTACCACCGGCACAACGAGCTACAATATCGTATTTACCGACTAAAAGATCAACTAACTTACCTTTACCTTCGTCACCCCATTGGGAACCTAAAACAACGTTAACCATTATGAATTACTTAATAGGAAATATTACTGTATGAAGAAAAAATCTTTTTTTTTTTCTTTCAGGGGAAACTCACACACAACGACATATTTTATAATATAAAGAAAGAAAGAAAGAACAAGAATAGTAATAAGAAGAAGTATTTATTAATTATTATTTATTTCTTGAGTTGAGCTTACAAAAGTAAAAACTAAATATATAAGAAGTAATAAAGATTTGAAAAGATCATGAAGATTAATATCCAATAAACCGGCAACTTTATATAGTCCGTGAGAAAACCGAATTTAACGTGAACAACAACTGAAAAATGTGTTCGATTGAATTAATATCTCATTGTTTAAGACTTTGTTTTGGTCTTGCTGTTTAGAAGTAATTAAAATCTGTAATTAGTTTGTTAATTAGTGTGACTTCCTTTTGGTCTCCCACGCCCGCACCACCGCCACAGAGCGAGAGAGAACCGAGCCATTTTATTTCTGCCTGCTTACCGCAGCAAATTCCCAACCAGTTTTGCGGGGGGGGGGAGAGCGTGAACAAGAAAATGCACAGCTACCTGTTTTCCTTCTGTTTGTTTTTTTAAACAGTGGAATCCGAATTATACACACTGATAAAAGGGAGAGAGAGAGAGAGAGCGAGAGAGAAAAGCCCGTACAGAGAGGCAACCATAAAAATGTGTTTTTTCTTTTTCTTTTTGACTTCTTTTTTTGGAAGTCACGTGGTATATCGTGTTGAACGGCAAAGCACGTGACTTTGGGCATGAGCACCTTCAATTGGTTTTTGCACAGCCGTTTGTGAGTTTTCGATAACAAATTGCCCTTCGCCTTAAAGCAATCAGTCACCTGCCAAAAAAAAAAAAGATACGATTACTCATTTGAATAGAGAGATAGAGGGTCTCGAGAATTTGTGATAACAGATAAACTCACAGATTCATTAATTACATATATGTATATAAATGGACTGGTTCTCGGGAAGTTTGTTTTGTGAATTGTTTGTGAGGAATCTATCTGTGCATATAGATAAAAATAATCAACGATATATATAGCGGTGTAAGAGATGACTCGCAGTAAAGAATTACAACATATATTTGTCACATTCTATGGAAACTTTATAGATACCCCAGATTTTGGTTCGTTGAGGGTTAGAATGAATACAGCTATTGGTGTATGTATGGATCCCTCTATTCCTGAAAATTTTGGCAAGATTCAATTTATTTCAGAAAATTGTGAAGATCCTTTAATGGCTACAATACAATATGACACCTCTCTAACTGAAGATAAAATTAAACTAGTGGTACCATCAAATAATTCTATTACTTCTTTTTATTTCCCAGGGTTTATAGATACTCATATACATGCATCTCAATATCCTAATTGTGGAATTTTAGGTAATAATTCTACTTTATTAGATTGGTTAAATAAATACACTTTCCCAACAGAAGCTGCCTTAAGTCATTTACCATATGCAAACATAGTTTATGATAAAATTGTCTCAAGGACCATAGCAAATGGAACTACCACGGCAACTTATTTTACTACAATAGATTTAAATGCATCAAAAGTTATGGCTCAAATTTGCTCTAAATATGGACAAAGGGCATTAATTGGGAAAGTTTGTATGGATTCAAATAGTCCCGAGTATTATATTGAGACCTGTAAAGAGTCAGTATCATCATTGATTGAATTGGTAGATTATTTGGAAAATGAACTTTGTAATCCCTTAGTTCAACCTATAGTCACTCCAAGATTTGCTCCATCGTGTTCAAGAGAATTAATGGAAACAATTGGAAATTTAGCAAAGAATAAATCACTTCATATACAAACTCATTTGTCTGAAAATTTTAATGAAATTAATTGGGTAGAAAATTTATTCCCTGAATGTGAAAATTATACTGATGTTTATAATGAATATGGTCTATTGAATGAAAAAACAATACTGGCTCATTCTATTCATTTAACACCAGAAGAAATTCAATTGATTAAATTAAAACAATCGGGTATTTCTCATTGTCCGATCTCTAATACTTCTTTAACATCGGGAGAATGTCCCGTGAAAGAAATGTTTGCAGATGGTATTGAAAAGATTGGCTTAGGGACAGATGTTTCAGCTGGTTATTCTTGCAGTATTCTGGAGTCCGCTAAAGCTGCATATGCAGTATCAAGACATCTTGCAATGAAGAAAGAAAAACCACAGTTGAAATTATCCGTAAATGAATGCTTGTATTTAGCTACATTAGGTGGTGCAAAAGTTCTAGATATGGATAAACATATTGGTTCCTTTGATGTGGGGAAAAGTTTTGATTGTCAAGAGATTGATTTGATCAGCCCCAATTCTACAATAGACATCTTTGAATGGCAAGTACCTACTAATTTACCTAACACTAAGAGTGAACATACTTCTTTGAACAAACCAGAACCATTTCGCATGTGTGACATAGTGAGTAAATGGTTTTTCAATGCCGATGATAGAAATGTTGTCACTGTATGGGTAAATGGTCACAATATACAAAATTTGAATACTTAAGTAAATATATATTCATTATTAAAAAAAATTAAAAATTTAATATCATTTAAATTGCTTTTTATCTTGAATATGATCAATGGTTTCAACTTTTACTATTATCCATTTTTCTGTTGACAGTTCATGTTAAGTTAGCGTTTGACAATATTCGCTGCAAACGCATTGAGAAAAAAAATATGAGGACAAGAAAATTAATATTGTGACACAAATAATATGACGAAAGAAAATAAAGATAATATAGTGATAATTTTACTTCATATGAATTTATAATTTATATTAATCTCTTACCTTTTATTTATATCTACATATCCATATATTTAGGGTCATTCTTGTAACTTAGAACTTAGTATTAAATAAATACCGGAGTTTTCTTCTGAATTGAAAACAATGCCTTTTTTTTCACGTTCAAAGTCTCCATCAACCACTCTAAGAGATAATCAAGAAGTACAGGAAAGAAAGATTCAAACATCTTACACTACAGGTATTACTGGAATAAATTCATCACCCACCAGAAATACAGGTTCTATAGCCAATTTAATGACTTTTAGTTCATATCGTGCTAGGATGACTATTAACAGCAAATTGAAAGAAGGTAAAGAAAATGCCAGCAATTGCGAAGTTACTGATTCTGTTACCTCTACCGAGACAGTGATTGCCGAAAATCCTGAAAATGTTTCCGAAGTTATAGAATGTACAACTCCTGGTGAATTTAAACCATTACAAGAAGCCAATACTGATTCAACTATTTCAAATTTTAATGACAATGATAAACAAAATGCTGAGCAGAATGACGACAAAACTGAAACAATCCCAGAACAAATTCAAACTCCAGAACAAAATCAAGAAAATATTCCGAACAATAACCTAACTAACTCTCATATTCCAGAAAACTTGGAACAGATGAAAACTAAGTTATACAAGAATTCAAAAGACAAAGATAATGAAACGAATGTAATAGAGGAACAAGAGGAATTCCAAGATGCAAGGGAGCCAGAGCCAATACCAAATGAAAATGTTGATCTATTTGAATCATCTGTTAAAGAAATGCAAAATCCCAAATCATTGAATGATCCTTCAAAGAAAAAAATCACAGAGTTAAGAAAAGAGACAATTAACCTTAAAACTGAACTTAAAATAGCAAAAAAAAATATCACAACTCTGGAAGAAGAAAAGATGACTTTAAAAAAGAAACTTGAAAACATTTCTTCTAAATCTCAAGAAAAGGAAAAGTCTCTCAAACAGCTAAGAGATTTAATTTTGAAATTAAGGGAAGAGACAAGAATTAACTTTAATAATGATAAGAAAGAAATAATGAAATGCAAAGAGGTTATACCGGAAATTTTGCAAAATATCAAAAATCTGGAAAGTTCAATGCAGAAAAAACAAGAACTAACGAACAGATCTTTGGAGACAGCTCTGACAAGTTCGAACGAGATTATGAAAAAGAAACTAGATACTCTTTTTGAAAACGATGCTAAAAAAGCCCATGAATACGAAAGGCAATTAAATTGTTATGCTAAAGCCCAAGAACAAGTCGAATACGTTATCTTAAACCTGAGACTTTTTGAAGTAGATCTTTCTGAGATCATTAATGATATCCTTAAAGAAGTTTCCGAAAATGATATTGATGAAGATAAAGATCAGTTTAACATATCCAAGCTCTTCGAAAAGAAATTCAAAGAACAACATAATAGTATAATTGGCTTCCGCACAAAAGATGACAATTATATCCTTGGTGAAATGAGTTTATTTTTGGATAAAATGAAAGTGACAATTAATGAAAAAATGATAAGGGATGTAGAAAAATGTGTTATGAAACTTAATTCTACTAAAGACCAGTCTTATTTAGCATTTGAGAAAAAAATTGCTGAATTTCAAGGGCTAGACAAAACTCAAAAATCTCAAATAGTTGAAGTTACTGAAAAAAATAATACCTTGAAAAAAATGAGTGATAGAATGATAAAGGAGAAGAACATCATCAGTGCCAACTTAGAAACACAAACCCAATTGGCTGAAGCAAATTCACGTCGTCTCGCTGAACTAATAGGCGATGAAACCAAGAAAATCACATATGAGCAAATGTTATTAAATAATTCCGATACATCTAGAGATACATATGATTTTCTAGAAGTTGATGATGTTGACAAATTAACAATGGTTGAATTACAGAATGTTATTAAAAATTTAATAATTCTACTTAATATACCATTCAGCAAACTTGCTAAAAAAATACCTCTAATTGGGATATATTTGATTTATGAACGAAATATGTATGCATATTTTGTCAATCGCCTGTACTATCAATTAAATGGTAAACAACTTATGCTAACCGATTACAATCGTGAAGCTTTCAATCAGTATATAACCACCAATTCGCTTAATAACATCAGACATCCATTAGAAGAGTGTCTTGAAACATTATGTAATCGTATTATTACTAAGCTATAAAAAACAATAATACAATATTTATAAAGGTCATAGAAAAAAGACTTCAAAATAACTGTAATTTTAACAAACTTCTAAAAAGAATGTTATAAAGTATTTCTTACCAACACTGCAGTTTAAATTCCGATTTTCATACTATATAATAAATACCATTATTCCCTGAAAAGTTTTCTTCCCTTCCCTTTTCTTACAGTGAAAGTTCGGTCAATGAGGCTCTAAAATTTTCAAAATTGAAAATTTCAAATACAGAAAGAAAAATCAACAACCTGCAACGGAGAGAGCAAGCAAATCATCAAAAGCGTTACACTCAGTAAAACTCACATGGCTCATTGAAATTCTGAAATTTTTCTTTCAATTTGTGAAAATACATATACAACAGAGGAATAAAATAGTAAATATTTGATTGTTAAACAAAGTGTTTGATATTATTTCACCTTAAATGGTACCTTATTGAGAAAAGTAATACACTAAAGTTATAATTTTAGTTAATTTTAATACTTATATTGCAAATTTACCAAAACAAAACAAACAAGGTGAAAGAGTAACAGGATACATTTCTATTAACATCACTTATACCAAACTCATTCCTTTCCCACATATTTAATAGAATTCGAAACAAAAATATAAAGTAGTCATATACTTACCATCTCTATATACTCTTAAGATTTTGTATTTAAGAAATAACAACTCCAAATTTGAAATTTATACACCGAAACTATGAATAATCCGACGAATCCACCTGTATCTAATCTATCCAGTGCATTACGAAATATTAACCTTCAAGAAAGCAGTAATATAAATAACAATGATAGTAGTAATAATGGGAACCCCAATATTAATCAAGATATAAATATAATGCGACAAAATGCTCCAGGTCAAGTTGGCAACGAAATGTTACTACAAAGACCTCCAACGAATACAAATAATTCCATCATTGGAAATGGTGATCAAGGATTTAACGAACCAATAGTACAACATGATATTTTACCTTCACAAAATTCAAATCAAATAAATCAAAATTCGAATATTGATAACTCAAGATTAGTGAATTTTTTCCAAAATCAACCAGTTTCAGGTTATACATTATTTTCACATAGATCTGCTCCAAATGGATTTAAAGTAGCTATTGTTCTAAGTGAACTTAATCTTCCGTACAATACTTTTTTCCTTGACTTTAATGCTGGGGAACATAGATCACCTGAATTTATCTCTATTACACCAAATGCTCGTGTTCCTGCTTTAATTGATCATGGCATGGATAATTTATCTATTTGGGAATCAGGTGCCATCCTTTTACATTTAGTAAATAGATACTACAAGGCCACTGGCGATGCAAAACTTTGGTCTAGTGATTTAGCAGAACAAGCTCAAATTAATGGATGGTTATTTTTCCAAGCTACTGGTCATGCACCAATGATCGGACAAGCATTACATTTTAGATATTTCCATTCTGAAAAATTACCAAGTGCATTAGAAAGATATACTGCGGAAGTAAGAAGAGTTTATGCTGTAATTGAAATGGCTTTGGCTGAAAAGAGAGAAGGCTTAATTATGGAATTAGATATTGATAATGCAGCATCATATTCTGCAGGTACAACTCCCCTATCACAAAGTAGATTTTTTGATTATCCAATATGGCTTGTTTGTGATAGAATTACTATTGCAGATTTATCATTCGTTCCATGGAATAATGTTGTGGATCGTATTGGTATCAATATTAAATTGGAATACCCTGAAGTATACAAATGGACTAAACATATGATGAGAAGACCTGCTGTGATTAAAGCATTACGTTGTGAATAGTAATAATAAAGATAAATGTAGGGTAAAAAATACAAACAAACAATTACAAACATATAACTAAATATTTTGTTCATCTATCTTTCTTTCATTATTGAATAAGAATGGAAAAAAAATTGTAAGAACTAGACTTTAATAATAATCTTTATATGGCTTCGTTATCTATGTATATAATAGAAGAAGTTTATAATTATATCATTAACTAGCCTATCTGTTTGTATATATTTTAACAGAAAAACATAGGCCTTTAGTTTATATTTCGAAATTATCGACACCCGTATATAGAAAAAGAATGATATCTAAACCAAATACGCATGAAAGAGCACGATTAAACCGATAAGACAAAAGCAGTAAAAATTGAAGTTTTTGCCCCGTGCCACACATTAAATGGCCATTTTATATAAATTTATAATAGTTGAAATCATTTGTCCAACAGACCCCGATCATCATATGTATAAGATCACATTAATTTGGGGTGTGATTATAAGTTGACTATATGTCATCTTACGGAAATAAAACATTAAACAAGTCATAAGAATAAGAGGAACATCCTAAATTATAAAAATAATGAAGAAGGAATATGCAATGCAATTTTCATGTGATTTCAACACCTAATTGACTTCACCAAAAAAATACAGATACTATGGATGTGTGTATCTCTGAAAAAACAACAAAATAAAATTAAAGGTGGGGAAAGCAAACCTTTTTCTCTCTTTCAGATTTTTATAAAATTGCGGAATGCAAAGCACACTAAAACGCAAAAAGACAAATTTAGTTAAATTTTATGTGAAACCGCAAAGATGTGCAATTTTGAGTGACATTTTGCGTAGATATTTAAAGTAAACTGTAATGAACGTTTTCTGGCCATTGAGAAACTTAGCCTTTTCTCTAATTTAAAATGTTGTTTTTTTTACAGACAAAAATGCGCGCAAATTTGCACCGGTGACATCACCATATTTTAAAAATTGTGCTTAAATTAAGTAAGTAATATTTGTTCGGCCGAACTATTCGGGCATTACAAAATATGTTTTTCTTTTTTACCGCGAAAAATACAGCAAATCCATGAATCTTAAATCGATGGCATTATCTCCTGTTTCACTATAGCTAGTTCTTAGCCACAAAAGAACAAATTAAGGGATATACGCGATCTGATTTACAGTTAAATTCAATTCGTCCGAGATGATAATACCTGAGATTTTGTTCTTTTTCTTTCTTAACTTTTCATCGCGGGGTTACGAAGGAAACTAAGCAAATCCTGTTATCTTTGTACGCCCTTGTCTTAGCAAAATAAGTTTTTCATATAATATTGAAACGATGAGATTAGTTAAAGTATAAGTTACGTAGGAAAATGTACAACCACAACTGCAAACATTATTTCAAAAGGGAGAAGAAAGGAGGTAGATGAAAATTACTCATTTTACACATTTCTGACAGAGGAAATTTTGTCAAGGCAATTTTTTTAGTGCAGTTTAGTAATATCTTATACACCATTACAAGAATAGCAATTAAGCATGGATGAAATAAAATATTTGAAACGGACAGAAACGAAAGAAATAGTTTATTATACGGTATTTTTTTATCTCCTTCTCTAAGGAGAATACTTGGAGATGCATATATGTGTAATGTGTGCTTGACTTAAAACTTTTGTACGGTTATTCTGAATCTCTTTCTTTTTTCTATCAATGAATATAATTGGAATTCGAATAACTTAGTAGTACTTTTCGGAAAGAAAAAAAAAAAGGACAAACAAGCCGTTGCAATGGTAGTCTTCTTCTTCTCCCCTTCAAATTTATTAGTAATTTTATTTTCTGTTTATCTCTCATTCTTCAATTTCAAAAGTATTTAAATTATGGCAAACTCTTACTTTAATTTTTTTCTTAATCTCAAATTATATAATTCTTTGTGTATATAAGATTAACCTTTTTAGAGTGTGGAAACAATTAACATATATATATAGAGAATCCTAAAAGAAGATTCTATATACATATATTTTTCATTCTGTCTACCTTAGCTCAAGAATCAGCACTCAATTTGTTCTTTTTGCCCCCCTTTGCTAAATAATTTTGATAATTTTCTAAATTAGAAATACATATAGAATTGAAACATGTCTGCCCCTGTTTCCTTTGAAAAAAATACTATAATAGTCATATTTGGTGCATCTGGTGATTTAGCCAAAAAGAAAACTTTCCCTGCTCTATTTGGTTTATTCAGAGAAGGTTATTTAGATCCATCTACAAAAATTGTAGGTTATGCTCGTTCAAAGCTAACAAAAGAAGAATTGCATGCCAAGATTGAACCTCACTTAAAGAAACCTCATGGTGAAAAAGATGATCAAAAAGTTAAGGATTTTTTCAATATGACTAATTATATATCTGGGCAGTATGATACGGACGAAGGATATTTACAATTGAACGATGAAATTGAAACATTCGAAAAATCTCGTAATATTTCTAAACCTCACCGTCTATTTTATTTAGCCTTACCACCTAGTGTATTTTTACCTGTTGCTCAACAATTAAAGAAACTTGTTTATGCAACAGACGGTATAACGAGAGTCATTGTCGAGAAACCTTTCGGTCATGATCTACAATCTGCTAGAAAATTGCAAGCTGATCTAGCCCCACTATTTAAAGAAGAAGAAATATTTAGAATTGATCACTATTTGGGTAAAGAACTGGTTAAAAATTTAATTCCATTAAGATTCGGTAATAAATTTTTAAATTCTTCATGGAATAAAAATTCAATTCAAAATATTCAAATTTCCTTTAAGGAACCGTTTGGCACTGAAGGACGTGGTGGTTACTTTGATTCAATTGGTATCGTGAGAGACGTTATGCAAAATCATCTATTACAAATCCTCACTTTATTAACAATGGATCGACCAATATCTTTCAATGCAGAAGACATTCGTGATGAAAAAGTTAAAGTATTGAAGTCTTTGGCTCCAATAAGTAATGACAATATATTAATAGGGCAATATGATAAGTCAATTGATGGGACTAAACCAAGTTATTTAGATGATGAAACAGTGAAACCAGATTCTAAATGTGTAACATTTGCAGCACTAACATTCCATATTAACAATGATCGCTGGGACGGTGTACCAATTATTATGAGAGCAGGTAAAGCTCTAGATTCTGGAAAAGTCGAAATTAGGGTACAATACAAAAATATACCTACAGGCATGTTCAACACAATGCCAAATAATGAATTGGTTATCAGAGTCCAACCAAATCCTGCCGTATATTTGAAATTTAATGCAAAAACACCAGGGTTGTCCGATACTACTAGTGTCACTGATTTAGATTTAACATATGAAAATAGATATAGCGATTTCTGGATTCCAGAAGCTTATGAGGTGTTGATTAGAGATGCTCTATTAGGTGACCACTCGAATTTTGTCAGAGATGACGAATTAGACATAAGTTGGAAATTATTCACTCCATTATTGAATTATATTGAGAGTTCAGAAGCACCAGCTCCAAGTCTCTACCCTTACGGTTCTAGAGGACCTGAAGGTTTATCAGAATACCTAAAGAAAAATGGCTTTGATTATAACGGCACTGAAACTTATTCCTGGCCAATTACTTCTCCAAATTCAACTTAAACAGTTTGACATAATTTGATGCATTAATTAGAATAGCAAGCAACTCAACAGGGCACGTATCATAAAATGATGATATAAAAAATGATATATATATATATATATTTCTTATAAACATATGTACCGATTTATCTTTCAAGGTAAAAGAATAAAATTTATGAAATTGAATATAATATTACAATAAGCTATATACGCTGTGATATATATCGTATAAAGTCTTAAAAAAGCATTTTTTTGATGTATTTTATTTTATTTTATTTTTTGGTAGAGAGGTATACTGTCTACCCTGAATTGTCCAAATTTGTACCACGTTGTGTAGAATACTGATTTTTTTACGTTGCACCTTGTAGCACAGCTGCACTAGTATCTTTCACTGTAATATCGTTTCCGATATTAAATTCTGAGAAATCGATGCCCTTTTCGTTCACTTTCTTACCAATGAATGAAGATATTTGTTCAATCTCTGTTAGACCTCTAGATTTAATTTCCTTTAACAAAATTATTAGGAATTTTGGTACCATAACCATTTCTTCATTATGTGTGATTAAATAATCAATAACCTCGATTGCAAGAAAATGGTGTTGACCTTCATTTTCAGCAAAATCTTTTGAGTATGATTTAACAGGTTGTGTTGTTTCGCCGTTATTAGTTTGTGTTGGTAAATAAAGAATATTAGGTGCAATGACTGTTGATAAATTATGAATGTCCATCTTAGAACCCATTTCGTTTTCAACATGAGAGAATGAAGAAGTCCAATACAAAAATGATAATAAAACTTCTAATATGTTTCTGTTGTATAAGGGAAGTAAGGAGTAAACCAAACAATAAAATTTCTGTTTCTCAGTTGTGTCCTCCATCTCTGCAGTCGTGATCCATAACTTATAAAGAGTAGTCGTAAGGATGGGATCCGGCAGTTCTCTGAAGAATTTCTTAAGAAGTGCAGACAATTGAATTGCATTTTCCTTGGATAAATCTGGTACCTCCGAGGGATTACCATCGATCTGGGTGGTTAGTTCTCTTAAACGTCGAATATTACCATTTTTACGGAAAATCCCTTCTACTGACATATCCATTTGACGTAATGACGAAATAAGTTCATCAATAACAATAGGAATTTTAATTTTGGTAGGTCCAACAGCTAAATCCGAGTCTGTTCCCCATTTGTCACATACTATATCTAAGGAAACACCAAACACCTTATTTGGTATGACCGGTTTTGGTTCTTTATTCATTATTGTTTTCATTTTATTCCAGAAATTATTTGATTGTTGAGATTTATTGGTTTTTATAGCTGGAATCAATTTAGTTAAACTTGAAGGATTAACTTTTAAGACGTTGTTACATTTTAACAAACTACAACTGATAATTGATATTAACCTCAAATCATTTTCATTGAGTTCTGAATAATATAACCCGCTCTTCTTTTGGATATTAGTTTCATCCTCGGTTTCTTTTAATGTTTTAAAATGAGTAAAAGCATTTGGTCTTAATTCTCTAGCTTGTTCTGCAGCTACGATTCTTGAAATATCATCTAAAGTTAAAGTTTTTGTATTTGAAAAAACATTCTCATGTGATGATGGAACTCTAGAATAATCTTGGTTATCATCTGTATGAATAATTAAACTTTTCTTTGAGGTATTTATCATAGAAGTATCTATATCTTCTTCTGGTGTCTCCAGAATAACAGATTTACGAGCTTCCTGTTTGTCATGACTAACTTTAATACTTTCTCTTCTCGAACGAAGTCTCTTGATATCATTCAAAGTTCTAATATATGTTTGTTGCATTGTGACCGTCTTTATACGCTGAGAGTTACTAACGGCGGCTGTTTGTCCCATTAATTGGGCCTTCATTACAGCCTTTGAACGGACCAAAGCGATTTTCAGTAAGAAGATCAATTGAGTCAATTTGGTAATGAATTTAAATCCCGGTACAGATTCTGGTTCATTAGCAGAACAAGTTGGACAAAATATTTGCATAGTAGATTTCTTGAATGTCGATTCATCAATATCTGAAATATCAATTTTTTTAGAACATTTGGAACAAATAAAACAATTTAAATGCCATCTAAAATCTTGAAATTTGATACATTGTTCCTGAATATATTTCTTACAAGCAACACAATCATCTGTAGCCTCCAATGAGATATTAATATGAGAGAAAGGATCATCTGTAATGGTTTCATTTTTTTCAACTTCACGTAAAAATTTCAATAATACTGACACTGAATGAGTATTCTTATTGGAATCCAATGCGGAGAAAAGACCATACCGTGTCAGTAATTTCAAAAAATGAGCTAAGCCAGTGATTACAGACATGAAAGAAGACAATGTAGTGTCTTTATCGTAGGAATCTACATTTAATTTTCTTAACAATTGTAAATATATCATAATTTTTGTAGTTAAATTTCTTGGGAATTTTTCGTACTTGACTTTAATTGTTTGTAATTCCTTAGATCTGTCTGAGCTATTACCATCTGCTGTCTTATGAAGAGTATCATTTGGTAAAGAATTATTAAAAGTATTAAAATTGTCTAATGCTTTAAACAGACATTCAATCTTTAAGACGAACAGAGCTGTTGAATCAATACCTTTCAATTGATCAAAACTTGAAAGGTATTGAAACATATCTGAAATACATGAAGCGGTCTCTTCTTCAAACCTATAGAGAACAGACCAAATCTTGGATAAGATGAAACCAAACGCCTGCATTTGTTTCTCTAGTTCCTGTGGAGTCGGATTGATATCTCTTACGGGATCTTCTTCTTTAAAAGGTAATCTTTGTAATAAAGGTAAACCAAGCGATTCTGCTGATAAATTTACATGCCAATATTTATGAATACCATAACATTCTGGATGCCAACAGTGTACTTCGTCGCCACGAGGAAATTCAATATATTGATCAGAAATTGGAAATTTGCAACCTTTACAACGTTTTGAAAAAAATTTCAAAAAATGATATTTACAGTATAATTTATCATTATGAATAAAACATTTTTTAACACCACAGGGAGTCTTACAAATAGTACATGAAAAATGTTCTTCATCGTATCTACCACCAAAGGCAGTATAATATAATCCTCTTAATGGTTTATCACATACTTTACAAAGTAAATTATGTCTTCTAAAATAATCATATTGACATAATAAAATAGGTTCATCGGTATCTTTAGTCTTAAATGGGAAAAATTTAGGCTTTAAAGGTTTTGAACAATCTTGACAAACAAAACAATCTTCATGATAATATTTTCCAAGAGCTCTCAAAGTACTTTTACTATGTCTTGTAGTAATTTTAGTATCATTATTATTTGAAATATTTGATTGTTGTTGTGTAAAAATTGGTTCTCCACATCTAGCACAATTCTTTGGTTGTTGTACTATTGTTAATCTTGAACCTACCAAAGAAGTATCTCCTTGGGAATGATTATTCATACTGTCGGAATCGAGGTAAAGTTGCCTCGACGACATCTGACTTTGCATTATATCTTGAAGAGAAAATAAAACAACTGTACACTATTATTCCTCTTTATCTTGTATATTAATATAGCAGTATTTTATTTATTCCTTTGGTTGTTAACCAATTTTGCGAAGTATTCTCTTGCTTTTGGTTCTTCAAGTAATATTTTCAAATCGTAAGACAGGTAAAGGTATAATTCAGTGAATCTGTTTTTTATTATTATGAAAGTTAGTCTGCACAATAATCAATTGAACCTAACAAAACAGATGTATGACCTTCTTCTTACTGTATCGGGCCCTTTTTTGTTTTCTTTTTTAACAAATTAAATTTGTTTTCAATTGCATATCAAATAAACAACATTCTATATTTACTTTCTTGTTTTGTTTTGTTTCTAGTTTTGTCGTCATTGAAAAAAAAAAAACCTAGAAAGAATATTTCACCGAACGAGCGCGAAATGATGAAACTTACTCGACAGAAATAGAAAGAGCAAACAAATTTTATCCAATGAAGACTGCTGCGCATATTGCATCATAAAACAGTCAAAATTGCTGATAGCAAGAGTGAAATGAAAATAAATGATATATGATGAGAAACATTGAATCGACGTCACACTTGTCTTCATATTGTGGTCGATTTCTAGTATATATCTCTTAAGTAAGAGAACACATTAAGTTCCCTCCTAACAGTATTTTTTATATCGAGGACGTGAGATCATGCTACACGAGCATCTCTGCTGCGATATTTTCTGTGTAAAAACTATAAATTCTCTTCATTCTGCACCGTCAATCGCAATTTTTGCGCCAAAAAAATATTTTCGAAGATTTTTTGGGCTTTCAGCGGTACCTCGAGGTCGGGATGACTAGCCAATCTGTCACATGGACGAATGTGCAGACGGTAAAAGATATCCTCTTGGATGTGTGTAATATTTATATATGTTGAGTTGTATTGTACATGCTTACTCTAGCATGTGAAGAACAACAGAGATTTGCATTGTTCTGGAGGTTGGTTATTGTATAAAGCGGTGACTGTATTATATAGATTCACATACTTCACATGCACAGATAACGATTACATGGTGCTTATGTCAGAATGTGTAAATTTTCTTGTTTGAAGAGCTTGTGTATGATTTTGTTCAACTGATAGGTATATAAAGGACGGTTATCAATTTCAGATCTCATCATGAAACCTGTGTTACTTGATACCCTCCCCATTGCTCTTATATATATATATCAACAACTGGCTCTACGAACGAAAATCTATAATGACCGTATATACAGTTGATACTGACGTTTGTTTATTTGATTTGGATGGTACAATTATAACAACAATTGTGGCAGCTGAAGAAGCTTGGACCAAACTTTGTAAGCAACACAATGTCGACCCACAAGAATTGTTTAAGATCTCACACGGTACCAGAACTGTGGAAGTTCTAGCTCAATTTTTTCCAGATATTGATAATACAGATAATAAAGGTGTTCATTTATTAGAAGCTGACATTGCAGATAATTATTTAGATACAATCGGTGTCATTCCAGGTGCGAGAGAATTATTATCAGCATTAGACAAAGACCCACAAGATCAATCTGTAAATTTCAGAAAAGAACAAAAGAGGAAATGGGCTATAGTTACTTCTGGCTCGCCATACATGGCTACTTCTTGGTTTTCTACTATATTAAAGGACATTGGGAAACCTGAAGTTTTTATTACCGCTGAGAATGTCTCTGTCGGAAAACCAGACCCCGAAGGTTATACCAAAGCAAGGGAATTATTGAGTACGACTTGGAATTATAAAAGCTCTTGTAGAGCAGTGGTCTTTGAAGATGCACCGGTTGGGATCAGGGCGGGAAACGCCATGAATGCTGTCACTATTGGAATTACTTCGTCTTATAGTAAACAAACATTGTTTGCAGCAGGTGCCGACTATGTAGTAGCAGATCTCACTCATGTCACAGTAACTGAGAATACAGAAAATGGCCATATAAAATTACAGATTAAAGATCCTTTAATTGAAAATTAATTTTTCAAAATAATATCAATTAGTTTGTATACCTTTCTATAGAAAAATACAAATATATTAAAACTGAACTAGAATCGGAACGCACTATATAGCAATTTCCATTAATGGCGAAAGTATACAATGGAAGGGAGCTCCCTGGTATCCTATTTTTTGTAAATTCAAATTAATTATTTTCCCTTTTTTGTTTCGTTTAAAATAGTTCATAGGCCCTTTTTAACTGAATGTCAAAGTGAACATTGTATATACATATACTTTTAAAGTTAAGTCATAATTATGAAATCCGTTCCATATATTCTTGATGAAGAAAAGTACAATTATTAATAATATATATATATATGCTGGGATTGTTTATTATATGGAACAATGCACTATTTTTAGCATTTTATTTTCATTTTTAATAGCTTTCAGAAACTCTATCCTTTAAACATATAATGTTTAACAATCATCCATTGCTGTAAAAAAACAGTCAAACTGTACATACTTAAACTCTGATTTACTAAGTGACAAAAAATATCGAGAAGTACATAACTAGGGTTAGTTGATATTTCCTTCAAACTGAAACCAATAATCCATCTCAGACACCAATAAAAATATACTAGTAATTAGCAGGGATGAAAAAATGTTGCCATAGAATCAAAACATTGTACTCCTAGCACTGAATCAGGAAAATGGTGGAAATATCACGCTTCAATGGTGTTTCTTTCTTATAATGTAATTTTTCTTTTACAAGGGTTTCGAGCACCGAATCAACAAGTTCAACTCTGAAAGCTGTAAAAAACAGAGAAAGAGGATAGCAGTTAAAACTGCACACCATAGATTTACGTGACATGTATTAAAAGTCATCGAGGAAACCAAGTTTGGGGATAAATTTGTTTTCAATAATATTTTCCTTACACATTTGTAGAATAATTATAAAATATAAAGTTTCTGTATTTCCTACTTTATGAAAGACATAAGCCAAAGAAAGTGAAGAAACATAATCTGATTATATGATGATATGTAAAACAAAGATAGAAATCTATATAATTCTTCCGTCTATGCAAGAAAACAGTATAGAATAGGGTGCGATTGGTTTTTCTTCGATTAGGATTATATTACTTTCCTGGCCCTATCATTGTAGGCATAACAAAGTGAAAAGATAATAGGGTAGACAAATCCATCCTAATGCTATATTAATTGTTTATGTGCTCAGAAATTTATAAAAATTAATGGCATGACCGGTTAAAGAATGTACTTATTTATATGCTTAAACAGAGATGTAAGTAACCCAAGAAGCACTAAGACACAGCAAACATATCGCGCCTTCATTACACCATGGGAACAAATCAGAATCGAGAAGTCTGAGAAAGCTGCCCCTTTTTGAAATCCTACACACTTTTAAGAAAAACATATGTTTGATTACTATTTTTATCAGTAAATTAAAAAAAAAAAGTTGATGCAAACCCTACATTATTCAAGAAAAATACGCTTACATGATCCATACATAAGGTTCAAGAAAACTTATTATAAACCTAAGGGATATACCCTCATTTGGCTTTAGTTTTATCTCTTTCTAACGAGAAGCCTTTGTGAGAGAAAAAACTGCATAATTATGGAATGATGTCTAAGTTCATCTCTTTTCTTTCAGTACTGATTCTAACGACGTATCTATGCTACTCGTACGAATTCAATGAATCGGACACTCATGACCACCTATTAATGACATCCATTGATGATGCTACATCAGCTACCATGAAGTATTTGAACACATCAGCTCTAAATCATTATAAGTATAAGAAAGTTATTAATTGGAATGGTGTTTATGATATGGTTGATTTTGGTTCTTATGTTGAGTTCAGAAATGGAACAATTCGGCCATTCAATACTGATAGGCGAACTCGTGATGAGAAAGCAGCAGCTATTGTACGTGTGATAGATCCTTATTACAGTGCATTTCGTGGTGTAGGTAATAAATCAGTCATTTACAACAGTTTCGACAGTGGTAGGAGATATAATGATAAACAATATCACATAACCGGTTGGCACGGTGAGATTGAATCATATTTTATGAGCGTTAGAAAGTTCTATGACAGTTATATATCTACCTTAATACATAATATATGCGGCTTTTGTTTTTATAGTAGGAAACTTTGCATCTAATATGATTGGTAAATCAACTAATAAGGAATGTGCTAGTCGTACAATGTGGCACACCGCTTATAACCATGAAGGCACTAAAGTTACATATAGAATCGCTATTTCAGCTTGGACCAAAGGTTGGAACTGTAATGAAAAAGCTAGCAACGCAATTGTAAATAATTGATCTCACGCTATAAAGGAATGGTCTATGGTGAACGTAGAAATGATAGTTGTTATGATCCAATTTAGATCAAGATGTAAAATATGGCCTTGCACTGGAATTTATTGTCTCTATACTTATAATCTGGTTACCAGTTAAGTTATCATTTACAATATAAAAATAATAGTTTATACATAAAAGTGATAGCATGATTGAGTATGTAAAGGTTGCACGAGCTAAGTAGAGGTACCTTATAGTTTGCAATCCCTCCTTATAGCCAGTTTCTATGGCTATGTACCTATTGTATAGTATCACTAGAGTATTGACAATTTGGGCTGATTGAACCATTAAAATGTTCACTGATAATTATTATTTCCTGTGAAAATATTGTCAATCACAATTGTTTATATTTGGAAACTTTATCTTGCACGAAAACAATGCTTTTCAGCAGTATTTGACAACGTTACAGAATCTAATAATCTGCTAATGAATATTGTGAAAAGCTCTTACTTCAGTTTAAAAATTACTCAATGAGCGATATTCAATATTTTTTGCGATGCCGTGTTAACGATTTGCGAGGATGGGTGTACATATGAAAGGCCCTTATCATAGCACGTAGAACTGAGATGACCAAGAATTTCTAGCAAAAAATTGTAAAAGATGTTGTCAACATAAAGAATTCTTATCTTGGAAGGTACATATAAATCTGCCCACACTTATTAATTTTATTTGGCTCCAATCCTTATCTTGAGAACAATAGCTAACGCAATATTGATAATTAATTATGTTGGGAGAAAAAATCTGGAAAGTAGTTTTGCAACACTAATTATTATTTTTACGCCGAATGTACATATGCTTATCTTTGAAATGCCATTGTTGTCTTGAGAAACAGTACACATATGATAAGAATGATAAAGTTGTGGCTATTTTTTCTAATTAGCTTTTCGATGTAATACACCGGTGCAATTACATATATTTGAACTCGAATGCAAATTTATACCAAAACAAGGTCTCCCGGTGTTTAAACAAAGATAGACAACGAAATAACTATTGTCCCATATGGTTATACGCGCATTCTTCTTTCCGCAAAAAAAATACAATAAGTTACTACGATATATATGATCCTCTTAGCATAACGGTAAGATTTCATATGCATAATACTGCAGAACGTGCCAAATAATGCTGCAAAACATACTACATATATTCCCCGAACAATAATGGATGATGCAACCTTGCAAATCTACTAAAGTAAAGGTGCTATTTTAATAACAACTGTCAGGAAAATTATGATGACTCCCTAAGATTCTAATTATAAATACCGACTTCCTTTCTGGTAGGTGGTACAGTCATATCGTAAAACTGCTTCTAAAAGTGTTTTTCTTTCTTTCAACAAAAACCAACAATTTTTTTCCTAACCATGCAAGTAGTACTATTAATTTTTTATTTTAATCTCCTAGGGATTTTGGTCTCTGCGAATACTCCAAACCTAATATCATATGCTGATATATTATCTAATATTTTGAATGGAAATATATCAACAAATAATAATGTTTCAGCCCTAATCGATTACACTTTACTTCGACCTTACGAGTGCACTTTAAACGTTTCGCTCGTTTCAATTAATAACGGTGAAGTTGTAAGGGATGCCCTAGAATTATATGAGTACGCATTAAAAGGTGAAAAGTGGGGTGATGCGTTATTCTTTAAGCATTTTATTTTATACAATGGACAGTCACATGTCTATATAAATAGTACGGATTTGAAATATGATTTGATAAAGTTGCTGAATGGCAATGAGACACTGCGTGCTCTTTGGGTTAATAGTACCACTGATAATCAATTAAGAGAACTTTATCAGAGCATTGATTTAACCCTACCACAGAAGAGAGAGCTCAGAAAGCGTGACTCTACAACTTGTGATGGAAGTCATGTTCCAGATGATGGAAATTGCTGGAGCTGAGTAGGCTGGTTAAATGCTATTTCTGGAACAGTGCAAAGTAGCTCCCGTGATTATTGCTGGGGGTCTTGCTGTATGAGCTGGTCTAGTAGTATTAACTTTATATTTGCTTGGGGTGGTGGAAAGACAGAATGGTGTATTAACTCATGTGTAGCTGCAGGTGCTAGTTTTGAGATACATGGGGTAAATTACGGCACAAGTTATTTTGATTTATGTGTCAGTAACCGCGGTGATGGCTGTACATGAATTCGTACTGTATATCACGGAGCTCCATTTTTTTCTTCTAACGCTTAGTATTGTATAACGTTTAAAAAAAAAAAAAAAAATATTAAAATCCACCAAAAGAAAAAAAAAAAAAAATTCTCTACAATTATTATTTTAATAATTACTACCAAGTTTTGGTACAGCTCACCCTGAGCCTAACTGGTGGCACTCTTCGAGCATATACTAATAAATATTGATGTTTTTTTCAACATAAAAATAGGAAGAACATTGGGAAAGCAAACATAGCATACCGTGCTCTTAATGCTATTTTTGTAATGTGGAAGTTATGTAGCTCTATATTATGAATATTACCAAAATAATTTATATTCTTCGTGATTCGTTATATAACATAAATAGCTCTCTTGAACCAAGTTTTAGATTTATTGAAAATGATTAATATTTTGACTACTCATTGTTAGTTAATTTATGTACAGATTTTGTTTTCTGTAAGGTTTAGACTGAACTTTTTCGTCCCCTCTTTTAATTGTAAAATAAGAAATATTTATGATTAAGTAATTTGAAGATTGTATAATTTAAAATAACTGATCAATTATCATATCAAAAAATGTCCGAATTACATTTAACTAACAGACAAGCAATTCAAGAATCACATGAGATTAAAAACTCTAGCTCAGTGTCTCTACACACATCCATGCCTAGTCGTCTTCAATTATCGAAATGCCGTTGCCTGATGGATGTTTGACGAAGTTGTTTTTTGTATGATGCCCATTTAGTAGTATTGATATTCGCTAACAAGGAATGCAATATTTTTGATTGAACTTATAGCTATATGGTAAGCTTCAATGCCTTCCGCTAAAACGCAAGTATTAGCATCGCATACATTTATCATATTACTACGCAGATATGTTTCGTCTGATGTTCTTGATTAATTAGATTCCGTACTGTATGCGTAGCGATATATCTGGTTGTGTTATGAGTTACTAACTTTCTCTTTCGTAATAACAGCATTAAGAAAACAAATCAGAAGGGCCTCCTTTTTTATTTGTGATATCTTTCCTTATTATATAGCAAATTGATATCTTTCCTCGTTTCTATCTTGTTGAGCATTGGATGAATTTTTATTTTCATTCATTTTTATTTTACAGATATTATACAGATAATTCTTCTTACTTTCTTTCGGAAGGAATTATTTAATATACAGATTTTCTATTTCAAACCTCTGTCTTTATATATTACGAATTTAGTGGCGTAGTTGTTAACCTTCACATTTATGAACTTCTTATTCTAGTATCGTCGTATAAGCCTATTCAATTATAATAATTTTGCACAATAGTCTTTGTGTTATTTAATTAATGTTAATTTTTTATGCTCATGTGAATATTTCATACTATATACCTTAGAACATATTTTAATAAAAAATGATTTTTTTACTTTTAGTTATATTATTTGCACAAATGCGCACTGCCGTCATTTCGTACACAAAAAAAGGGCAGTTTTAAAATAGTTATACGTATTTACCCAACCCTTTAAATGTTGGAAATTATATAACAGTGTGACACAGAGTGATCTTCGTACAAGGCGATATTGCTGTGAAAATTTCTGTATATAAAGGAACCCGTTTTCCAAATTATATAGAACTATATATTACACTTTCTCACATCTCTCTCTGATAGGAGGGGGAGGAGCTCTGTTGGTAGCAACGGACACATAGTCCTGTCCTACAGTATATATATATACTATTATTATTCTCTAATTCCCAGTTTTCCGATAATAAATGACCGATAATAAATGACCGATAATATTTCGTTTTCTTAATATATTTGTTATTTGTTATATTTAGTCTCTGTAAATAAGTATCGAAAACTGTATTTTCAAGCATGAGCTTAAACGATATTTAATATAACATGACCAGGGATCAATTCCTTAGTTCTAAACTGTGCGACCTTGATGAGGAAACGAGACTAGCTGTCCGTGATGATTTTGAGTTTGCTGACAACATTACTGTTTCAGAAGTGACCAATATGTTCTTTAGTCAAGTACCGTACGCCACAGATTGGGGGCTGTACTTCATAGACAATCAAGGAGAGGTTATTGGCAAAATAGCCAGCTTTGAGTCCAATTTCGACCCTTCAGGTCTGTCAACCCTCGAAGAAGTTATTGCTGATACAAAAAAACCCCTTACTGAATCTAGTAACAATGAATCTAGTGATAGTGAGGATGATGCTACACTCACTCAAGACATTGAAAACTACATAAATGATATGTGGGATTATGTACAATGTATTAGCAATACTACCACCAAATAAAATTTACTTGGTTTATAAATGTTAGAATATCATGTTATAATAATGATCTTCCATAGAGGTATCACTTGTTTCCAGAGTAGGAACTGCAAGCTTAAGAAAAATATAATAAGCTAGTTTCATGGTTTGTATATCTTTCCTGCAATAAGAATTAGAATGCACTGTTTATTTTAGTTGATTATCTTAAGCTTATACTGAGAACTCATTGCTAAAACAATTATATGATCAATGTTGCTTTATTTGCATATTCATATTATCTGTTTCCTGTTACAAAAGTAGTAAGGCTGAAATATCTTATCCTCCAGAAGGGGAATCTCACCAGAAGAGGAGCCTCACCAGAAGTTCTGCGCGATTATCGTGCGTGGCTGCATCAAAAGAACTGAAAAAAGGGAAATAAAAAAAAAAGTTCTAGTGGCTATTAATAGCAAGATACTATTTTTGGTATATCCTATTAGAGAGCTGTTGGTTTTTCACAATGGTCCATGTATAAAACGATGGAGTATATTGATTAACAGTTTCTTAAGAACGAGTTTTGCGATATAATTTAAACAAAGCATTGTCAGATTCATATCACATACAGTGAGAACTCCTGGATTGTTTTTTTTCTTTCTTTCTGTTATTATTATGGGCATATTAATGTAAGCTAAATTACTCAATATCAATTTTCATTCTTCAGTAACTATATCATTGATAGTTAATTGAATATGAAAAGATAAGAAGATGCGTATTATCATCAATATCACTTGTTGGCTTTCATAATCCGTCGAAAACTAGTAACGATCATTAGGCTACATATATTTTTGGTCGTTTTGGATGTAAAATATCTCACCTCGACACATTTCATTTGTCTGAAATGTAATTCTTATCAACATTTCCATAGTCGTATATATCATTTACCGTCCTTTTTTCTTTCACATAAATCCGGAACGACGAAATAATATGCTTTTCGATATTTAAGTTAAACAAATTTCAAACGTCATAACTTCTGAGATTTTGATTTGAGTCAGACCTTGCCAAACAAATTTCAAAACTAATAGCTGGCAAAGTAGTCATTGCAAAAGAAATACAACAGGCCGTTGACTTATGTAACAGAACCCTCTTTTGGAAAAGGAAGGTGATGTATAAAATAAACAGTTATGTCTACAATTAATAATATATTTTTACAAAGTGTAAATAGAGTAAACAGAGTAAACAGAGTAAATAGAGTAAATAGAGTAAATAGAGTAAATAGAGTAAATAGAGTGAAATCACCAACAATCCGATGTCCATGTCCAATCATCCCCAACTTCTGAACATGGTAAACTCCATGGAGCATTGTGAGTACCTGAAAGGGTTGCAACAAACCTGACGTCCATATTGAAACTTCCACCATGATCGATATGGATACAAAAGGCAGTTTTTTGATGATTATGTTCACTCTCTAATGCTGTCTTGAGGGCACACTTTAGTTGATCAGCAGTGGCTGTGGTGTCACAGTTTTTACCAGTAGTATACGTAGAAACGTATGCATTCCATGATACTAGTGGATCTAAGATGATATTATCTAGTTCGAAGCCTTCGCAACGCTTTTTATCGCTCTTAAAGGTGTTAACAATTCTGTCAATTATAGAGGAAACAACGGAGTAGGCATTATTTGAGAAGTCAAAGACAGAGGCCGCAGTGTTATAAAATTTTGCTAAGGACTTTACATTCAAACCGCAGATCTTCCTATCACATCGAGAATTGTATTGAACCTCGTCACGTTTCATGTGTTGACTAAAGGTGTTACCGGTGACATTTGTGTTCACATTTTGTGTTTCAATCTGGTAGTTTTTAACTGTCCCGTTAATGAATTGCAAGGTGACCAATTGACAATAGTTCTCATAACAGGTATCTACCAAAACATAATTATCATCTCTTTTCTTTAATGTTCCTTCTATGTTATCATAAAGGGAATCCCAGTATGTGATTACAGAGTCGTAGGTAGTACCTTGGGGTTTCCCTGAACCATTTATGGCCCAATAATCTTCTGTTTCATTTCCGTGCTGAGCACCTCTCACATAAATAATTTGGTTCAGCTGAGTAGGGACTGCACGAATACCTGGTACTCGAAAAGAAAGAATAAAGAAAATTAAATGTGGTAATCTGTGCATACTCGATAATAATTGAGGTGAGGTTACTTATCTTACTTTAAATTCATATTGGAATATCGGAACCAATTGAAATTTAGCAAATAATATATTAAATGTTTTAAGTGTAATTTCAAAGGCAAAGCTCTTCTATTTATATAAATAATTTATGTGTATAATTTTGCTATAAAGTTAATCATTTAGCCTTTTCAGAAAAAGATAAATTTGGTGTTAATCAAATATTGTTGACAATTTACTTCTACACAAGAACTTCTGTAATTAAAATTATCTTACGATTACGATCAGTAAACCCGATTGGGATTTACTGGCACTTCATTCTAGGACATCAGCATCTTTAACACACAAGACAGCTACAGGAGAACAACGGTGGTAAACCCGATTGGGATTTACTGGCACTTCATTCTAGGACATCAGCATCTTTAACACACAAGACAGCTACAGGAGAACAACGCTCAGAAGAGCTCGTAGAACGAGCACCTCCTCATCGCCGATCAATCGCGACAAATCAAAACAACCCTCTGACATCTGTTACTGAGTGCACCTGGATACGCTACCGCGGCTATTCAGCGCAACAAAGGGGATGGCCACATGAACACCACGTGTCGAATAAGATAGAGTGCACTTCTATATAAGGGACTCACCTATCTTCCTATGTTTACTCTTCTTTCAGTCGAAAGATACCGCAGAAGAAATAAGTCAAGCTCAAGCAACATAAGACTTGAGAAGATAATAGCATCGCTCTCAGTGAACTACATATCTCGTTATACAAGCATCCAACTTAAGACATCCATTGCACTCCCTTAGTTAGTACAAGAGGAAACAGATGTAATACTGTGAACTGAGATACCCGAAGAACGACTTAAGGTTATCCTACCACACAAATATGGAAAATCAGGAGAGACAAAAATATTACACTGTTACAAAACATAGCCTCAAAACTTATGTATACATTTTTATGTATATATATTATATTAGGGATATACTTTCTGTGTTGAAAGTTCTCGTATAGTTTATATAACATAATTTTCTTTTGGAAAAGAGGAAAATCGATGATAGAACTAATTATGTCTACCTTTAGAATTATACTTTTACAAACAAATGTGACAGTTATTATTGCTATTACTATCAAAATTTAAAAAGGATGGATAATAACGGCTTTTGCACCATAAACATAAAAGATCATAAAGAATGTTGATTGCGGTTTAACTCTTCACAAATTCTTTTTTCTGAGAATCAGTCACATTGAAGATTTTTAATCATTTGATATTTAAACTCATGTATTCCTATAGTATGTGTTGAATCGTAGTATCCGTGATCTTAGTGTTAAAGATAGCGTCAGCCATTGTAAAAATTGAACGCATTCCTTTTTTTCTATATCATAAATAGTAAAACTCATCCACAATGTTCAAACAAAGTTAACCACGAATCGTAACAAATGTCCTCATTTATTTACTTTTAAGTTCTGGTTGGTACATAAGAGATATCACCAATAAGGATCTTAGAATTCACATTTGAGCCTCATGCTTCCAAGTTCACATTCTTTCGTCATTACTTGTCATGCCGCTACTCTGTGATTGTTAGTTCTAGTTGGAACATTACGTACTAAGTTTAACTATTGAATCTAGTTAATGTTCACAATTCATTTTATACTTTGTTATTTGATAGGACTAGTATGTTGTTTATCTTAATTTCACTTGGTCTTATCCACAGTTCAATCTAACATTATGATAACAGCTTTGTCAGTTTGATTCAAACATGGATATATATATATATATATGTATATACATTTGCTTCCGTTATATAAACATAAATTTCGCTAGGAATATCATTTATGCCTGGCTGTGTTCGTATTCAATCTTAATAGCCTTCACTCACTTTGCCGCTAAGTTTGAGCGATCAACTCAAATAATAAAGAAATTATTGGTAGTATATGGTGAGTTAATACGGTTTATGATATTAGGTTTTACCTCACGGTATGTTTCAGTGACATATAAAGTACACATGGACCACTTAAATACCGTTCCTAGAGTGATATCTCCCTTTTGTTTTTAAATCTACATGAAATTTATTATATTTAACTAGTAAGCTGGAAATACCGAATGCACGAAATAGTCCTTAGTAGTGCAAATGAATTACTACCCGGAATACTTATAGAACGGTATCTTATTTAATTTTTAAATTATTTACAGTAGATAATTACAAATAAAAAATATATATTTTCTATTATAATAATAGTTAGCATCAAGAAAATGCGTTAGTATTTTTATAAATGTAACTACAAATTAAGCCATTAATACTTGTCCTTGAATGAACTCGTGACATTATGGACGGAAATAAGGGTCGTAAATGTAACTACGTTCTCCGCTAACCTCTTAGAAAAATACACATTCGCATTTAAAGCCGCGATAAACCAAAAATGAAGAATTTTGAACACTTTCGAAAATTTAGCTACAAACGGTCAACCCTAGTTAGGCCTGGTGAGACCTAAACAAGTCTTTTTGCTGCCACTTCATCTGCAGTCGGCTATCTGTTGCCAATTTTTGACTAGAAGAACCAGGTCTAAGCAATCATTTCGGATGGTCTAATGGTCATGCAATATATGTTTATATTTGTTGGATAGGACTTTATAAGGGTGCACAACGATAATTAGATAATTGCTTTGAAATTACCCAATGAGAATCTTCGGAGTACAGCTCGTTACATATATGCTGTTCTTCTTTACAGCCTTTGAGTTTGTGTCGGGGGAATCAAACCCAGGTCACAATGTCACGTTGTTTGTCAACAAGTTTGCTGATAGGGGACCTGGTAGCAGTTACAGTGCAATTGGACCAGGAGGTATTACAATCACGAGTAGATACGTTGAAGCTATACAATACTGGAAATCTCTCATCATAAAAAGTGCAGGTCATTCTACTTTAATTGATGCGTGCCATGGCAGCGTATGTCAAAAGGTAACAGTAAAAGAGATGGACGGCGGGTTCACAAATCTTGAAATAAGGACAAAGATATTTTCGGGAAACGTTACCGGATATACTTTTAGTCAGTTAGTGAACCATACTTTGTTAAGTCCCAAGTATCGACCAACTTCATTAATGACCAGATTCAAGTTTAAAATTCAAAAGTGGGCTTTACACCTATGGGAATCGTTTCTTTCTTCCAGAAATCAATTAAGAATCGATAACATTCTGTTAGGACAGTATCCAGGTTGGACTACATTTGTCACACGGAGGGAGCGCCATAACCGCTCCAGAGATGTTTTACCAATGCAAGAAATTTCTTGCATTACAAGATCAGCAATCGAGTCGCACAGATACCAGAGTATGTGCGGTATATGTGTTCATATCGTGAATATACAGGGCTTAACGCTGGATATTCGTCTGTTTAAAGACGACACGGCCAATTTTGCAGACCCTTGGGGATTACCATGCTCAGAAGTGGATAATCCCAGTGAGTACGAGCTTGAGTGTCTTTCTTAGATGATTTGAACCTTTCATTCACTATATACTTTAAGTATAACCTTGATTTCACTCTCCACATACTAGTTTTAAAGGAGACTTTTATAATGTTGTGTTTGCGGTGTTGCAGTAAGAAATATGTGACATCATCAAATAAATACATTTGATATTGTGAAATACAGTGAGAAAGTATTTTGTATTATAAAAGTAATCTTCAGCAGTATATAATAGCTTCACATATACAAAGTGAGGATATATCCTATAACTAACAACTTTATATTTCAAGAGAAAATTTTATGTATATCATTTGGGTTAATACACAAAATGTTATAAACTTGATACACATGTAATATATCTTTACTTGATACCTCCAATACAGAGTTATCTCTATAATGAAAGATCTCTAATCTGCGTCAACATCCGATTTTGTAAATCCGTATGGACTGTCTGAGAAACGTAAATGATCCATAAAATTGCGATAGAAATACTTCTAATTCCATCTAAAAGTTTTCTTAAATCCTCATCTAGAGTTCTGTCGTTTTTCAATGTAGGATGGATCTTGATTTTAAAGTAAATTTCAAAGAGACTCGAAAAAGAACCAATATTACGTTTTCTTTCTTCATCTAAATCAATCAAATGGTTGTCCATCAGATTATACCGAACCTCATCAACCGTGGGAGCATCTTTGGAAATTGTTTTCTAAACGTTGCACTTCATTCATAAAACTTTTGAATATATTTTCTCGAGAAGACATAATCATCTATAAAATAACTGTCGGGATAATACTATCTAAAATTCTTAATTTTCTAAGAGAGTCCTCTGACCTTTTTACCATACAGGATTTTTAGATTATTCCATGGAGTAAAACCTTTATAAAAATATATATATGTGTCATAAATTTATAATTTTCGTTGTGGTTCCACATTTCTGTATAATAGAGCATATGTGATAATAACTTTTAAAGTATACTAAAAACTTCTATAACGAGATATATTCTAATCGTCGGCTGTAATAGTGTTTATAGTCCACACAAGCCTATTGCGCTTCATAATTATAACAATAAGGTCAAATGATCGAAAAACTTGTAAAGTATTCCTATTCATATCACAATAGCAGGCGTGTGAATATTTTCGCATTATATCTTCCACTTCGCAGATGGTTAAAAATTTGCATTTGAAAGTATATTATTAATAATAGGCATAATTAATTATATTACCCACTGCCTTCTTTTCCTAAATGAAGACTATGTTACACACAAGAACCTTCAACACAGAAAGTTCATCCATGTATATATTCTAGTTACAAAAGAAGCATACATAAATTTTGAGGGTGTGCTTTGCATTAACTTCCACTAACCTTCATAATATTCTTTCTTATATAATGTACAGACTATACCACAGGAGTAATTCATCGATATTAGGATAACAGTCCCTACTGGAATACGACCCTACAATATTGATAATTCACTAAGGAGAGTGATAAATCACAACTTTACTAGTCTATATGAGGCCATTCCAAAACAGTCTACCAATATTGATTATTTTTTTATAAGGGCTGATCCGTGATAACCTGCTCCCCGATGCATTTGACTAGTGGTCCTGCCCGGTTCCCCGAACTTCTGGTCTTGAAGTACGCTGGCAATGACAGAAACATATTCGTTGACCCCGTCACCCGTACCATTGAGATCCACTTCAAGTATGCAAAGTCACGCTCCTTCCCTCATTTGATCAGATGTCTGGACAGATTAACCTCCGCTTACCTACTGCACTTCATCCTTATTGAGAGATTCATGATGAGAGAGTGTTTGACTATGGACTACAAGGGGGCTTCCAGGGATTTGTTTGGTGACCTCTCTGAGGAGGACAAACTATATTCCATCTTTATGGCCAAAACTGGTAATACTTCAATGTCTGATGTTGAATTCCCGAGTAATGTCCTCCAATCCTTCTTATTTTTCGATCCAGTTACTGGTGGTCTCATTTCCAGGAAGAAGTTTTCAAAATTCTACACACTGTATCCAAACATCGGCAACTTCACTGCTGCCACCAGACTGACTTTAAGGGAGATGCGCCAATGTATTGTTGCCCTTATCAGGTACTGCCTTCCAAACGATGGAATAGATCCACTGTTTATGGCGGCTAAGGAATTCGATGCTGGACATGGCCTTTCTGTGGGTGCTTCTGTTTACGCAGTTGATAACTTCTCAGGACTGGGCAATCATTCTACACCACTCACAGATACTATTTTGAAGATCTGTCGTGCTTGGCAAGCATGGTTAAACCTGGGTGGGGAAGAGGAGACACGTTTGAAAGAGTCTGTCGAGAACTTCAAGGTATTAGATGTCAGAGGATCCGCCAACGACCTAATCGTGGCCGGTAAGAGTATTTTTGGTGACCAATTTGCCTTCCGTGAAAACCAGGAGAAGTTGATTATGGATATTTATTTGTCAAACAGGAAATTCTTTCCTGTTCAGGCCCTACCGGGTTTTGGAAAAACTGCAATGTTCCAAATTCCTCTGAGTGCAATTAAAATGGCCAGTCCTAGAAGAAGAGTAGTGAGTTTTGTTCTTGTCCCATATATTAGTCTTATGGCAAATATGGTGGAGAGATTGACAGCGGGGGGACTAGTGGCTGCACCGGTTAAAGATGTTTTGGTGATGAACGCAGCCCCTGAGGAACATACACTGCAGGCGGACATCTATGTCTATTCCTATGAGGATGTCAGATCTAGTTCACTGGTAACAATGATCAATAATTGGTATTACCATTACAGGTCTACATTCTTAGGCTATATCATCGTGGATGAGGTTCACAACCTTGGTTGCCAGGACTTCAGAACTGGGGTCACTGCTGCCTTCCCGCTATTGAAGTGTCACTATGCGAATAAGGTGCTGTTGCTGTCTGGATCTGTAGGGAAGGACAGGTTTGGAATCCATCTGGGAGCCCTGAATATCAAGGTCCAGACCACTACGGAGGTCGAAGTCAACGACAAGGTCTACATCCACAACCTTGTCAAGGACATTCC